GTTTCCCATTGAAACACGTCAAACTTCAAAGTATCAAGATACGGCGAGTTTTGTTTTTAGCGGCACACGTTTTGTGTGTGTGTGTGTGCAAAAAGGGGGGGGGGGGGTGGATGGACGAACGTTTAGAACGTGTTTTTGTTTTTCCGCGCACACGAAGTTTTTTGAGCCCTGTTTTGGATCGATAGGCCTCGGGGGTAATTAAATGAGGCGCGAGCCTCTGGTTCGCGTCTGCGTGCCGGAAAAGCTGCGGGCAACTCTCAGCTTTTGTTCTTTTCGATTTGCCTTCGAGCTCAGTTAATGATCGATATATGGCCGTTGTTTGTGTGTCAAGTGTGCCTGCCGTAATTTCAATATTCTTTTCTTTTTTTTCTTCTGCTTTGTGTCAGACTGATGGCGTTAGGCAGATATGGAAAACGCGTGTATATTTTGAGTGTCCGGTCTACACGTTCGTGCAATCTGTCTTGGAAAATCCCGGAAATTCGAAACTTTGTAAAACAATATTTATGCTTTTTTTTTTTCGATGTAGAATTGCTTAAACAAGCTCAAATCGAACAAAATAGAATCTCATGTTTTAAAATGACGAAGGGCTTCTGGCATACCCCAGCAAAACAAAAAAAGAAAAAAAAACTTTTTTTTTTTTTTGTTCAATACGGTTGAGGATTTGGCACCGAAATCTCGGTGGCGTCTTCGCAATATCGTTTTGTGCCATATCAATTTAATTTCCCGGACTGCGTAGAAGGAAGCTTCTTTTCCTCGCTCCAGTTGTGTGTCTCCAAAAGACACGGTCACCAGAGTAACCTGCAGACAGTCATCTTCGAAGGTCGCTTCATACGGGCTTCCAATATCTCTGCAGACAGTTCTTGCAGGACCAAAGGGCCGTCATACAAGAGGCAGTGTCTGCAGGATGTCGTCTTTTATGACGCATTCGCAGCGTGAGCGCGGCTTTAGGGGTCTGCTCCCACAACCGTGCTCTCACCAGCTTCAGGGTGACTCTTGCGGCGTGTATCTGGCCAAGCAAACTGGCCGAGTTATCTATCGTGTTGGGACACTGTATATCCTAATAATAATAAAAAAATAGTCTGTAAGTTTACTTTTCTGCAGGACACGGAGACAGCATCCAGTCATTACGCGAGATAGAAGGATCTTAGCCAATGACGGAGCTCAGAATACGACTAGATCTGAAATGTGCACGTTCGCAGGGACGAGGAGCGGGCGAAACGTCACGCCTAGTCTTGTTCCTTCACAGATCACTTTTTTTTCTTTTTTCGGTCACGTCACGCTCACGTTCTGAATATCGTCATTCGCTGGGGGATCCTTCTATTTTGCGCCGTAATTGACTCTCCCCAAGCTCTGAAAAATAATAAAAAAAAAAAAATTACGTTTAGTGTTACATTGCAGTGATTGGGCGGGTCTCCCAGTGTTCCGCGGCGCAATATTTTGTGAGATTAGGTGTTCTTATGTTTAGTAAAACAGTACTCACCGAAGATATGAAAATTAACCGTGTTATACCGACACCACCTGGAACTTGAAGCCTGCGCGTTTCCTCCTCTAAACGTCATCACTCGTAGATCCCCTCAGCGCCCCCTAGGTAGCCCGGATGAGCACCATCGTCTGCTACGTCGTCTGCTCCATCGCCTGCTTCAGGGGTCATGCTCAGGACGCGAGCTCGCATTTCCAGGCCGCTAAGACCGGCAACCTTGGTGTCGCATGCACGTTGCAAATGAACTGTGGAAGCTCGCCATCAGCTCGCGCGCGGCAGTCGCGCACACAGCTATGGCCGCCAGCGAATTTGGCGAAGTTGTGACGTGGCCCCTACTCTCGTCAAGCTCGGGGTGTTTACCGCCCGAGGCGGGTCGGGGATCTCTTACCCAAGGGTCATGCGCAGGCCTTGTCTTCTAGGCACTATGTGGAGACAAAGTTCGTCTGCTTCTTTTGCAGGAATTGTGGTGACGTCAGAACGCTGACTGGTTCTGAGTGAAGGATAATGGGTAGACCTCAAGGCAGCTTACTGTGATGTCTACCCACTATCCTTCGATCAGAGCCAATCAGAGCTTGGCGCCTTTCTGACGTCACTCACCGCAACTCCTGCTCAAAGAAGCAGACGACGTGCTCTCCGCATTGGTTATACACGATTGTGGACTCGAGATATACCTTTCAGTACCACAAACTCGTTGTCCCACACAATCCATGATCACCGCGCATACGCAAACATTCGCTTTTTTTTTTTTTCAAAGAATGCCAACATTGTTTTTTTTTGTCGTTCCACAATTCCAGCGTGACGTCATGGACATGAGCTGGTATTTGTCACAGCGTCCGCTGCGGCCATGCATGCTACCGTATATGAAACGGGGCATGCATGGAGACGCCGAGATGACAACACATCGTTGCTGGAATTACCCTTGAACTTGTCCCGGGATAACGCGAGACGGAAGAAATAACGACAAAGTGAAAAGCACGGTTGCCTATCATTCGCGGTATCTGTCCGCTTCCGGCAGGAACTAGCGGCGGCGAATTTCTGTCTGCGGACGTCGGATGCCTGCCTGGTCCCTCTGTCGGCGCTTGCTGTTGTCTCGCCCAGTGGTAGGAGGGGAGGGGGTTGCAGGCAGCGTCTCCAGACACTCGGGATCCATCCATGCGTGAGGAAGCCCCCCCTTCCTCCGCCCGACTACACTCCTCTCTGCCCGAGTCCGCCACGGATTTCCGACGACCTTCGGGAGTCGCAGGAAACTGCAGCAGTTCCTGCTCCCTGCTTCGTGCTTGCACCATCGAAAATGAAGTTTGAAAAAAAAAAAAAAGGCGGTGTTTATTGCGATTCAGTGTCTGCGTGTCAATGAGGTTAAAAAGCGTAGCTAACGCTGCTGATCACGTGGTTTCATACGAGTCCACCATTTTACGGAGCACGCGAGGGTCGATCACAGTGATCTACTGAGGAAATCGGCGAATGACATGACCGAAGCGAATATGCACGCACAGAGGATGCAGTTTGCGATCACGACGTTTGTTGTATACGCGATCATGTCTGGCTCGGTGTATGTGCCACCTCGTACTGCGGCTTGGGACGACTTTGGAGCTAGCTCGCCGTTCGCCGAGCTCGTTGTGATTGGCTTCCTCCGAGTGCTTCTCGGAGAAATGAGGCTCGTTACACCGTTCGCTTACATTGTGTTACGCCGAGTTGCGACCGCGAGTGACCGGGCCATCCCTGCTTCGTACGAAGCGCACCAGCCAATTGAGTGAGAGCTTGGCATGTGACATACGAAGCGCGGGTATCGTGAGCTAGAAGGGAGGTTTGGCAGTAGCTCGATTCTCCTAGAACTTCTCCCAGTGAGCGGTCCCGCGCTTCATGCCTCGTGCGGTACCTCCACTACCATCTCGAAGCTGGCAGCAGCGCCACAACGGCGAATGATATAGTTAATGAGTTGGTATCGGCTTTTAAATAAAATAGAGCAGGCAACACATTTAAGCGGTAGTATTTACGTTTACCACCGAACGGTACCTCTGTCGATTGTAATTAAATGTAAAATACCTCCATTTTTGTTCGCAGTTTCTTCTTTTCTAGCCTTCGAGGGGCAGGTGGCGCGGCTTCTGCGTTCAGATTGTGCTGTGCCCTTTAGGTTCGAATCGCGGGACCGCTCATCGTCGCCCCATCAATACACTTTCCTTTTAGCCCAGCATATCATTCATAGTTGTATCATAACGTAGAAAGATGTAAGCGAACGCCCCTACGTCAATGGGGCTGTAGCACAGGGGCATACTTTTTATGTGACCAGTTCCACGCGGACGCTTCCTTTGCCCTCTAACTGGATTCTGCGAGATTCTTAGGGTGCCTCGCATTCCAAGGTTAGGGGGACCTGCCTTTCGGATGGCCCAGTGGCGGCGTCTCTCTTTTGCGGCGGTGATCTATAAACCACCGGGAGCAAAGTTGTCCTTCCTCGTGCTCTCCGACGGCCGTCGCGGGGCGCGGACGTGTCTAGGGTGCAGAAGGAGAAGCGGACGCTGGACTCGATGAGAGCATGCTTCGTAGGCCGTTCACCCGCGCGCATGCACTTTTCCCACCTCGCGAACAGTCTCGTGTTTTTATTATTATTATTTTTTTTAATCTTTACTCTACTTTGGTGAAAGCTTTCACAACCGAGGAACCGAGGCGGAGTTTTAGCCTAGGATTCCTGGGTTCTGCACCTCGTGATTGAGGTGCAGAACCAAGGAACCCACGGGCTGCTCTAAGCTCCGGTGTGCTCAACTCGCTGGTGAGCGTAACCCTTGGGTCCATTGTTCATATTGTGCACGCGTGTACAATGTTATAAAGAGTGGTGTAGCAGAGTGAAACCCCACGAATGTGGCCTAGAAACGTCGCTTCAAAGAGAAGGATAGCCAATAGACGCTTCTAGAAATTCAGTACCGTGTGGTAGTTCAAGTATCGGCTTAACTTTTGCGGTACTATATTGGCGGAGATGAACCTGTACATCTGTAGTACTTTATCCTGCACCGCCACTTTCGCAAGGGCGGACGAGGATGCGTTCTTGCACTGGACAGTTCGTTCTCTATCTTTTTTTCAGTTTCGATGGTGAAAAAACTACACCCGGTCAGGACAAAGCCGCAACTCGTACGAACGCCTCGTTAAAAATCTACGCGTCAAGGGTCTTCCGAGGCGATTTTGGGCCGCCAACAGATTGACTGGACCCGTGTTAGAAGTGAATGCTTATGGTCAGCTTTTGTATCCATTTCCTCCGTCGCATCGTGCTACCGTCTCGAATGCATAGGAATCGCATCATCCGCTTATTAACACCTTCGACTTCTTCCCTCATCCGTAACAAGGAGGCCGCCATGGGTAAGGCACAGATACCATTCCTCCGGTGTGCCCATTTCACTATTACTATTATCATAATAGTGATCAAAATGGCCAGGCTGAATTTTGGAAAGGGTCTATAGCGGACAATGTTTTCTCTCTTTCTCCCCGTTTTTAAGCGTACACACTCGGTCGCTAACCTAACGGAATCGTTTCGTCTAAAATTGAATCGATTTTATTTGCCTCCGTTCTCACGACCGAATCCTCCACCGCTTACAATGTCAATGCCAAGTCTGTATAGACGCGTCGTGCGTTAGAGACATATCTATCGCTTCACATCGCAAGTTTTCCTGGGAAGACACGCTCGTTATCTATAATCGAATGACGTTGGTCGGATCGTCGCCGACTTCGACGTCGGGTCCCAGCGTCATGAGTTGTTCGGTGCCCTGATCGTCGTCTGCAGTCGGCGCGTACGGTTCACCCCTGATGTAGCTGAGCCTCCGCAAAGCTCCGGGTGCCTTAGCAGACGGTGCCTCTGTGCCTCCGGACGATCCTTTGGTGCCTCGGGGTGACCCATTGGTGGTGTGGGACCTGCAAGCAGTGGAGAGCGAGCCATTTTAATACCACCGGGGCAACACTGCCTAGAGTAACCAAAGCCTGTGAACGACCTCTTCTCCCTCCACGGAACGTCATCAAACTCCGATAGTCAACAATTGGTCTCGAGCCCCTTTGACGCTTTTCACTGGACACGACTGCCAGCCGAATGCTGATTCAGCGCTCGCGTCCAATCTGTGTCTGCGCTCGAGCTCGCTGTCATGACGTAGACATCCCTTCTACACCTGGTCTCACCTCTTTCCATGGTGGCAGGGCGAACGCTGGAGATGATGTCGCCTCCAGCGTTCGCTCTGCTAAACTGGAAAGAGGTGAGCACCTTTGAACTTCGTCTCTGTTGGATCCACGAAGTGTCGTCTAGAGGCTGGTTCGCACATTGGAGTTGTAAAGCCCATTAACACCGGATCGCTTCCTCGCGTTTTCTTACGTTACGTCAGTGCTTCGAATGTCGCGTGCAAATCTACTTCTTGAATTGGTTACCGCGCTTCGTGCGAAGATGCCTCGGTGACTCTCGACGTAAGCCGACGTAATAGCTTTCGGAACACGAAGGCGCGTTCACACACTTGCGTTTGACCACGGCCGACGAAGGCAAGACCGGTCTTTAAGCCTCTGGTGACTGCCTACGACCATCCGGGCAGCAATGCAGCCGGTCGTGAGCCGTCACAAGAGGCTTTAAAAACGGTATCGCCGAAGTCGGTCGTAGTCAAACGCGAGTGTGTGAACGGGCCTTAAAAGGCTGGTTCGCACTGTTGCAGCCGACTAGGACCGAGTCCAACAAACCGGGGTTTTAAGCCGTTTACGGCCGCCATTGGTGCTGCGTGGCTCGGTTGTAAGAGGTATACCGGTTCTGTCGGACTCGGTCGTAGTCGGTCGTAACCTCTTCCGACGAGTAAACACGGTGGCGCCATCTGTCAGGTAGTCTTGGAACACTTTCGACCTGCCTGTTTTCATTTGTTGTTTTCTTACAAATCATTTTCTCGCCGAGGGCTCGAAATAAGTTTCGACCATTTGTCTTAGATAGTGCGTAGGTGTTATCTCACAAACACTGCAAAACCTTAAGCCGTTTGTAGGGAACGTACACGGAGCAACGCAAACCATGGAGAGCGTTTGCAATTTAACGGCGGACGCCTCCAGGTAGTAGGGATGGGTTGCGTTCTAGTGTGGCGAGAAGGAAAGCGGGCGAAAGGCCTTGCAGGCGACCAACGCATTCGTCCTCTCCTTCCAGCCGCCCGATCGAGCAATTGGAAGCAGTCGGAATCTGGGCAAGGGAACGCAACGCACTAGGCGCTCTGAAACGCAAATTTGTGAACCAGCCTTTAAACGGTTACTGAACTGAAATTTGCACTTCGCAAAATAAGGCCGCGGAATCCTTGAGCGGGACGCTACCAGCTCCATACTTCTGGAAGTAAAGGGCGCGATAGAGCGGGGGCTATGATGTCACGATCCTCCTGGAACAGTTGAGAACGAGGGGAAGCGGCCTCGCTTCTCTCCTCCTCGCTTCAGTCCACCAGCTCGACGGGACGCAGCTAGGACTTGCTAGGAGCAAAGGGGATGAGAATCGTGGCGTGACTCGTCTCGTTGGCCGTTTTCGACCGCGTACTTCGTTTCCCAAAATACGGCGATCCGTTGAAGATATCGCTGAGTGAGTGATGCTTTTGGGTTTTGCAGCGTCCCGCCTATCCGTTCGTGGCTTGTTTTGTGAACTGGAAATTTTGATTCAGTATCCCTTTAATTAACATTCTTCGATAAGTTCTTTATTCCAGCTTCGACCACCATCCCCACTGCTCACCTGCGCCGCGCAGTCCTGGTGAGGCGCGCAGCCTTGTAGGCCTCCGATCTCGCCCGTCCGCTGCCCAGGACGAGGACTATCCCCATCACGATGAGGCATAGCGTGAGCACCAGGACAGACACCCCGATGACATTTCTGCAACCTTTGTCGCCGCTGCGCTGCTCGACTTGGCTTTGCCGTCTGGAGCCTGGATGACTCGATTCCTGCAGCGCGGAGGATCGCGTTTACAAAAACCATCGAACTCGATCACGGCCCGGGGTTGGCTAACCATCATTGGATTTTCCAACCGATTGTGGAGGCCTTTATCTTTTTTTCCAATGTCCGTCTCGCCTGATGAGTTCGCGGTGAAGATGGTATTCATTTCAAATTATGGTCGGTCTTAACTCGAAGTATTTTTCTTCCGATAGAAGAATCAAGACTGCGAAACATAGGTTTCTGTAGTCGCATATATATAGTACAACGTGTCCCCTAAAAAAAAAAAAAAAAAAAAAAAAAAAAAAAACATAAGTTTTTTTTCTTTTTTTTTTTAATAAATTGCGCTCTTTTTGTATGCATATACTCGTCTCTTGCCCTTCTTCGCGCTGTTTTTAACTTTTTTTTTCTTTTTTACAAATCTAGCGTTAGTAAAGTTGAAGCTGGGGCGAGTTGGTACGACATACTTAAAAGTCCGTGTCCTTCTTTACCCTGTCCGTCGTTTTTTGCGCTGTTTTTAACCTTTTAAGTCTAGCGTTAGCTTTTTGAGGCAGATGTCAAAGTTTCAGCGCTGACCGTTATCTTATGCAATAGTTATCTGTAATTTTTGTGAAAATGTCATTGGGAAAACGGTGCCCATTTTCGCCCGCTTTCGGCAACTGGCGCCGTAAGCTCCACGTATTCTAGAGCTCCGTCGGCTAAACAGTATCTTTGCATACGCCAGTGTGCACTATTTTCAGATCTACCAGAAAAGAGTATAATTTTGAGAACACGTCTATACCAAGTATTAAAATAAGAAACAAAAATGAGCGAAATGTATTTTGGCAATAGGTGCGAATATACGTGATCTCTGCACAGTGCATTTTAGACATTGTTCGTTACTCATATTATTCTAATCGTTTTTCGTGCACGCGTGTTGGCGTGTGATGTCTGGTTCAGGCAGTTTCGTCGGTTACGTTCAGAGCGACAAACATGACAACAATGACAGAGTCAACTGGACAAGTGTTATAAGGGCTCACCGTACACAGTGTGACACGCAATCCAAGAAGTAGCGTCGTAAAACCACCGTGAGCCGCGGTCTTCCTAGGTGGCGCAAGCTACCGCCCGTTACACAAGGTGCAGACATGAGCATCCATCTATCCCTCCAACCGACGCGAATGTGTGAACCAGCCTTTGTTACACACATGGAGGTAAGGGAGCTGCTGGAGGTGGCATGGAGGTCACCAGAGGTGAAGCCATGAGTGTGGAAAGACACGCTCCCGACGATTGACCAAAACCACGGCTCTGGTAACAGTTTTGGTCACCCTCGGGGGCACCCGAGGGTGATCAAAACAGTCGTGGTTTGGTCACTTCTGGTGACGTCCTGTGACCTCTAGAAGCTTCCTACCTTCATGGTTGCACACCATCTAGAATAATCGAAGCTCGTGGACTAGCTCGTGGACTACAAGGAAGACCTGAGTCTAGCGTCTCATGGTCTTCCTTGTATGGCGGTCAAGTTGGTCATACAGAAACTCTCTGGAGGCATGTGCCATGAAGCAGACATGCTCGAACGGCTTAAGGCGTGTTCGCAGATGTCATCGTGCCTTTTTGTGTGATGTACAGGGTGTCCCAAAAGAAAATTTACACGGTCTCTTTTACCGCAAAAATAAACTAGACATCGCCGAACGCTCATTCTCCGCCCAAAGGTAGCTCTAGAGGTCACAACCAGATGCCAAAGTTTCAGCCCGATCCGATAACTTAATCAAAAGTTATAAATGATTTTCTGAAAATTTCAATGGGAAAATGGCGGCCGACGGAGTTTTCGAACACATGGGGCTCCTGGGGCTCTATGGCACCAGAAACCGAAAACAGACGAAAATTGGCTCCATTTTCCCATTGAACTTTTCAGAAAATCACTTATAACTTTTGATTAAGTTATCGGATCGGGCTGAAACTTTGGCATCTGGTTGTGACCTCTAGAGCTACCTTTGGGCGGAGAATGAACGTTCGGCGATGCCTAGTTTGTTTTTGCGGTAAAAAAGACCGTGTAAATTTTCTTTTGTGACACCCTGTATACGAGCGGTCTGTCTGCGGCTCAAGTGCGGTCCGGGGCTGAGGAATCGACCCTGCGTTCGTTAGGGGTCGTCTGAGACTTACCGGTGTCACGATGGGCGACTGCATCGCGGTCCGGCCGACCCGAGCTGGAACGGTTCGAAATCCTCGTCGTTTTCCGCCTTGTGTGTACGACCTTCTGTAGCCGATGCCGTTTCCACTGCCTTGGGGCTTATGGCGCAGCTTATTATACAGGAGGCTCTGGCTTTGCTCACTCTTCAAGGCGAAAAACACGCACGCGCTGGATTGTGGATTGGATTGGAGCAAATGATTTCCTCAGCTGGCTCGAATTTCAGTATGCCTTCGATTTGGCAGCGCGAGCTCCGGTTCTCGGTGTCGTTCTACCAAGATACAATGGGTAAGAGCCTTCTAATGCGAAGAAAAAAAAAAGAATAACTAGATTGTCCGAACTGGGTCAAAAAATCGTTTTTGTCGTTGTGAAGTTAACTGCGTTTATGGCTGAATATGCGTTTATGTATTCGTTCATAGCTTTATCTTCTGTGCTTACGCACATTATACTGGTAGTCAACGTCGCACAACGTTGGCCACGCGTACGAGGATTTTAGGGGCGAAGCTCCTTAGCTTGGCCTTGTCCGTCCGGTGTCCGTGCTCACATCGATCTTGCTGGTGCTCGTGCTCGTGCTCGTGCTAGTGATCGTGCTCGTGAGCTTACGTGCTCACGTGCTCGTGTAGGGCAAAAAAAAATGATGACAGAAATGTTTGCGCAGTCGACAGGATTTGAACCTGTGCGGGGAGTGGATTTCTAGTCCATCGCCTTAACCACTCGGCCACGACTGCGGGACGAGTACGGGGCTCTGAGATGTGGTAGTAGAGAGTTTTAGTAGATCGTGTTTTCAGGCCACGCTAATCGTAGCGGGAGCTCGCGCTGCCACTTCGATGCATGCTCTGAAGCGCGCGCTCGTAGCGGTAGCGGGCCTTTGAAAACGATCTACTAAAATGGGTGAAACATTGCATGTAGCCGCTCAACGTCTACACAGGAGGGCGCTGCGGTCAAATGCGTATAAAATCGCGTTAAACTTTGCAGTCATTGGCTCAACGTTTATAGACGAGAGGGCGGTGCGGTCAAATGCTCAAATGCGTATATAGCCATGTTCCATACCACACATTCTCTTTCTGACATGGATGAAAACGAACGAAAAGCTCCGCATGCTGCGGCTCAACGTCTACGCAGACAAGCACCACCAGAGCTTCGCCCCAATAAACATGCGTTCACCACGTAAAGATGCGGTCTTTTTTTTTCTTTTTTTCCAGTGAGTAGCCAATTTTAAATAAGGAATTGGGTTTACGCGGCCAGCTTATCTCGCTACTCCGGCTACTGGTTGAACGTTCTCGACTTTATTACGAAAGGAGAACAAAATAAGTTGTCAGGAACACACGTCAGCGCCTGCTGAAGGATCGGCGTTTCCTGTACTGTTCTGTTGGGGCAATTGCATTGGGCTATGCTCACATAGGGGTACGTAACGCTGTGTACAAATTTATTATCGCATTCAGACGATTACTTTGTTCAGCCTTTCCGAACTCACTGATTACTTACAACTTGGTTATTAAGAATTAAAAAAAAGAGAAGGTGAAGAACCATTCAGATTCTTGGCCAATTCCCTCTGGGTAAGCGCCAACGAAAAATTTCGGAATCGGCAAGACGTTCATAAGCTGAAGGTTCTCCATGCAGACCCGAGAAGTATCATGGGAAGTCATTCAATGTAAACATTTTGAGATTCTAGTTGGTCAAGTGTGAGTATGTCCCAAGCTCAAATGCCTCATTCCCGGGATTTAATCCAGAACGGGAGTGTTAAAATCAAATCAAAGACATAAAAAAGCATGGTCCAAAATATCCACTGATTGCACTAGGAAGCCCAGCGCACGCCCGACTTCCGGGACAAGCGTCGAACTTCCGGTGGCTTCACTTGCGCCAGACTCAGAGAGCAGCTAAGCGCCATCCAGCCTGATAGTAGAGATAGTGGCGGGGATTGAGCCCAGGATCCTGGGTTCTGCAGCGCGAGCTTTCGCTCCACGTGCTCCGAGCTGGTGTGCGCTAGACCACTCGGCCACCGATCCTCCCCTTCAGAACCGAGGTATAGGAGGTATTCACCGGACGCCATATTTGAGGGCGACGTTTAGAGCGCATGCTCAGAACGAGCTCACATTAATAGCCTGCTAAGACCGTCAAAATTCATGGTGCTAAATGCACGCTCCAAAAGTGCTGCGGAAGCTCGCCGTCAGCACGCGCTCAGCAGCAGCGCACGCAAATATGGCCGCCAGTGAATACTCCCTATACAGTCTTACCGAGGTGTAACCCAGGAAGTAACGTTGCCAGAGATCCTGGGTTCAGTGGATCAGTCCGCTTCCCCTCATTTTCAACTGTTCCAGGAGGATCGTGACGTCACAGTCCTCGCTCGATCGCGCCTTTCCCGAAAATACGGCTATCCGATTGGGATATCGGTGTATGAGTGATGTTTTTAGAGTTCGTAGCGTCCCGTTCAGGCGCGTCTGCGACCTTATTTTGCGGAATCCCAATTTCGTTTCAGCGTCCCTTTAAGATGAAACGAAGTATTTTTCCCCTTCTGCGGAGTTTGATCGCGAAACCGGAGGACTCGAGCCAGGCCCTCCCGTCGACGTTCTCTCGATCCGTCCGCAGATTGGAGCCTCCGTGTTTGCTTTGCTCGTCTGTTTACCTGGTTTGCACGTACCCCCCTATATCCTTTCCGTCCCTTGAAAAAAAAAAAAAAAAAAAACCGTTTATCGTCTGCCTATTTGACGAAGCTGCGCAGACGATGCGTTCTCTCTCTCCATTCCTTCTTTACGCACACGCGCGCACGCACACCTGTTTCTATGCTACTCACTCTTTTCACGTATCTCTTGTTTTGATCGACCCGCTTGTTTGCCAATCGTATACGAGTATCCCGAACTCGAGTGTTTCGGAATCATCTTTGCGCCTTAAACTCCGCGTTCGATCCTAATCCACTTTCACGCTGTAGTGCGGGGTGAATGCGTTTCATCATGCTGCTGCATATACGCTCCGCTAAACGCGTGTTTTTATCGTGGCGCTTTCTCGCTTTGTGTCGACGTGCTTGCAAGCAAAAATCGGAAGGGAACAGTTTAAAGGTAACCAGATCAGGGGAGGTTCTCTGCCATGGGTCGAACGACGGATGTGTTTTTGCAAGTCGGTTGCGATCGCATTCGCAAGGGCCCTCGGCGTGGGTAGGGGGAGTTTATACACACGCGGCCCGAAAAGCCTAGATGAACTCATCATCAAAAAATGTTTGTGGAACAATTGCGCTCCACCGAGGAGCCTTGTTGCAGATAGGCAATGCTGACTCGGATCAGATATTCTTTGCAGCATAACCTGGTCTCCCTGAAGGACAACTCTTAGAAGCCTCAGCGTGGCAAGTTTCGCTTGGTAAAAACAATGACAAAAAGACCCCAAAACTTGGTGTTGTTTTAAGTTAGTCACATTCTTCTACATCGACTTCCCAAATCGCCAAGTTAAAATTGTTTACTCGTGCGGTTCTTTTTTTTTTTTTTTTTTCTACTTTAGGCGTTGGGCAGCTGACCCCGTTCGCCGCGGAAACGATTTTTCGAGCGCGCGCGTACCCATAAGCCCCGACGCCTTAATCTGCGCCGCGTCTCCTCGGCGGAGAACTCTCCGTCAGGGATTAAAAGTGTCCCGACATCTGCCCTCCCGGAGATCGATGTCTTCGCTCGATCTCTCTAAGCGTAGGCGTCATGAGCCACCCTCCCTCCCTGGACTGCGGCTGCGGTGGACGGCGCGTTGGCCTCTCTTTGCCTCATTTGCAGCGACTGCGAGACAAACGATCTCTGCCGCCGCTTGTCTCCGCGTTGCCCCCGCTGGGATCATGTGACTTATGGTGTCTCGGAGTGGAAGTGCTCGCCCGCGCCCCCCTTCGCCCGTTTTCACCTCGGCTCACAAGGTACGGATGGGGCTCGTGGTTAGGGCGTCCGTCAGAGAAGGTGGGTGGGGCTCTTGTTCCAAAGGGGCCGAAGGTGAGCTTGACCCACTGTAGGTATTCGTCGATGCAAGAACTGGTAGCCGGATGGTCGGGCTGAAAAAAAGGCTAGGGCGAAACGAGCTGGTGACTAAAACATTTACAAAAGTCTCAAGACTTATGTGTCGTGTCCTGCCTTTCTCCGTAGTGTCGGGGATTTAGTCTATCACATGTTTTACGATGTTATGTTTTTAATTTCTTTTTTTTTTTTAGTTTTTGGGGTGTGAATGGCCATGTATTTGGTGGTCTGAAAAAGAGATAGAGAATGGGAGATAGTTACGGGAGGGATTCAGCAACAGCTGCAACCTCTGCTCGATAACAAGGCCGTTATGCTAGATTTTGCACGTCACCCACCGAAGGCCATTGTAGGGCATTGAGTGGACACGAGTGCTGCGTCAGTGTGAAAAACAAAACAGAACTTCTTCTGTGTACTACACTTTACCATTAGTCAAAGGCGTAGAAAAAGACATTGCGATAAATCCTTAAGCGTCGCCATCTTGAAATATCGTCACTTCCAGTATGCGCGAAAGCAGGGATGGGCAGTATTTCGCGTACAAGTATTTGAAATACGCATTCAAAATACTTCGGGTATTTTGCATTTGTATTTAATTGCATATTGTGAAATGTATTTGACGAGCGTGCTTAAATACTAAAACGTGGGTATTTCAAGTACAGTCGTAATTAAATACATTTTTTGTGGGTGAAAATACATCCCTCGAACTTATTCTCACCGCTCATTTTGCTCATCTTTAGACGTGTCCAAAGCTGTTCTTTCTATATCGCAACACGAATGGTAAAAACAAACCAAGATGCTTTTTGTACACCAGATTATGGCGCTCGTCTACAAGGGCAGAAATAGTGACGAAATTGACGTTCACAGAAAGACTGGCTAAATAAACGCACGTGACAACTTCTGATGCTTTCCAGCCTGATTTCTGCTCACATTTTTGCCTGGAACATTCTAAATGTGCGGGTCGTCCAGATTTTCGTAACTGGTGGAAGTTCCTACAATCAAAAAAATTCACTAGCTAGTGTTGCGTGGTTTGGTCGTCTCGGTTCTTTGTTGGTCTACATAAAAATGTAATCGACAAGAAAAGCTGCTTGAAATTCTGTACTTTTTTTCACCTCTTACGTCTAGGCTAATTACATTTCTTTGTGATTATATTTATATTACATACAGGGGCGGATTTAGAGGTGGGGGGGTCCGGATGTCCTGACCCCCCTCTTGATTTCTGCTTGTGTAAATTTTAGGGCGTAAAACGAAGGAGAGGGGGAGGGGGTTCCTAAACATATGGTACGCTGACCAACACCTGACACCCCCCCCCCCCCCCCCCCCCCCTCAGGAAATTCCTGCATCCGCCCTTACATTACTAGAGTCTCGCGCATTGACTCCCCACTCCCGCGTGTGTGATGCAAAATTAATATGAGATACCCAGCGAAACCAGTTGCAGGCTGCCCTGAAGTCGCCGACGTCAAATTATGAGGAACGTATTTGGAAAAGTATTTGGAGGAGACCAAATACCTCTGGTTGTACTGTATCTTGTATTGAAATACTTTTTCTGGAAATGTAATTAGATTGGTAATTAAATACTTTTTTGTCAAGGTAATTTTTTTTTTTTTTTTTTCACATAAAGAAAATTTGCACAGCGCAGTGTGAGTGTTCTTTCTTTGTGTGAGTGAACTTTTTTGAAGTGTGTTTCTTCTTTTTCGCTGTGAAAAGTTAGCATGAACAACCAACTTGGCTATGCTGAAGTATTGAGCGATAAATCCTTTTCGATAATCTAAGGCGATTTAAAACTGATTTCTAAAGTGTATGAAAGCGCGTTTTGTGAAATCTTTAGCTTTTATCAGTGTCTCCGCATTTTCCTGGATTGGTACTCAGTCCTACTTTTCTTTTTTCTTTTGCAGAACTCCATGGACCTTCCTCCGGACAAAGCAAAACTGCTGAAACAATATGATGATGAGAAAAAGTGGGATATAATCTGCGATCAAGTAAGAGCTTTGTTTTTTGCCTTTGTGAGGTACACAACCATCACGCACCCCATAAGAACTCTCATCAAACTTCAAGCATCACAGTTCCTCATTCGCATATATTACCTTTTAGTGAAGTATGATTTTAATAATATCAAGCATATTATTTACTCGGATAAGGATTAAAAGATTGCATTCTTCATTTGTTTGCTATGCCTCGTTGCACCTTGTCAGCATGCACTGTGACAACATATTTTCGTACAGGTGCAAAGACTGAACTGGAACTATTGTGGTTGTAATAAAGCTTAGTTAAAAGCAACGTAAGCATTTTGCATAATTGGAGTATCTGAAAGTACAATTAATTTATAATAATGAAACATATAACTTTTTTTCTTTTATCATGAGGAGAAAAGGCCTGAAACAGTCTTTTTTAATAGTCCAGTTGCTGAAAAAAGTTACAAAATGTAGTAATAATTTTCACTCCTGCTTTGGTAAAATAATTATGCACAATAACAAAATATTATGCAAAAAGAAAATAACTGCAGTTGAGTTAGCAAAATAGTTGGTGTGTGTTGACAATGTTCACTATCACATGATCACTATGACACACTAAAGCTTGCAAGCACAATTACCTTTCATGTAAAGATATATAAATGTAAGAGTTTATTCAGTGATGGATCATGTGGTGGCTCAAAAAATGGCCCTCACAAGACACCCATTAGGTGGTGCCACTAATCCATCTTTATTTTGGTTAGCACATTGGTAACTTTTTTGGTGAAAATACAACGTGAAAATACTAAAAAGTATGCATAGTACTAAGCATAAAGCAAAAATCGCCGTAGTTCCTACTTGATACACTTAAAGGAGACACCATACACTTCTCAGCAAGAGCATCTTTCATGTGGATTGAATGTGTACTCCCAACTACTTCTAACAACTGAAAATTATATGAACATAGAACGCTCTGTTACAATTTTTCTATTTCAAGCCTTTGTCACTAATTGTACTTCTCTTCCCTCTTTGCACCGCCGTCTAGGAAAAAGTGATCGCAAAAGCCTCCCCCTCCTTTTATTTACGTAAATTAAAGACCTACCTTGACCCCCGAGCTTCCAGGAGTGCCAAGGTAAATAATCAAATGGTGTATGATGCCGTTTCGACATTATTGTTACCAATACAGGTATATTTGACATTTCTCTTCTTCCCTTGTGTGTGCGGTGGTGGACTAACACCGATTAATCTTAACCCACCCGTTTTTTGCTCTGCGGAATGCCTTCCATTGCAAGAGGTGGCGGGTAAATATTAACGTTCTTCGTCGTGCCTGAGTGGTGCACCCCAGTTTTGACCTTGCATCCTCCCTTATAATAACTGGGGGTCATGTGGTTTTCCCCTGGATTTGTTGTTCTTTGCGTGTTTTTGATGTGGGGTTGTGGACGTTCGATATGGGGAGCAGAGCTACAATCGTCACTCGTTCGGGATTCTGGTCATTCGGTTTTAGTGTGCATGGACGCAGTCGGTTGAACAATTTCCAGCATAAAAGCAACTAAGGTGCCTTCTGTGGAGCTAAGTTGTTTCATGCATTCAACAAGTTCTTAAAATCCCAATTTTGAGTATGCTGCCTTACCTCTATATAAAGAATACAATAAAAATTAGACATTCCTTCTTTCTTCTGTATTCCGAGGATCCTATATGCAGAAAAACGAAGGAATAGAACAGTGCTTAGACAGTGTTTACCCAAGTTGCACAAAGCATGAATGCAGCCTTGATGCCAGCAACCAGGGGAGTCATTGCTCACCACTCCTTCTTTACTCGGAGATCTATGCTTTAATGGAAGTGGGACACGCATTCTAGCAATTTGTGTGCTCTTTTCATTAGTTTGTGAGGCCTGCAGCTAACGTTGAAACAAAATTAGGAACTTCTCTAGTGTTCCTTTCTTTGAAGGGATGTTGACATTGAGATATGGAACAATTTCTATAATGTAACCTCTCTGGAACTCGCTTGTAGCTCTGCTCTCCTGCATCAACTTGGTGGTTGCGGGATGTATGCATGGTTTGGAAATGGTGTAGTCAGTTTTGTTGTAGTATTTTGAGATCTACAAAAGGAAGAATGAAGGAACATAAAATATTGTGTAGTACTCATTCTTTGGTTGTCGAAAGATAGCCTGTTTAATGGTTTTTCCTGGTCCTTCAATGGCATTAATAGCCCGTTCCTTTCTCTTTCCTTTTCATTCTTTGATTGTGTGTAGGGCTGCACGTAGGTTTAGGCACGTGAGCACCTTCGCATGTGTTTGCATATGACTTGTACTTACAAGAAACCTCTTTCTGCAAGCACATATTTAGGAATAATACCTATACAAGGTGTATTATGAGACCAGGAATACCAAACACTATACATTACACTGATAGACTGTAAAATAGCTAACTAGGTTGTGTGAGGCGCGCTCGTCGATGAAGATAAGGTGCTTAGCTGAACATTTCTTCGTGCGTGAATTCAGTAAATCTAATGTGGCTGCACATTGTTATATGTGGCACATGTAAGCAAAAACGATCTTATTAAACCTGGCTGCTAATGTCAGCGAGGTACATGGTTACACGCAAAATCCCGTATGAACACCCGCCTACGGTGAAGAGATAAATGGTGAAAAATATCGGGTGGGCGATCTTTAGGGATACGGCAACAAAATTTTAACAAAAATGAGTGAAGCGCCGTTCACACTCTTGCGACCAGACTGAAAGAGACCAGACCGGTTTTTAAGCCTCTTGCGACTTCGTAGGACCGGATGCGATGCAGCGGAGCTGGTCCTAAGAGATCGCAAGAGGCTTAAAAGCCGGTCTGGTCTCTCTCGGTCGTACTCGGTTGCAAGAGTGTGAACGGGCCTTGATAAATATTGGGGAACTCGCTGCGAACCACTTGACACGGGCACTGAAACCGCAAATCGCGGAAATGGCAAGTTCACGTTCCACTGTGCAATAAACACGCTGGAATTCGCTACAAACTCCCGGATACTGCAAATCGCAAACACAGCAGATTGGTATTCACGTTGAGGTAAACAGGCGGGAAGCCGCTACGAACTCTGATGTGACGAGAACCGACATCGCACGCGCAAATTGCGGACACGTCGAACTTAGCAACAAAAAACATGCGGGATCCCGCGGCGCGCTAACATATTACGGGAACGAATACTGCAGCTTGCGGATGCATCAGATTCGCGTTTCACAGTGCGATAAACACGTGGGAAGCCACCACGGACTCGCATGTCAAGGGAACGCATATCAAACGCGCATATCGCGGACGCGTGTTGGTGTGATTCCCGTCCAACATAGCGTGATGTTCGATGGGAATCGAAGGTGGGCGATGTTTTGAAATTTTTTGCCTACAGTATAGATATTTAGACAGAAAAATGGGATGGAAAATCTGTGGAAGGACGCAGTCCATACGGGGTATTGCGTGGTGCTTAGAAAACATGAAAAAAAAATATATATTTTTAATATGATTTTCTTTCAATGTTTTTGCCATCAATGTCAAACGTTTCTTATCAGTTTGCTTTCACATTGCCTCATTATGTTTTGTTATTGTCATAAGAAGTCTCTTATCATTATAGTATGCTACATAAAAGCCAGAGGTTGCATAGGCATAACAGATAGTAAAGTTAAAGTATTTATTTTAGCACATTACTAATGTAGTCCCTCGGGGCACCATAAAATGAAAACTGCATCAGTATGAGGACAGAACGAGCGGGTTGGTGGGATAATTAAACTTGAGGAAGAAAACGATAAGGGAAGAAAAGGAAAAATATGATATAGATTCCTACATTACTAATGCCCATTTTCACATAACTTGATATCATTATACACTTTCAAAGTGTATACTGCTGATAAAATGTGTTATGAATAATAGTTTTGTAGCCTTGATGAGCAAGTCTTTCAAAAATGCAACCAAACTATTTAGGGCATGAATACAAAGCAAGTTATTTGTGTATCTGCATGACGACATGCTATCATTCCAGTGAAATCTTTTTCCACCTAATTATTTTGCAACCATCTTGCCTTTCAGAGACGTCGAACCCTTGGTGATTCTAAGTCTACCCAAGTCCTAAGGGACTTGGAAATTTCGTTGAGAACAAATAACATTGAGTATGTATACCTGACCACTCCAGAAATGCTGCCGGAAAGAGCTCCTTGGAGCCAATTGACTAAGGCTTTTGTTTTTTGCTGTTTCTGCAGATGGGTCAGAGAGTTCCTCGATGAGGAAAACAAAGGACTGGAAGTGCTTATTGACTATCTCACTTTTCAGTTAGGGTTCTTGAGGTAAGTGTATTTTTCAGAGGTTTGATCTGACATTACATTCTAGATGTAAGATGAAAAGGAAAAAAATACTTCAAAGTGAGCATCAACATGTTGCATGGTGCTCTAGTAAAAGATTTCTTGAGATTTTCTAAGAATTCAAAGCGACCATAATACCAGCGGAAATCTTAGGTGCTGCGCAAACTATTTTTGCTGAATACAGTATTGTGTGGAAAGACAAAACGTATGAAGGGGATACCTTTGTATGTTTTATAAATCTCTGTGATCTTCAGGCTTTGGCTCTTACACATCATATACATGGTGTTATGAATTGAGGGGCTTACTCTAAAATGAGCCAGAAAACTTGGTGTTTGTTTGTAACAATTTCAAACTTCTACCAAAGGTTATTTTAATGGTAGACATTATCTTGCGATATTTCAAGATATAGCTCTGTTCATATGAAAAGTTGGATAACACTCTTGACAGTTTCAACAGTGGGCATCGATGCAGACAACCGTGCCACTTTAGAGTCATGCATGTTTGTCATCTCCTCATACGCATAGCAAGTCCTTGATAACTGTCGTCTACTTTTGACCAAGTGTTTGTTGTGCCTATCAGGAGATGACACCACATGCTTGACTCTCAAGCAACTTAGTTGCATTTTTCTGTGCCCACCACTTACATGTCAACACAGTTTTAGTTTTTGACAGGAAACGGAGCTGTGGCTTAGGATTTCGCAAGGCAATGTCCGTCATTAAAATGTACCTTCAGTGAAAGTTTGAGCTTTACATGTCGGTGCCAGTTTTAACACGATAGCGTTTAGGAGCTTGTGCCGTGAAACATCCGGCGTCGGCGAGACCATAAAATCCCATAATGCAACGTGTGCAGCCACATGTGACGACACACGTGGCTGTGATTTCATGACCCTATTGACCCGCTAAATTTAGTAGTAAAATTTTTGCTAAATTAACTGGAAAATTTTCCCGCCAAATTTAGTGGAAACTTTTTCCCTCTAAATTTAGCGGAAAATTTTCCCTCCATATTTGGCGGGAAAATTTCAATGAAAACACGTGACGCCACTGATTAGACCACGCACAAACGCTTGTACGGCTTGGGAACAAGTGTAGGTTTGGTGAGAAGGCTTTGAGAAGGGTTCTGGATAACACTATTGCGTTCCACTTTTAAAGGCAAAGCTTAAGTGTCCCCCAAGCCGTACAGTATATACATACTTAAAAAAGCATGAATCACACTAAAAAGACTATAATGATATGTGGGAAATGCCTACAAGTAGTATATATTCATATTTTTCTCATTGAAGTGGTGTGAAGTGTAAAGCGCGTAATCAACATTAATCTTCACTTCAGTTTGTTGCCCATGTAAAAGAAACTCATGCATTTCTTCTCGGGCCCTAGATATGACAAAGAGAGCTTAACACTGGGTTCCACTGAGAATGGTTACGCAAGCCCAGCAAACTGTCGAAAGTCCATCTTAGAGATGGACACGCCCAAACTAAAACGGGCAACAAAACATGCTGCCAAGTTGCACATGGGAGAGGCAGAGGACGACATCCACGTGTGTATCATGTGTCTCAGGGCAATCATGAACAACAAGGTATGTTCCTTCATGTCTCACTTATCCTGAGACCATTTTTCTACTGAATATTTTCAAATCAAACATTGAATAGTTTTCAAGTCTTTGGCTACCATGCACCATGCTTAAACAAAAATTCATCTGAACTCCTGAAGGTTGTTTCTAACCTTCCATTTCTACACTTCTATGGTCATTTAATTTTAATATAACTATATGAACTCATGCATGTAAATGGACGGCTTGTTACAGCTACCCTAATCCAAGGGATTTATAACAGCTATATTTTTTTTAAATTTTAAATCTGTGAATAACAAAAAAAAAAAAGACCTTTACAATTCTCTGTAATGCCGAATTAGAGCGCAGTTTTTGAGGAAGGAATGGTACGGAGGGGAATTTACCGGCAAATTGTGTGACAATTTCCCGGTAAATTCCCCGGCCAAATTTAGCGGAAAAATTTTACCGTTAAATTTAGCGGAAAAAATAGCCCGCTAAATTTGGCCGAAAAATTTCCCCTCTTAATTTGGCCGAAAAATTTCCCTGCTAAATTTTCCAGAAAACTCCCCGCTAAATTTGGTTGGAAAATTTTTGCTAAATTTAGCGGAAAATTTCCCTTCTAAATTTAGCGGAAAACTTTTTCGCCAAATTTAGTCGCCGTGTGACGTCGCGAGAGTGACGTAACACGTGACGTCATCCTCGTGACGTCACCCGTGACTTTTGTGACGTTACACGTTTCGTCACGTGTGACGTCATGATGGGAAACGTCCCATAATGCAACGCGTGGTTACGCCAGCGGCGACGCCGCTCAAGCCGGAAACGGGTGTCTAAGAGCTGCACTCTAAAAGAAACAAAAAAAAACAAGAATGAATGATAAACGCGGGCAGTCAAGACATTGCTGCCTAACATCTGCCTAATCTGGCAGGTTAGCCCCGTCCACCCGTCCACTGAGGGAAAGCAATCGTGCTTTCCCACAGTGCACAGGTGCCCGGGGAGAAGCGCACTCAATGGGGCTAATCTGCCGCGATCAGCACTTCCAAAAGTAGAACTATTGCAGTTCACCCCAAAGGGAATATTGAGTAGCGTATTATTCTAAACTGCAATTTGAATATTTGCCCAACACTATTTGTTACTGTTGAAACAATGCACGAGAATCCAGTTAGCCCACTTGACCACTGACTTTTTTTGATGGCATATGTGGTTCTTGGATTTAACTAAAGTTTAATGAGGCTCTTGATAGTGCAAATAGATAAAATTTGCATTGTTGAAGCTATGCACCAGAATCCAGTTAGCACACTTGACCACTGACTCTTGTTTAAAAATTGTAGTGTTTTTATGTTTATACAGCCTAGAACTTAGTCTGCCTCAATTGGCACCTTGTCTCCCAGCTGTAGATGAAAAATTTAGCCAGTGCAGTACAACCGCTAAACCTGGAGTCTTTAACGTGCACCACACAGTAGTGATACACGACCGCACGCCGGTACGCTGCTCATCCAGATCGAAACGGGCAGGGGTGGGGATTGAACCCAGGATCCTTGGGATCTGCAGCACGAGCTCTCGCTCCACGTGCTCCGAGCTGGTGTGCGCTAGCCCACTCTGCTACCGATCCCCCCTGGCTCTTCTTTATGATGGCATATTGTGACTCTTGGTATTAACTAGTGTTGAATGAAGTTTTTAATAGCGGCTAAAGGGGTAAAAAAAAACCTCATGCATAAAAAACTGCTTTGTACCTTTCAGATTTTGCCTTAATGATGCAATCTGGCTGACAATAAGAAATAGTGTCTTTATTTTATTTTGTATATGTAAGAAGTCTTTTTCTGTAGCTTTTCTTGAAACCGTTCCTAAATTTTGCTTCATAGTAGACCCAAATATATCTTGTAGCACCGCCATATTTCAAGTAAAATTTGATGTCCAGGTTATATTCTGACTTGTTTTTTGATTGTGCTCTTTGATTTCTCTTCGAAGTTTGGCTTCAACATGGTCATTGAACACACCCAAGCAATAAACTCCATAGCCTTAAGCCTCAACCACAAAAGTCTAAGGTATGTTTTTTTGCACTTTGCAACTTTTTAAAAATGTTTTCAATTATAATGTATTTTTATTTTAGAAACCTTGTATTATTCCCTAACATCACACTCTCATTTCATTTCTCATACTCATTAAAGCCAAGATGTAAGCGAACTTGTTTAAGATGGACATTTTAACCAAAGAGTGTGTTTACATTTGGGTTATCCGTCTCAACACTTTAGGATGTTCATACTCATACTTGCTTGCATAACTTATGTTTTGCGTCTTGTTTACTGCTCCCCTCATATGCATACAATCGCATGTCCTTAGCCCAACAGAAATGCTTACTTTTGTTGTAAACTGGTCTCATGCAACAACCACGTGTTTACACTGCAGTACAGGGAATGAAGTTAGCCTAGTCTAGTTGGTAGTACAAAGTGGGGAAATAGATGCAGCTCTAAACTCTAAGAGACACTTGGACAAAGTTCCGAGTCGGTGTGCTCACTCACCCAACTAGCTTTTTGAGCATTTTAGAAGTTATACATACTAATAATGTAGACAAAAAGTTGTGCTGCTTCTGTGCTGCTTCTGTCTCTGAACAATGAGTTCACTCTTTCTTCGTTGGCCGCTCAGGACGAAAGCCCTGGTGCTGGAGCTCTTGGCTGCCATCTGCCTCGTTAAAGGTGGCCACCAAATCATCCTTAGCGCCTTTGACAATTTCAAGACGGTCTGCAGTGAGCCAAGACGGTTCAAGACACTGATGGACTACTTCCGGGACTACGAGACATTCAACATTGATTTCATGGTTTGTTTTAGCTATGTATTTTCTTTTTTTCTTGTGTCTTTAGCTTTGCTGAAACCTTGTTGTTACTTCGCAATTTATTTATCTATTTGTATATTTATTGCACCCTTAAAAACCCAGCAGGGCATTACATAAAGGGGGGAGGGGGGCAGAGAAAAAAGGTGAATAGGAACAAAGCATTCACTATCCACTACTACCAATATTCATATACAAAAATGAAACAAAAAACAAAAAAAAAAGCCTGTTCAAGAAATTCTTTGATTTTGAGTGCCTCAAACTGGTATGGCCCTGCTATCACATGTGTAAGAGTTGCCATTTGCCAAGTTTATTCAGCAGCTGCAGTTAGAAACTTTTGCATCAGCTTTTGCAAGAGCTGTCTCGGCAACTGCCATCATACTGGCTGTGCTTGCAGTGGCAAAAGGTATTTAACTTGTTGGCGTGTATTGGAGTTAGCTCCAGCTAAAGCAAGTGGAAGCTTATACAATATAGTGGTTACATGATATGCAAAACCTTGTGCAGACATGGCGACTCACCTCTTTTCTGATATATATCTCGGGAATGGGGGTGTGTCACATTGTTTGGGTGCTATTTTTAGTAGGGGGGGAAGTCTGCATATGCGTGTAATTTTTAACTTTCTAGGATGCTTAGGGCACATGAATTGTCTTTGCAGCATAGAAAGACAGTATATCTCAAAAACTGCTTTAGTTCCTCTGACCTAGTGAAGGTATATATGAAATGTTTTGCTGCGTGAGAGTAGTATGTAGTTATTTAGGTGACGTAAAGATAGACAAGATAAAGTTAGTGCCAGCTGCAAAGAGAAATCTTGTTACCTCAATATGATGTTTCATTCTCACTTCAAACTGGAAGTGTTAAGTAAGAAATTGTTTCAAAATTATGTCACTTCTAGTCAAGTGTGGATAATGGACGTTGAGTTCAAAGTGAATTCAAAGCGAATAGTGGTTTTGGCTGAATATTTTTAGATCGAATATCGAATAACTTCTCCAAGCCTTGCACTACCGCGAACCACCCTTCAACTAATATTCAGCTGAACTCGTGAAAATTGTTCCCTACCTTCCACTTCTAAGCTGAGTTCGGTTTAATATAGCTATATTTATTAACTGTGGCATAGAAATTTAAAAAAAAAAGTTGCTGCTATTTTAATTGAAGGGATTTATAAGTCTCCTTGCTATTTGCGAATCTTTTTTCTTCAGTTTTAAATTTGACCCACTAAAAAACAACAACAAAATAAGCACGAATGATGAGCGCGAGTTGTCAAGAAATCGCTAACACATATTCTTGCATAATCGCGGCGAGTTAGCTACGTTGAGCGCGCTTTTGACGGAGCACCTGTGCACTGCGGGGAAGCAATACCCGCGGAGCCCGCAAGCTTTGCAGGTATTGCTTTTCCGCACTGCACGGGTGCCCGGTGTGAAGCGCACTCAATGGGGCTAACTCGCCGGGATCAGCACTTGGAAAAGTATGAATACCACAGTTCATCTCGAAGCGAATATTAAATAGCTATTATTCTAATCTACTACAGTATATGAAAATTCAAATATTTGCACAAGACTGATCACTATAGCTATAGTTGGTGACAGGTTAAGAGTTGAAGGGAAGTTCCTCCCACTGCTTTCCCTGCAGCAGAGCAAATGCTGAGAGGAGGTCTTCCTTTCCTGCATGATTACCTTTAAAGTGGTAAGAGGTGGGACAAGCTTCCCCTGAACTCTTAACCGGTCATCAACTATAGTGAGCTGCAACTTAGTTACGCAGTTCAAAAAAGAAATAAAAAAACTGTCTTTTTATATTCGGCCAAATTGTAATGCAAGAAGAAAGAAAAAGGCTATTTTTGATTATGCAACTTCAAAAGCAATACAGTATAACCAGGTACAGTCCCATGTCCATTCTCCATGGCCCATATTGTATGAAATCTTGTTCTTTCCACTACTTTCATTTTGTTCTGTGGATGTAGCGTTATCAGTACTCTATGCAGTTTTGGAATGCTGACATTTGTAAAATTAAATTGAAGCAAACATGTATGCATAACGGCGTGCCACATTCTTTATTTTAACGAGGAGACTGACCCATACGTATGAAGGAAGGTCACCTTACACCTTTATAATTACATGCCATGGAATTTGACTCGTAAATGGACATGAAGAAAGACCCATTTCACTGACTTGTGAGATGAAGAATTTAGAAAATGGGTATGCTGAAAGTTGCGTGGTCTCGCCCTCTCTCCCAGGTGGCCTGCATGCAGTTCATCAACATTGTGGTGCACTCCGTGGATGACATGAACTTCCGAGTGCACCTTCAGTACGAATTCACCTTCCTCGGGCTGGACGACTACTTGGAGCGACTGCGGTCGACCGAGAGCGAGGAGCTGAAGGTCCAGATCTCGGCCTACTTGGACAACGTCTTTGATGTCCAGGCTCTTATGGAGGACTCGGAGACCAAGAGTGCTGCACTTGAGCAGGTTGCAGAACTGGAAGAGCAGATCTCAAGGGTGAGCTTGTTCTTCTCATGGTCACAAATGTCCTCTATGCATATCCATGCTGGAGCCCCCATTCAAAGCAAAGGGGAAGCTGTCCTCAGTTTGTGTTGGGACGTGATTTTCTTTTTTTCTTTTTTTTTTTTGCTTTCCGGTTGTGCTCTAGGAAAGGAACACAGAAGGAAAGGATTGGCTGTGTCCATGAACTTCCTTGTTTTTTCTTTACCTTTGCATCTTTACGAGCTTGCATATTGAGCCTCATTTCTTCCTCTTATATTGTTTTGTTGCCACTAAGAGTATACATTGATTTTTACAATGCTTATTTTGCCTTTAATTTTCAGTCACACGAACTTGAAAATGAAACGATGGCCAAACTGGGTGAGTTTTACAATTTTTTAAAATTTTTATTGTGTAGCAAAATTTTAGACCTTGCAATGTTCTATATGCACATTCTCAGTGTGTTGCAGTATTTTTTACATTTCAAATCTTACACTTTCAGTGGAGCTGGAGACGCAACTAGAACTGCTGTACAAGGAGAACCAAGAGCTTTCAGTATGAAAACATTTATTCCATCGTTTGCTGTCTCTAAGCTTCAATTGACAGTCTTGCATGACAAAAGAGCTTCTAGTTTTACACAGTAACATGATTGTCCAATGCAACTAGATAGCAGATCATTTGCCATTTTAGTTCATTTTAGCTGCCTATGTATGCACTATTTTAAGGATTGAGGGAACTCTTTCAAAATGCAAGACTGATAGATATTTAGAAAGCCAGTTTTTTTTATGGTAGCGGGCATGTAAATACTTCCTTCATAAATTAAAAAAAAAAAGCTCCAATAACTTATTAGGAAGGGACAAACTGGAAGATTCTTTTTGTTGTTTAACCTTGTTTGCTTCAGCCATTACATTATGGGTGTGTTTTTAAGCCCATTATTAACAATGCTGAATACTTATTCAGGTGGAACAAATGTTTTTGGTGGTTCCATTTGGGACTAAATGCGTGTCCTGCATGTTTGCAATATTATAATTACAGAAACACTTCTTAGGTAATTTTATACTGTTGGATAATAAAACTAGTGTAAGACATCATCATCGTATAAGGGAGACTTTTGTAGGTACAGTTGTTTCTAATTGAGATATTTACTACGTCGATTTGTAAGAAATTAGTCCGTAGTTTCATCAGAGTCTTCCAATATTTGACAGGTTCTGGAAAAGATATTCATTATTTGATTAGCCCTAACATTTTCTGCACAGGAATTCCGGCAGCAGGCAGACGAAGAGTTGAACACGCTGCGGAAGGCCGTCTCTCAGAAGGAGGAGGAGAAACGACAGCGGGAGAGTTTCCTCGAGGGCAAGATTCAGGAGCTGGAGAGCCTGACTGGGACGTTACCCAAAGGTGCCGCATGCTTTCTGCAACTTCTACAGTCTTGTCTCCCACCAAAGGTTAAGAATTAGCACTTACATTCATAGATGTAAGTGGTAATCATAAAAGCATTTAGGTTATGCTATCTTGAATAGAGTATATAAGTCATTTGCAAGTGTGACTGGGTCATTCCTTGAAGCTTGCATATCCAAGCCGACTGCTTACGACCAGAAATGCTGAAAAACCTGTTGTGGAGCAGTCAGTCTTGGTCAATTGCAAGCATGTCAACCAGCCTTTACTCTCAGAAGTGTAAGTGCAATTCATCAAAGTATTTAGGTTAAACAAGCTTAAACTACTAGTACTTAAGTTACCTGCGCCGGCCTATGAATAAGCTCCACATCTATGGTCTGTTGCAACATAAGATCTACAGTAAGAGCTCTGCTTCCCCAGCACATACTTTCTACTTTAGATAACACCTCGATGCATGCGCCGTCAAAGCATGATCGAAGGCAAAAAGTTAATGTCGGAGGTGAACCATCTTCCTGTGAATCATACATACGGCAACAGACTATTAATGTGTAACCCATGGAAACTGGGGATTGAAGAGACAGCACAATACGAATCTCCGCTGCTTCTTCTTGTTTCCAGGTTCCACGACAAGCTCGCTCCCGGGCGCGCCTGCATCCGGGGCCAGCTCTGCTCCTGCCCCTCCCCCTCCTCCAATGCCCGCAAGTGCTCCTCCCCCTCCTCCTCCCCCTCCGCCCATGCCGGGCTGCAACGCCATTCCCGTGCCACCCCCGATGGTGCCCTCCCTCAAGGGAGGGTTTGTGATGCCACCCCCACCTCCAGGAAGCATGCTCGCTCCACCCGACGGTGAGTGCAGTTTGGGGCTTGCGCTGCGCTAAGGAGTGAGGAGTAACAAGACTTCTTATCGGTATCTGGAAACCACTTAACATGCAACACAAAAGCAGCACAAAAAACACAAGGACAGAGTTGAGGAACTAAGCAGACATGCCACAAATGTTCCTGTTCAGTTCTTCTACTTCATTCTTTAGTTTTGCGTGCTGTTTTTTGTTGTGATCACTGTGTACGCAAGCTAACCCAAGTACATGCATTGATGCATAGATAGAAATAGAATGAATTCTTAGCAAGGTCAAATCATTGTCATGAAATGTCTGTGTCCTCTTTGATCACCTTATGAGCTCTTGGATCTGCCTCAGAACGCGTCACAGTGACTCGACAAATGTAAAGATACTAAAATTTAAAATTGCTCCCACTATCCTCATAACCAGCTGTGATATTTCTTAATGCTCATTGCTAGTCACTAGAGTGTGGCTTAGAAGGAGATGAGCAGCTTCTAATGCAAAGACATCATATTGCAGTGTTCATGCTTTTATGTCCTTCTTTTCTGTTTTTTTTTATAACAAATTTTAAACAAGTTTTAAACGAACATGGCTTCTTGTGACTCGTGAAATAAACTTAAGTGTGGCTTCTGCCTTTTTAGCAATGACAATCAAGCGCAAGTTCCAGACGAAATACAAGCTCCCGACCCTCAACTGGATTGCCCTGAAACCCAACCAAGTTCGAGGAACTGTGTTCAGCGAGTTGGACGAGGACAAGTTGTACAGTGTACGCATCTCTCCTGGCTGTCATGAAATTGTGCTCCATTCTTTTAAGGGGGGATATTAGGGTAAACCAACCAAAAAAACGATTTTGCAGTTTTAAAGTTAAAAAATTATATGCAGTCTGAGGAACAAAATCAGAAAGCGGCATGAACGAACAAACTTTCCAAGTCACTTAATTATGGTGCCAAAATCCGCATTCCCTTCCCGTTTTTTATCGTGTCGAGACATTAAAATGTTTTTCTCAAAACAAAATTTTTGCTATTTTCGGAAATGTGATCTACCTTTACTAAGAAACTACTTATCCGATTACACTGAAACTTTTGCTGCTTATAGTAAAATATCTTGCCAACAATTTGAACCTAAACGTTTTAAGAATTCACTATATTATAATGTTAAAAAAATTAAAATAAGAAGTTGGCTCATGACTAGAAAGAACAATAATTTTTTTCTTGCATGCTGCATGTTCAAACTTATTTTTCTTAGGTTCAGTTCAAAGCCAGTACCGTGTAGAAGATATGTGCCAAATTAAATGGACATCCTCTTTTTTGTTGTTGAGAAAAGGTACATTAAAAACTGCAACTCAGCTTAAGGTGTGACACTCCGTTATGAAAAATATAAAAAAATGCTTTAGTAAAAAAGCAAAGAGAAAGTTAATCCCAAAGGTGTATCCATTCAATACATAAAATTTCCCAATAAAACATCCAGTAGTTCTAGAGATACAAAATGAAAACCAAGATAGTCAAGATGACACGTTTACCCTACCATCTGCCCTTTAACAAGCCCCCTGTCTCGATTTCTTTAAATAAGTTTGCTCCTTTAGTTTTCACATAACAATTCAAATCTTTTGTATTTAATGTACTAGTTCTGCATACTGTAATATCCCAAGAAATGGCCCACCTCCGAAAGATAACTGACCCCTATATTTGGCACGATTTGCAATTTAAAAAAAAAAAAACTCAGAAAGCTAGCTTACCTTTAGTAGTTGCAGCGTCCCGGCCAATGGTGACCTCAGCAAAAATGGAGTTACTTAGCCGTGACAGGAGATAAGCGAACATTACTGACTAAGAGAACAGTCATTTTTTGGTTCATAACCCCTCCCTGCAATCACAAGTTTCGTCAGTCACACAATTTAAAACTACCTTTTTTTTTCTTCACCTGCTTTTGATCGCACACCTAAAGCTAGCTTACTCCTTTTCTTCACCTGTTTTGCTTTCAATTTGCTGTTTTGCTGCCTTGGGATATTATTGCACGTTTATGAAACACGAAGAGTTGGCTCATAATTGTTTCCTGTTTCTTGTTTTTTGGGGTTTCCTGAACCTTCCAGGCTGTAAGAGAACAAAAATAAGAACAAAGCTAACCTTTTTTATGTTTATTTATTATTCAGTTTTTTCAACAGGTCATACAGGGCAGCTGACTTTTTAGGACTTTGCTTTATTGAAGTGTGAATGAAGGAATCTAGAATCGCATATTATGATGTGGACAGAAATCATGAAATGAAAAGTAGTTTTCTCTCGTAATAATATTTTTTTTTACTACGTATTTAGTTTTAGTGTTTTTATTGCTAATATAAATTTTATAAAAAATTGTGCTTTTAGAAATGTAAGCATATTTCTCTAAAATAGTTCATTACGGGCAACCTGTTTGGACACAAAAAAAAGTGGAATAAATTGGGTCATGCGTTGTTTTGTGTCTGAGGCATGGTTAGAAGTCCTAAGTCTTCTAACTTTTTCTTGCGTGTATTTCAACCCTTCAGGTCATTGACTTCACACGCTTTGAAGAGCAGTTCAAGTTGGGCGTCCAGGGTGCCTTCCCAGATAGGGGAGACGACATCAACAGCAGCAAACGTTTCAAGGTATGTGCACCTGATTTTCTACAGCAAGCACATATCCTTGCTTGACATTTGTGGCATGAAAAGTTTCACAATAAATTTACCAGAGCTTACATGCTTGGATGCAGTGCTCTCAGGTGCACAAAGCTGTGAATGTCATTCTACGAGCATATTTGTTTGCAAGAGCACAGCACTTAAAGCCACACATTTATATATAGCAGCAGTTGCCTCCCTCTAGTAGCTGCTCATTTCATAGAATTTAAAATTGTGATCAGTTACCCGAAGTAAGAATTAAGCTGGCATTTTTTCTTAAGGGCGTAAGGTGCCCCTGTTTGCGGTTGCCGGCAATCTCACACAATCCCCTATTGCAACGCAGGTCCCCGAGAAAGTGACGCTGCTCGAGCACAACCGCCTGCGGAACATGGCCATCTCGAGGCGAAAGATTGAGCTGGCCACCGACGTGGTGGTGAAGGCAGTCAACAACCTCGATCTCAAGACTGTCTCCCAGGACTGCGTCGACATCCTCCTCAGGATGGTTCCCAATGACGCTGAGGTATGCGTACAGTTTGGCTCCTTGGTGCAATGCTGGAGCTAACATTGTTACGGGAATTGAAACATTGACACAGCGTTAGGGTTTTTGTTGATGGTGCTTGATGCAGGGATTAATTTTTTTGTAAGAATCTGTGCACAGAAATCCTGTTTTGTATGTATGCTACAATTTTTTTTAGTGCAACTTATTACCAGGCAAGACTGTTCCAGCTCTCAGATGTTCTGCTTACCAAAAAGAAAGAAAAAAAAAAAAAAAAACTACTCCGAAAACATTGGGAATAAAAAAATAATTTTTAAGTTCAATTTATTGAGGAAGGTCCCTTATCTGAGCTTCAAAGCATTAAAAAAATGTAGCAAATTGTCATTTTAAACTATGAAATTCTTGTGCAACTGCGTTATGTATCCAATCAAGATACATTCTCCAAAATGGAGGAATTATAGTGTTTAACTTGTGTATGAGCAGATTTTCTAGGCTAGACCATTTTTTTTTTATAATAGACAAGCCTAGAAATAGGTTATACCAGCAAAAGTGAAACATTACAGGGGTGTTACTTTTCAATGCAACACTTTACAGATTGGGCCAAGCACTTCCACTTGGACTGTGTCTTGAATTCTTACGAAGCCATATCGAAAGATAACTCTTTTTATAATTGTGATGATTTTGATTCCTGCAGAGAAAGGTCCACAAAACATTATCACTATAGTCGGTTACAAGTCAAGAAGGTAGGAGAAGCTCCTCCCACAAGTGTGATGCGCCCGTTTCAAATCTCTCCGCAGTCGAAAGAAGAGTTCACTGGAAACGCTCCTTGTTCCGCTTCAATGGATTCCCACTTGTCTCCGATCCCACTTTTTAAGAAAGCGACCTTTGTATTCACTGGAGAGGGAACCGAGCCCCTGAAAGCAGCCTTTGTATCCATCGGGGGGGAAGCTAATCTCCGAAAGTCGTATTTGTTTCCGTCGGTGGGGGAGAACTCTAATCTCCCTCTCGTGGCTTCCACAATGCTAAGTCAAAGTCGAAAAATAAAGCAAATATGTACAGAAAGGCAAGACCCTCCTCGCGCGTTGGCCGCGACGTCAAGGAAACGGTGGGACGCTATTGGATGCGGAGGTGGCGGAGGGATATGGCATTCCCTTTGAGGGGCATTTGCCGCTACCTTCTTAACCTGTAACTGACTATAAGAGGGAATGAATCCGTTTGCTTTCCTTCTTTTGAACCCTGCATAAAGACTTGCGAAGTGTGAGCAACAACTTGGGGCATCAGATGGGCTAGCTCTTTGCTTACCATGATTAAAGAGTGATCAGTCACTGAATGCCATTACTAACTCTCTATTGCAGACAAAGGCCTACCGTGAGTATGAGAGGGAGAAGAAGTCTGTGGATGCCTTGACAGACGAGGACAAGTTTTTACTTCAGGTGTGCAACATCTTTTTTTTTTTTTCGTTTTTTGTAATTAAGATTTTTTTTTTTGCATGTTAAGTTTTTTAGAAAGTTTGATTTACTCTTAATTTTTTTAGCTGACCAAGATTGAAAGGCTATCACAGAAGCTCAACATCATGAGCTACATTGCTGCATTTGCGGAAAACATTCAAGTCATTACGCCGGTAAGCACTATGGTCATGGTTATTAAATGGTTTCATAAATTTGTCATCTTTTTGTTTTCTGGGGAGTTTTTTTGCTATGGGTGATTGCTCAATCCCACTCCTTAGCAAATGATTCATAATGTCTGTACCAAAATATCATTCTACAAGAAAAAGAGTTTCGGTGCTGAGTGTATTTCTACTGGCTTGAAACTTGTTTTGCTGACGTTGGATTTTGCTTTGTTTTTCAGCAAGTTCATGCAATAACAGCAGCATCAAGAGCAATCAAAAACTCAAAGCGACTTCGAAAGCTCCTTGAGGTAATTGAAGGAGTGTTAATAGAAGAATCTGGAGTTGGGCAAGTTGGTACATCTTAGATTCGAAAAGCGCCAAAAAACAAGTATACCAGCGCATCGTTTCGTCTATTCCTTCTGTTGTCCTTGTTTTCTAGCGCTTTTCGAATCTAATGAGTGTTAATAGTCAGAATAGTGACTTGTTTTGGGACTGGCTACTAAGTCCAATAATGTAAGTATATTGAGTTTAAGACACCCTAATATGAAAGGTCTGTTAGTTCTTGGAGAAGTTACATAAATTTGCAAATACCATACTGCACAAAATATAAGGAGGCCCAGAAATGCCTGTCACAACAAAGAAATTTTAAATACTGTGAAGTAGTATGTATAATTTAGGAGTATTCTATATATGGTCACTGTGGATTATTCTCTAAATATTTTTGCTTAATAAAGGGTGTGCAAAGTACTACAACCAACCTCCTACTTTTACTAGTATGGCAGTAAAAGAGATCAATAGTTTTGCTTTCCAGCACTGCAGCTGTGATAGGCCACAAAGCCAGAGAAAGAGCATGTCTTTCACAATGTTTTTATAGTAACCATTAAAGCTTCACATAAAAAAAAAATTGTTCTTGGACATATTTTTTGGTTGCTTTCTCCTTTTATTGCAAAGCTTCGTGCCATTACTGCTTCACACATCACTTTGTCAGCCAGCTATATTTGTCTCCAAATCTAGAAGGACTTCAGGTTTTGTCATTTTGTTTTTAATTTAAGCAAGTTAGCATTTTGTCTGCTGATCATCGCCATCTGCATTCTTCTGGCTGGGATTGACGTGTGCTGTGATGTTGCTTGTTCCAGGTCATCCTTGCGTTCGGAAACTACATGAACAGCTCCAAAAGGGGTCCTGCCTACGGGTTCAAGCTTCAGAGTCTTGACATGGTTGGTCATGGGATTCATTCTGTCCAGCTTTGTATAGATCTGTTTTAAGTGTTCTTCCTTTCGCTTTTATATTGTTAATATAGTACCATATTTACTTGCATAATGAACACACTCTTTTTCCCCAAAAATTGACACATGTTTGGGGGGTGCGTTCATTAGACAGGGTAAAATGTTCGCATTTACACACTTCGTGCAACTTTCATATTAGGCGCCAATATGACACGGTAATGTACTGTGGCACGTCTCCACTGATGGAGACTCACCCACGGCTGGTCGGGGGGGCGCCACAGTAAATATGCTTTATAAATTGCAAACCTTTTTAGAGCGCTTTCGGCGTGCCTTTTGCTGAAGGAAAAGCGCCCTACGAACCTCACTCAGCACGGAGAGAAACGTGACCGTTCTTAGGCCTAACCATTCACGATTTTACTGTCCGAAAGCAAACCACAGATGCATCCGATGGGCGAAGAATGTCCGGGGCTGTGCAATTCCTCGACCCAAGCTTTGTAAAGTGTGCACGCCACTTGGTTTCACGATTGATCACTTCTGCAACTACACACTTGCAGTCATTTCGAGAGCGGCTTGGCTTGACTTGACTTGGCCTAACCGCTTGGTGGCAAATGAAAATTGGCTTGGTGGGCTTGGTGGCTAGTTAAGTTAGACTCAATTCGAGACACACGGAGCCGAAAGTTGGAGGTTCTGTTCATTACGCGAGGGGAAAAAAAAGTCAAAATATTGGTACCCATTGTGGGGGGTGCGGTGGTGCATTCATTATGCGAGTAAATATGGTAGTTGCCCGAGTAGGAAGTTATTTATTGAATGTGAACTGGCCAGTTTCTGACAAACTTTGTGTGCCGATTCAGTGACATTCCTTATGTCCGCTCTGGGACAAGTTTACAGAATGCAGGAACTTTTTTCTAATCCCCAAGCTTTTGGGGAACCCACCAGTGTATGCTACCTAAATGGCCACATAGTTTCGGAACTGGCAATGAATTTCACTCAGTTTATTGGAAGGAGAACCTACGCAGTCATTAAAGGGGCGGTGCAACGATATTCCATTGGAATGTTTTTCACTTTACACGAGCTGACACTAGTGGAACCCAAATATACTCACACGCAATGCCATTGACCAAGAAACTTCTCTGTTGTGGTGTAATTTCAAGGGTAAAGGCGAGCATTTTCTTTCAATCTCTTCTTCGCAAAACTTAATGACGTTAATGACGTGGCTCATAGATTGGACCCTTGCACTGCCTGAGCAGTCGATCTGGGCTCGTGATAATCAATAGCTCTACAAACATTCGGGTAGTGGCTCTTATCCGATTGCGGCAATGACGGCGATAGCCGAACCCTAACAATGTCTGGAACTGAACGCGTGTCCTGTACTTTGACAGCCTCATCAAGTGGCTATGATCAACAATGGCGGCACATAATTGGCTCCAGATCACGTGGCTGCTTGTTCTTGCTGCAAGTTGAGGGGTTGAATGCTGCTTATTTTTCTTTAATTTTTTCTGCAACGTTTATTCCGTAGGGGGAGAAACAAGTGTGTGTTTCGTTGGTCATAAATGCCAGAGATTTGTTCTAAGTGGGATTCACGCAAAGTACAAAAATTGTTGCACCACCCCTTTTAAGGGATGCTACAACGAAATTTCGGCGCTTACTTTTTGGTCTATTTGTGTTCAAGGGAGCAGTATCACATCACACACCAATCTCTTGTTCAAAAAGACATGAAAAGGAATTTTAAAACAAATTATACAATTAGCAAAGAGCACCTGGTGGTTGTCGCTGACGCCTCGTTTGAAATGCCAGTCTAGGAACCTTGGCAGGTTGTGACAATAACTGTCTCGCCTCCGGCCACCACAAGAGAAGAGGGGAAGGAGGAACTCCCCTCTTTCCGAGAATATTCTTTGTGTGTCCCAGAAGTCACTATTGTCCCTCTACAAGATTATACGAGATTAACCCGTCACTCAAAACTCGTACAAAAGCAGCCGCTTCGGTGGGTGGAACGACTAGGCTATCCTCTCGACGCCAGCCTCGCCGCAGCTTTGCTCGTCCTGAGACAAGCTATACATCACGATTGCGGCAGATGTCACGTGCTCTCCTCTGGCCGCTCTACGAGAGCTTGCCAGAGTGGGCCGTTCATAACGAAAAACACAGCCATCAGGCTCAAAATACAAACTTGCAATTATCATTTACAGATATTGTGGATCATATTCAGCCTATTTCTGAACACGACGGGTGTATTTCAAATTACGTTGAAGTTTCCCTTTAATGTCGATTTGCTTACAGTTGGCAGACACGAAAACGGCAGACAGGAAGATCTCCCTGCTGCACTACATCGTGGAGACAGTGAATACAAAGTTTCCCGACCTCATGACGTTCGACCAGGAACTGAGATTTGTTGAACGAGCATGCTCAGGTGAGTGATCCACCCATTTGGGCAGCTAGTTCGTTAGTGCTGCTAAGGACAGAGACCAGGGTTGCTGCAGCTGGCTGTTGCGGTTTCAAGAATGCTATGGCATTGTAGGAAAAGTGTTGAGCGGGGAGTCAGCCAGTGTTAACAAAGTCGGAGCTGATGACCGGTTGTCAGAGGACGTGCAGGACATTCTTGGAAGTTACGCCCCCGAGGACTTGAACAACGCAAACGAAAGCAGGTTGTACAAGTGGCATGCGATTGACAAGCTACTGATGAACCTGGAGATGAGATGCAAAACAATCATTAACATCTTCATGGCGATTGAGATGGTGGCAGCAGCGTGGAAAGTAACCAGGACCTTGACCATCATAAATTGCTTCAAGAATTCTGGTTTCGTGACATCCATTGCTGAGGCTGCATTGGGCTCTGCAATCCCTCAAGATGATCAGGAAGGAGCCACGCCCGGCTCCTGGGAAGAGCTTTGCTGGCCAGACGAGGTGGCAGAAGATGCAACCTTCGCCGGCTATGTGCGCGCATGCCGACGTGGACATCGTCAAGATGGAGGTGTTAGATGATGACGAGATTGTGCAGCTGGTCTCCGGTGGGTGCACGAAAAGAGTCTGAAGACGCTGACAATCCGGAAACTGCCGAAGCGCCCGTGTCCACTCCAATTCTGGTAATGGATGCTATCGACCTGTAGAGGCGGTTTGCTGGGGCTTACGAGGGAATGGAGGACGTGTTGAATGTGCTCGCGAAGTTCAAGAAGTTTGTACATCCACTCTTGACAAAGCGCATGCAGGCGAAGCTAATAAGCTTCTTGTCTAAAAAAATAAATCTCCCTTCAGCTCCGAGGTTTATTTTGTTTTCCTTTAAGCACACACAAGCAGTGTGACGCCTTCATAGACTTTTCCAAGGATTGTTAAATATTTCAGTGCGTGGACACGTAAAATAGATACAATGGTAAGTAGTTCTCACAATGCCGCTACGTTAAGACCGAAAAATTACTTCCTCGATTTTACGAAGTTCTCGATTTAACAAAGTAATTTGTGACTCCCTTCAACCTTTTTATATTGAGTTTTGACGGTAGCAGCTTGCCTCGTCTCTTGCATCGTACATGGTGTAACCGTATTTTGTGGCGCAGTGACGCTCGAGAACATCCTGACGGACAGCCATGAGTTGGAGAAAGGCATGGAGTTGTGCAAGCGGGAACTTGCTCTGCGCAAGGACTCCAAGGACGCAGCCGTGCTCCAGGATTTCCTCAGCCAGTCTGAGGACAAGCTCAAGAGGCTTCAGCAGGACATCAAGACTGCCCAGGTTAGGAAAAAAAAAAAAAGAAAACCTTTCATTTTGGCGTCATTCCACCGACCCAACGAGGAGTGGTCGTAAACATTTGATGATATTAGACGGCATTGACATGATTGCACATTTACGTTTATAAAGTTAGATTTCTGTGGATTAAGCACTAGGAACGAAAAGTGTTTTATACGGTATATGAATGGAATAACTGGTTACTTGGAATGTTTTCTTTCATTTCAGGAGAGCTACGCAGACTGTGTAGAGTACTTTGGAGAAAGTGCGCGGAGCGTTGCTACGAACACCTTCTTTGCTATGTTTGTTCGCTTCATCAAAGCATTCAAGGTAAGTGGTAAAAAATGTTCTCTCTGGAGTCTCTGACAACCTTCATGAGCTCCACTTTAAGATGTTTTATAGCACTAACTTTTGTGGCATTAAGGGTAGGATAAATTGCATTCAGCAGCTTTTAGATATAGCACTTGATCAGCATTGGTAAAGTACCTGCGTAACTGTTTGGATCAGAGGTTTTCTGGATAAGCAGCCAGAACAAAGATTTTGACAATGGCTGTTAGGAAGGTTGTCTTCAAGCTTGTTTTTTCTTGCTGCACTATACAAAATGTCCCCCCCCCCCCCCCTAAAAACAAAAAAAAAAACAAAAATAAATTTGCCTCAAAATTAAACTATGCATTATTGAACGCTCATTCTCCGCCAAAATGTAGCCCTAGTGGTTCGAACAAGATGCCAAGGTTTCAGAACTAATTGTTTTCTTGTTCAAAAGTTCTAAACAATTTTTTGAAATTTTCAATGGAAAATGGCGGCCGATGTACGCCTTATAATAGATAGAGCTGAATGGTAACCGGCACGTGCCAGTTATCAAAAACTGTCAAAAACGGGTCCCATTTTCCCATTGAAATTTTCAGGAAATGTGCTCTAACTATTGACTGAGATGAAGGTTTGTCTTGAAGTTTTGGCATCCGGTTTGGACTATGCGTTCAGCATAGTCCAAAGTTCAAAAAGTTAAAAAAAAATCAGTTCAAAAATTGCAAAAAAAAAAAAAAAGTTCAAAAATGAACTATGCGTTCAGCAACGCATAGTTCATTTTTGCTGGGAAAAAACGCTACATTTTTTGGGGGGACACGCTGTACAACCTTGTTTTGTCTTCTTCTGACAGCAAGCTGAACAGGAGAACGAAACTAGGAGGAAGATGGAAGTAGCCGCTAAGGAAGCGCTCAAGAAGCCCCAAGAGTCAATACAAAAGAAGAATATCCTCAACTCGAAGAAGAATTCCCAGGTAACAAGATCAGCACCCTCCACATACCTCTTCCTGCGAAAGCCTGTGCATCCCGTGATGCAACTGCACGCTTGACCTGCTTGAAACCCTTCGCACATTTGCTTTCTCGGGAGCTACGAAATCAACCGGTGTTGTTATTTTGTTGTAATGTGTGGGACCTCCCTGGTATGCAAACGAGCAAGTTGTGCCACATTTCTTTGTCTAGACTCGTTGAGATTTATGTTAGTCATGTTGAGGCCAGTCATTCGTGTTTAATGCACAATTTATATGTTTTCGACTACTGCAGCCGTCTAGCAGCTCTGTGATACAGATGTTATAGCAATCTTGTAGTCTTCAGTCACCTTAAGACAATTGCATGTGTTCACTCTGTATTTGTTTCATAGTACTCTGAGCTTTACTGAATAAGCATAAAAGCAGTTGGTATTTGATATTGTTATAGCTATTGTGTTTTAACATGGGGTAGGCACTCATTAAAGACGTTCTCCAGAATCTTTATTGTGGTTTGTTGCTAGGTGTAAGCAACGACGATAGTTACATGGTTACAAAAATATTGACTCTTTTTAGTTGTAGAGGTGAAGTGATTCTAGTATAGGATGTAGCTTCAGAGTGCCATTTTTAGCCAAATAAATGTTGAAATATCTTACCCTTTCTTGCATCTTTCTTTTAGTGCTTCTTCTAGTAGACATTGGAGAATAATTTTTTTTTTTTTTAGATAGCAGTTGGCTTTTTTTTTTGTTCCATTTGTGTTTTGTATGTTTGAGTCACAAGGAGTTAACAATACTCCTGTCAGAAATAGGAAAAATATTTGTTGCAGAGTATATCTAATAGTGCACCTCCCATGCCTGATGGAATGTTGTTTATTACAAAGTAAAAGATGGTAGCTCTACATGTCATTTTCAGCTAAGCGTCAAGGTTACATACTCACTGCCTGTCTAGTTTCTGTATGTGTAACATAAACTGGAAAGCTAATTTGCACGCAGTAGCCAAGTTTTTACACGGCGGTGTGTAGGAGCAAAATGCAGCACCGAAACATTTTTTTAATTGCCAGCATATGCAGCAGGACATGTTGCACAGAACCTTCAGGGTGCATTCTTGCCTACCACCTTTTATTAATTGTACTGACTGAATGCTGCATCTTAACTGTGGCACGCTGTGAATGGCCTGAACCTGTATGGCGTTTCAGAATGCTTTTAATGTACATTTTCTGTATAAAGTGAGTTTTTCAATAAAGGCAAGACACGGTTCAGAAGAAAATAGAGCCCCCTTTTTAAGTGCTAGAGTTTGCTTGACTGGCCGGTTCACCACTAACTTTTTTTAAACGTTGCTGATGTGGGCTCTTTTAGTACTTGAGAAACAGCATTGGAATGTCTTTTCATGACCTCAGTTCAGTCAAGATCTTTCTGTAATCTATTGACTAGTCGTGTGCGAATAGTGGATTTTGAGTTCGAAGCGAATTTGGAACGAATAGAGGTTTTGGCAGAATATTTTCGATTCGAACATCGAATAGGTTTTCGACGCCTTTCACTATTGTTGCATCATGCTTAGACAAAAACCCAGCTAAACCCGTGCAGGTTTTACACTTGTTCATTTATAAGCTAAGTTTATCTATATTTAGGAACTGTGACCTCAGAAGGTCTGACGTTTTGGGATGGAAGGTAAACGACGGATTCGGCATAAAGTGAATCCTATAGAGGTGGCCAACTATACCTAATTGAGTGAATTTACAAATATTGCTATATAAAATATTCATTCTTTAATCTGGAGTTAAAAAAAGAAAAAAATTGTGCATGATGAACGCAGGTTGTAACGGCATCGCTGCCTAACATATATTCTTGCACAACAGTCAGTTTAATATTGAAGCTTTTACTACAACATAGATATGTACACAGTTTGAAGCTTTTACTACAAAGAAGATATATACACATTCACAAAATTTTCATTTATTTTCAAATACAGCCGGCACGCGTGCACCATCCCGCTTTGCATGTATGCTTTTCTTCCAAGCACGCAATTGCAATATTCAGACTTTTCCAAGTGTTTATCGCGGTGAGTTACTCCGTTCAGTACACTTCTTACCGAGCACTAATGTAATGCAGAAAAGCAACACCCGCGGAGCTCGCTTCCGCGGTATTGCTTCTCCGCAGTGCACCGGTGCTCGGTAAGAAGCGCACTCAACGGGGCTAACTCGCTGCAATCAACACTTCAAAAAATGCAAATAGTGTGGTTCTTCTTGAAGCGAATATCAAGCTGAAGTTGAGCTAGTTGGTACATCATTTAGGTAAATGGTCAGCTAGAACGATAGGGACAAGACACAGACAGGGAGATGCAGAGAAACAGTGGTGTGTATGTCTCTGTTTCTCCCTGTCTGTGTTTTGTCCCTATCGTTCTAGCTGACCATTTACCGAATATCAAATGGCATATTATTTGAAACTGCTACTAGAAGTTGCGAATACTCGCGCAACCCTACTATTGACAGTCAACTTGAGCTAGTTATGAGGCCTCATAACAATTCATTTCTTGGAGACAAAAAAAAAATATATAATGCTCGATTCTCACCTTTGAGAATTACTGGAAATGACTACATTTGTTCTTTTAATGATTTATGAATTTGTCGAAATACCAGATTTTCAAGTGTCTCGTAAGAACGAACTTCGTGATTTGGAGTAAACTGGTCTAGGAGCCCCATGTGTTGGTAATATATGGACACAATAAAGTTTTTGCAATCATTTTCGACTGCAAAAGTCTTGTGAAAGGAGTACATATACATTGTTTTCAATAGGTAAGATTGCATCAAAACCCGCGAAGTGCCATCCAACAATATGTCAGTCGCAAGATACTTTTCTAGCTCTGCATGGTCCAGTCTTTTTGGCAACTAATTTTCGCTACCTTTGCACAAACTGCTTATACATATAAAAAATCTTGGTGCAACGGTTGGAGTGATTAGGTTAAAGAGCTGTTGAGGCAGGCTCTGTTACCAAACCCCCTTCAGGGCAAATGATGTGATGTGTTGTGCTCTGTAAAGAATTGCACTAAACAAAAATACAGATTTCTTTGCTCTATTGATTATTTCATGCTTGTTCCTTACAAGAAAGATCTCTGCACGTTCCTTCCCACTTTGTTCAAAGAAGTCACAGTGTGTGACTAGACCATGATTGATGCCCTGTTTTCTTTCTTGCTCAGGATGCTGTGATAAATGAGCTGAAAAACAAAACTCGATTGGTGAATGAGAAGCGCCTGTTAAAGCAGGACGAGGTCTATAACGGAGCACTTGAGGACATACTTCTGGGTGAGTCTGTCTCTGTCTTCATCACTTCTCGGTATTCTGTATCGTGACACTGCCAATGCTAGAAGCACTTTCCTAGCTGCCGATGCGTACACTACTCTACGCTGAGCTTTCAAAGTTAACTACATGTGAAAGTAAGTTCAGTTGCATGACATAGCTTACCGTATTTACTCGAGCTCTCGTTGCGGTGTCTATGAACAAAGTCTATACGTCCTCTTCCCCCACAGAGCATGCAGATAGACAATCGGCTTGATCGGCAAAAAAGCTTGGCATCTTATAAGACAGAGATAACATCCTATTTGAATGTGCTAGCTGCACAGAACTTTTTTTTTTTGCAGAAAATATATTTTTTTTTATTTTGCTTTATTCGCTACATTTCTTTTGTGGAGTGCAATAGTTGTCTGTATGCGTGCCCCATGGGAAGGAAGGCACGGGGGCCATAAGCAGTGCATCGATTACTCGAGTAAATGCGATACTCTAGTTTTCACCAGGCTGCTTCCTCTTAGGAAATCGACAAACGACGTAGTGGTGGCTGTTTACAGCCTGGCCTAATGTGCAATTAAAGGACTGTTTAATTTATTTTGTCATTGTTTTTTTGCCAGGTCTCAAAAACGAACCTTATCGGCGAGCGGACGCGGTCCGCAGGAGTCAGCGTCGCAAGCAGGAAAATGTGCGGCTCTCCCGCACCATGGAAGAAATGGACCTGTAGCGTGAAACACTGCAGGACCGGGGTGCGTGCCTTCTCAGGGCCAGTGTCGTGCCGCAATGCTAGTGCCTTCAAAAGCTTTCCCCTCGGCCTCCCATTTGCAATGCTGCCACCGGCGAAGCCTTTGCTACGACTGTACAGTCTGTGTTGCTGCACTCCAGGCCAAATGCTGTTACTGTACATACAAGCAGTTACCCCGAGGATGTGACTCTACATACGCTCGGCGTGAACCCGTAACGCCGACCTGAGCACCATGCAAACGGTCAAGTTCCAAGAGTGAACAAACTAAATGTTTTGCTGTTATGATTTTTGCCTAGTTGCGCTCGAGTTCCGCGACATGTTGTCGCGGTAGCTGGGTCAGTTCGGATACCTGTGCTGGAATGTTGTACATCGGTAGAGAGTTTAGGGTCAGCTGACATGGCATTCTCGTGTAGCGTTTTTAAATGTGACTGTCCACGTCCATCGGTTTGGTGTGTGCTGCTTTGAGCGGCCGCAAGTGCTTACTCTGCTGCACTGGAAGTGCAACGGCCTGCGGAACGATTTGGATACTGTCCTTTTGTTTGCACTTCTGGTCATAAAGAATCCTACGTGTTAGAGCTTTCTTGGTCGTCACTTTCCAATGTATTTCAACAGGTGAAAAGCACCTGCCTATTACTTGTTTGGCGTGCTGTCAGTCTAGCACTTTTGTTGACGGTGTATTGTAAGCTATCTGTTATGTGACAAATAATTTGCAATAATATATGTATAAATGCGAGTTTTATTTCAGTCTTTTAGCTTTTGATCAGCACTCCCATAAGTAAATGTGTGTCCACTTCAGTCCCATCTGAGATAAGACAGAGTGGTAGTTTTTGTAATTTTCTTAAGAAAATTCAGGAGCAAATGTGTCGATGAATCAAGAAAATGTCTTTTTGCTTGCGATGGCTCAGTGCAGTCACTAATTTGAAACTCGGTGGGTCCACTTTCAGCGTCTCAGTCATTGTACTGCTTGTGACATTTATGAAATTTGGAATAAAGTCTCGAAGATGTTTGTATGCTTTCATGTAGTCAGTGGCTACATAGTGCAAAGACCTATTTATTAAGCATGGCATCAGACATCAGGAGATCCCAAATGTTTCCTTTACAGCTGTGCTTTTTTTCATGCCAATGTGATCCTTTTTTTTAAGGACTGAAACCCCTTCTTGATCTGCTTTTAAGCTGCGAGTCTGCAATATCCTGCCCTTTATGAATTGTGTCTACTGTTCAGATTTATGTTTAGTACTCTGCGCAGAGTTTATTTTTCTTCCGCTAAAAAAGCACTTTATAAAGGGACCAATCCAATTGGTAGCTAGCTTTTGTGCTTTACAGAAACTTATCTATGCTATCAGCGGAAAAGGCAACGGCAACCTCAAGCTGGGGCACAGCACGGGAGCAAAAGTTTCCATACATACTTTGATTTGGGCATATAAAAGTATCTAGAATGTTTCTACAAGCAATTGTTATAGTGGTGTCATTCCAAATGCCAGGATTTTTTGCATTAACCATCTTGAATTAACCTGAGACTGGGGTAGAGAGGAAACATCAAAACGTCGAAGAGACAGAAAATAGATAGGATGACGTCTCACACTAAGCTAACTCATTTATTTAGTCCACCTCCTTATGTAGTCTCAATCTCAAGGTCATCTCCACCAACACAGAAGGACCAAGTTCAAACGCCACAGTCTCCATCACACGGTGCAAGAATGTGGACAACCTTACAGGTACAGGTCAACGCGATAAGGCAACATCTATCCACCTTCAAACTTGAACAAAAGGATCTCTTCCCCTACTATTCGAAACAAATATATATATATTTTTTTTTTTTTTTTTTTTTGTAGTAGGTGGGGAGGGTTTTTTTTTAAGTCAGAAGTGCTGACTGTGTTTAGAATACAGTTGAACCTCGATTTTACAAAACCCAAATTTACGAATTTCCCGATTCAACAAAATAATTAGTGGGTCCCGGTGACTTCGTTAAATCGAGGTTCAACTGTAGAAGAAGATATCCTTTTGTTCAAGTTTGAATGGATGTTGCCTTATCGAGCCAACCTGTAAAACGAACAACGAAAATAATCCCTGGAGAAGGGGGACATATGTAAACAACCTGTAAGGTGGTCCACATTCTTGCATTGTGTGACGGAGACTGTGGCGCTTGAACTGTATAGACTTAGTCCTTCTGTGCCGGCGGAGATGACCTTGAGATTAGGACTATTGACGACGAGATGTTTTGGTGGCACCACCTCGCGGGCGCCCTCATGTGACTGAGCTGGTAGGATGCGAGCAGACGACGCGCGATGTCAAAGCACGGAATGGCTATGTTACTTCGCATCTATGCTGGTTAAAAACGGTTTATTCATTTAAGAAACGTGTCTGACATTTTCTCATCAAATTTTCAATTTGATGAGAAATTCCTTTCTCAGTTTTATTTTGTCCGAATCCAATCGTAATAAAAAATACACCCTACATGCCGTGGTAGATATGGTGGGGTAGAGTGCTGGATATTCTATCTTCATCATCCGGCTTTTTGTACTAAGGTAGAGTGCAGCACACCACCATCACAGCGCTTCGACACCTCAGCACCCAAAGTGTTTGTTAGCATGACTGCGGGTGCTACGGTTTCAAGCTTTGGTAAAATGTCCTGCTGCAAATATCACTTCACCAAATAAACGCAACGCGTGACAGAGGCTTTGCCGCGCGTTAACCAAACAGCACATGAAGCGAGCTGACCAGCCGAAAGATCCAAGATCTGCGCATCTGTCCTACCCGTGACGTCACAAACAATGATTATAGCTAGAGGAGTGCCCCCTGTAGTTTGCGCATGCCGCCAATATGAGGAGGTGGACTAAATAAACGAGTTAGCCGAGTTTGAGACCTCGTCCTGTCTATTTTCTGTCTCTTCTACGTTTTCAAGTTTCCTCTCTACCCCAGTTTCAGGTTAATTAAACATGCCTAATATTCACCAGCTTGCCTCCACCCTGATGCTAATTTCTTGCATGTTCTTTTTACATTGCTAATATTTACCAAAAAAACTTTTTTTTTTTTAAAGGTTGTAAAGACATGCGTTTAGTGAATTCTTCCTTGAAATAAAAGTGTCAATTGCTCTTTGAATCCAACTTTTTCCAAATAGGTGCTGCCACTTGGACGCGCGGCTGGGTTCAATTTTGAGTGACAAGAAAATGCGCTCGCCAGGTCTCTGCCACCAGTTCGCCACCCAAAACGTCAGCTACATTCTGTAGGCCCATTGAGACACCGCGACCTAGATACAGCTCCGGAAACATTGTTTTAATACGTTGGCATTAGGGCCCACATCACAGGGAAAAGCTGACGGCGTCCGTCTGTGGACAAAACAGTGGAAAGGGAAACGTACCACGTAGAGACGAGGAGAGCAGTGAAAGACAAAGGTGAGAGGGAGGCAACATCACGGGGGGAAGACATGGCTTGCACTGTCGTCACATCGCATACTTTTGACCACCATTAAAGAGTGAGAGAAGAAAACTGCTTTTGTTAGAATTTTGAGTGATAATCTGGGAGAAGAGCGACGTCTCAGCATATCTAGAGTCAAAAAAAGAGGGTCCTGGTGAGAGGGGAGCTCCTCCCCTCTTTTTTGGTGGCCATAAGAGCGTTCTCTGATTATGTCACGTGCAAGCCATGTACATGTACATGGTGAGGCGAGTGGGAGGCGACGTCATAGGGCGGAAGTCAATGCACACGCGGAGGCTGGGCGAGTCTCAACTTGCAGGTGTGTGGAGTGCATATGCCTTGGTTTCTGCTACAAAATGAAGTGTGGACGAAGTACTAGCGCTGGTCCAAGTAGACGGCAAAAGAAGACGGGCTGCCGAAACCAGTGAGCGGAGTTGGGCAGTTGACGCCGCTGCTAAGCGTGTGCAAAACGGGCGAACTAGACAGGAGTGGAAGCAGCGCCTAGCTTGGCTGACCGAAATGAGGCCAGTTGAGCTAGACACCGAGCGTCTCGTAGCCTGAAAGGAGACCGCGATACTGCGCTACCACAGATACCCTGTTTACCGACGTAGTCAACTTCAAGAGAGAGTGAGCACTCCACTGCCTGATCAGGTGCGAGGAAGACATTCTAGACAGCAACAAAAAATTGAAGGAAGATCCATTGGTGGATCTTTGAGGAATGTGTTAGCACGACCCTTGAGAAACACCACCCGCACGAAAATGTCAGATCGGAGCTGTTCCACTTCGGATCCGTGCGGTTCCAAACTTGTGGACAGTTCAGGTCCCTGCGGATCCAATCTGGCACCAAATGGCTCTGGGTGTAACCAGTCTGATCCAGTGAGACGCAACGCACTGGAACCGCACGGTGATGGGTGGATTTGATCCGTTCCCGTTCCTGCTCCCAGCCAGCGGGCACGCATATGCATGACTGGAGGAGGGGGGGGGGTCGGCGGGGAACTTCCACTTTCCGACGATCTCTCGCTTGTAACAGCTAAGGGCATCGCACAAAATACTTTTGTAGAGTCCAGTGGTGAGCACAGTGGGAATTCTGGCGGCGCACCGCCTGGGTCTGAAATTGGGGCACCGGTTATTTTGTATCTCGGTTGGTACCGCGCGGTACCAGCGGCTCTGCAGAACCACTGGAACTGGCCGGTTCCGCCTGGATCTGAAATTGGGGAACCAGTTTGTATCCAGTCTGGAACTGTGTGGTTCCAGGCGGGATACAAACTGGTGCCCCAATTTCAGATCCAGGCAGAACTGGCATTTTTCATTCCAGCCTGTATCTGACATTTTCGTATGAACATACACGTCCCCCTTCGGGAAACGCTAACACTGACCTCATAACGAAGCCAAAGAGTGGAAACAAAACAAAGCCAAAACAAAATTGAAGGGGTCATTGTTAGCGTTTTCCAGAGGGGGGCGAGTGGCGTTTCCCAGGAGTCATGCTAACACATTTCCTAAGGATCCACTAATGGAGCTTTCTTCATTTGTACCCATTGTGAATCATCCATCTTCCCTCTCTGCTCTTGCCAGAAGGATGAGAAAGAGGGCGCTAAAGCCATTTATTTTAGAACCGATATTCCTGAAAAAGGTGTACTCTTTCCAACATGCTACTTGTCTTTAAATTAAAAACGGCTATACATAGCTTGCATGTGACGTCATTCGGGGCCATGCCAGTATTTTATGGACCGCAAACATTCGGTTTGTTGTGTTAGTTTCACACCGTAGATATTGTAGTTGGAAGGAATCGGTAAGTAGATGTAACCGACAGTACCCAGCAATGGTGACACTTGCACGCTATGTATAATGAGAAAACGACAAATGAAGGTTTATGCCATCCATAACCAACATTCAAAGTCTCCCGCGCTCACGTTTGTTTACATCGCGCGCACCATAGTGGTACCGCTATATGGCATGATTGCTTGCTTTCGGATGCAGCGTGGTGATTCGTTGTTATCTCAACGGTGACACAACGTATGCGACTGCCAAATTGTGCTGCCATTGGGCACGTTCAGTGGCGGCCCCGGAGTCAAGGAGTCGCTGCATGACTCCTGTTACTGGACGGCCAAAAGTCACTTCCAGTGTACGTAACTCCTGGGCTTTAGAGTCAAGCTCCGAAGCACCGAGTCCGGAGATGGTGCATGTAGAGTCGAAGGAGCTAAAGGTGACATTGTTTCCTGACCGGTGGCGATTTCCGGCGAAAAAATCCAAAAAGCTCTGGCTCGAGTCGCTCCGTTTGGAGGCAAGGGAGGCTACTGAACGTGCCCGTTGCCGACCTTCTTTTGTCTTACCGAGATACCGAGCCACTGAAGCGTGCATTGACGAGCCTTCACAAAGACCTATGCTGAGGACAACACAGCAGCACCTGAAGTGACAACAACCTGTCCTGCTGTGGCAATGATGAAGCGAAGCGAACGGAATAAGATGAAACAAAAAAGTCCGAGGACACCCAAGCACTTCTTATGAGTTGTGAATGCGAAAGCATGCTGCCTGCAACGTATTGCTTCTGCCTCGGGTTGTCGAAGGGCGTCGTCCTCTTGCCGCCTGAGACGCTTTGAATCGCGATCCGCTTGGGCCTCACACTTTCGCAAGGCTTTGTTCTGTCTCCTACCGCGTTGCGCCGCTGCTTGTACTGCCCGTCTAGCACCCGCCGTGTATTCGGAGGCTTAATGGTGGATTTTGCTGTCTGCCTCCTCGCTCGTTGTGCTGCGTTATTCTGCTCTCTTAGTTCGTCTGCGGTGCATTTCCGTGAATGGGCAGGTTTCGCTACTGCCGGGTTGCGGCCGCCGACGATGTACAAGGTGTCACGAAGAAAATTTACACGGTTTTTTTTACTGCAAAAATAAACTAGGCATCGTCGAGTGCTCATTCCCCGCCCAAAGGTAGCGCTAGAGGTCCCAACCAGATGCCAAAGTTTCCGCCCAATTCGTTACCTTATTCAAAAGTTATAAGTGATTTTCTGAAAATTTCAATGGGAAAATTGAGCCCGGCCATTTTTGCCCATTTTCGGTTTCTGGTGCCATAGAGCCCCATGTATATGAAAACTCCGTCGGCCTCCATTTTCTCATTCAAATTTTCAGAAAGTCACTTATAACCTTTGAATAAGGTATCGGATCGGGCTGAAACTTTGGCATCTGGTTGTGACCCCTAGCGCTACCTTTGGGCGGAGGATCAGCGTTCGGTGATGCCTAGTTCATTTTTACAATAAAAAACTGTGTAATATATATATTTTTTTTTTGACACCCAAAGATGTTTGAGGCACCGCCATGTTTGTCGGCGTCGAGAACAGCAGATGCGGCCGAGTGGGAATAGGGAGACCAACTGATCCCCAACTGGGAATGGCTTCGACCAGTTGGCACCTCAGCTGGTCCCAGTTAGCTCAGTTTTGCTCCCTTGTTGGGACGCCAGACCAGTTGACTCCCAACTGGGAATGGTTACAACCAGTTGGCCCCTTAGCTGGTACCAGTGCAGTTGGCCTGTCAGCAGGTCCCAGTTGGACCCCCATTGGTCCCAGTTCAATCCCAGTTAGGACCAGTTGGGACCAGTTAGTCCCCGTTTGGACCAGTTGAGATTCCAACTGGTTCCAGTTACAAATTTTCGCCTAGGATCGTAGTAACACAGGGACAACAATCTTCGAAACCGGTTTTTTCACAGGAGCCGAACTAAACCTTCTCAACACCTTGAGCACAACTCTAACAGTTACAGGTGATGGCCCGCTTCCAAATCGGCACTGCAGCAAAGAGTTTTGCCGTGGCGCCGATATTTGATCGGTATCCAAACGTGCGAAGACACAGAGACGCAGCGCTTCGGCCTGCCAAGGAAGCTTTGATCACGCCGCGGCACTGGCGAAACTTACTTTTGATGAGTTGTGCCTTTTTCTTGCTGCACTGCGTTTCCGTAAAATTTCTATATTCTCAACGGTAAGTCTCACGGCTTGCACGGGGTTTTAAAGAACTTCTTCGGCGAATTGCGACGAACAAGTAAGAAACGTGTCTTCAGCACACTGCCGCCAGGCTCTGCAACGCTTTCAAAACCGCAATTCACTCGATCTTACTCCAGGGTAAGGGTTTTGAACCTTGGCGTTCTAAAACCTACCTTAAGCTAGGGGGTGCAAGCTAGCGCCCATTACAAAAGGTTTTTTACATTTATCCATCCACCCAAACAACTTTATCTTTGGTTTATGTTTAAACTGAAACCAATCGCGAATTCAAATGTCTTTACCCTGTCTTCACCAACGATGTCTTCACCCACTTTTGTACAAGCACGACCTTGGGTACAACAGCGGTACAAGTACAACAAGGGTCTGGGGTACTACGGGTACAACAGAGGGGTACAAGACTTGGTACAAGCGTACGTCCAGAAGTTGGGCAGCTATCACGTGACCAAGCATGGCGGTTTGTGGAGCTGTGTTATGTTCCGTTTGGAATATTCCCATGGCTCGCGGACCGGTGAACAATTTGCACAAGGTATAAGCGCACGATGGATATCGCGAAAAAGCTACGGTCCTTCGTGGGAAGGCAGGTGAGAAAGTTTCGTCGGGCAGAGCTGTTGTGCGCGAGCAGGCGAACGTTGGCTCTGGAAGCCACCTTCATTGCTGCACGAGATCTGACGGGTTGATCGCTGTTATTTCAGTCACACCGCAAAATCAGTAGTCGCAGACACTGGCATACTCCCCTCCCCTCCGGGCACCGGATTACATGGTTACACGACGTGTGCAATGTTTTACGAGGGGGTTAACCAGGCGCAGTGCCTCCGTGCCGGCAGATGACGCGAGCTGGCTAGCGTCTGCTACAGGACACTCAATCTGCTCGAACCAAACACATTTTTTTTTCTTTTTAATCTGACGTTTTGGGCGTTCGTCCGTGTTTCAGGCCTAATTCGGCGCTCATATCTGCCCTTTCACCTCTGTCTGCGTTTCAGCTAATGTTGTGTATTTAATCTTTACATATATACATTACAGCATACAGCGGGCACAACCGACCGGGTTGGGGCCAGAGCAGTCGAACGTCTCGTGCCTGCGCGCGTGCACCAGTTCACCGGCATCCCTGGATATCCTCGGTTGCCAACACACAACATCCCTCCCCCCTAGGTCACATAGTCCTTTAGGTAGTCGGGACGTCGCCGTTGTCGCTGGGGACGATTTGACTGTTCTTGCGCAGGCGCTGAAGTTGGCAACACTGTTTGGTGCCTCGGTTCATGGGGTGAAGCAGGTGAACGTTGTGGGGAAGCTGGAGGTGTTGCCACTGGGGTTGACTCCTCAGGGAAGTCCGCTTGAAGGGGTGTCCAAACAGGACACTACAAAACCCGCGACTCCGGCAAATCGTGCCGCGCTCTGCCGCGATCCGCTTCCGGCCGTCGGAGGGAAATTTCCCTCCGTCAATTCTTCCCGGGGGCAAACTTCCCTCCGTCAAATCTCCCCCTCGCTTCCTCCACGGCGGCCTTGCTCTGCTTATCACGTGGGTCCGGAGAGCCACTCACACGCTCTGTTGGCTGTCGGTCAATCGCTCAAGGCCTCCGCTCACAATACGGAACCGCATCGGACGCCATCACGACGAAAGTGAATCTCGACAAAGAAAGCAGATCCGAGGCGGGCGAAACGCACCCTTCGACGCAGGAATGTCCCAAATCCACCCAAAGCCGGACCTCCTTGGCCTTCGAGCCGAGGCGACGGCGGTACGCGAGGGCGTTGGCGAGGTGAGACAGACGCAGGTGGCGTGTGACGTCAATCTGAAGAGGAGAGCAGTCGTGATCGTAAAAATTTTCACGACTCCTGCAAACATTTTCACGACTCCGACAGACAGTAAAAATAGAAGCGTCCGCTTCAATTTTCACGATTTGTCGGAGTCGCGGGTTTTGTAGTGTCCTGTTTGGACACCCCTTAACTCGTAGATGGTGGGCACTCTTCCACCGATTCATTTTTAAGCGATGGCTCGCTTGGTAAGGAGAGCTGCTGAGGTGACAGCTCTGTCGTAGGCTCCTCCTCGTCCAGGTATGTGCTCCACTCCCGTCTCCGGATTTGATCCACGTGCCGCTTCCAGGAACGACCGTCGATGGTGTGAACCTTGTAAGACACCGGACGGTGATCTCAGTGATGATACCGGGTAGCCACTTGGGGCCTGCTAAATAATTGCGGATGAAGACTGGTTCTCGCGGCTCGAATTCGCGTACACCTTGTCTTCCCCGCAGCGCTTGTTCCTCTTGCTTGTCCACAATCTCTGCTTGTAGGTCTGGGTGAAGCCGGTCCAGTGCAGTACGGAGTCTCCGACCCATCAACAATTCCGCCGGACTCTTTCCGGTCGTTGAGTGCGGGAGAATATGCTGACTCAAAAGAAATCGGGCCAACTTGGTGGCCATGTCGCCTCCTTCCATGCGCCTGAGGACTTGTTTAGTTTCTTGGACCATGCGCTCCACTTGGCCATTTGACGATGGATGATATGGCGCCATCTTAACGTGCCGGATCTGGTTTCTCTGCAAAAATTCTTCAAATTCTTGTGAGACGAACGCTGTCCCATTGTCCGAGACTATAGTGTCGGGAACACCGTGTGTTGCGAACAGCACTCGCAGCCTTTGACACACTGCTGCTGACGACATGGATGCTATCTGGATGACTTCCAGCCATTTCGAATGCGCATCCACCACCAGAAGAAAAACCTTTCCTTGGATGGGTCCTGCAAAATCGATGTGGATTCGGGACCATGGGTTTCTGGCAAATTCCCATGGATGCAGTCTTGCACGTGCAGGTTGCGGCCTTGTCTCCTGGCAGGGCAGGCAGGTTCGGACCTTCTTTTCGATATCTTGGTCGATACCCGGCCACCAAACTGTGCTTCTGGCAAGCGCCTTCATGCGGACGATCCCGGGATGCGTGGTATGCAGCAGCTCCAAAACCTGGTCTCTCGCTTGCTCTGGAATGATGACTCTACATCCCCACAGCAGGCATCCCCGATACTCCGACAACTCGTGCTGCCGTCGAACAAATGGCTTGAACTCGTCCGGCAGCCTGCCTTGAGGCCATCCAACCCCCGTCCAATGTCGAACTCTGGACAAGGTTGGGTCGTTCCAGGTGCATCGGGCAATCTTCTGGGCATCCCACGGAATCTCCGGCGCAGTCTCCAGCATCCGGACTTCAAAAAGTTTCTCGTCAGTTGAGCCGTCTTCCACAGTTAGAGGCAGTCGACTCAGTGCATCCGCGTTCCTGAGCTGATGAGCAGGCCTGTACTCCAGCTCGTAGTCGTAAGCCGACAACATTAACGACCATCGCAACATCCTCGGCGACAGCACTTGAGGCATCGGTTTTGCGTGATGCAAGAGTCCCAGTAGAGGTTTGTGATCGGTCACGATCCGAAAATGCCGACCGTAGATGAACTTGTGGAACTTTCGTATTCCAAAACCTATCGCCAGAGCTTCCCGGTCTGTCTGTGCGTAGTTCCTTTCGGCAGCTGTCGTAGTTCGAGAGCCATAGGCTACCGGTACCTCCCGGCCTTCGCTATCAATGTGGCTGAGTACCACCCCAAGTCCGTACGGAGAGGCATCACATGCCATGACTAGTGGCTGGTGGACACTGTAATGGGCAAGGACGTCCGAAGACTGCAGTAGCTGCTTGGCCCGCAGAAAAGCCTCTGCTTCCTGCGTAGTCCATCTCCACTTATGGCCGTTGTCGAGCAGCCTGTACAAGGGCTCCAAAGTGTGTGCCGCTCCCCGTAGGAACCTGTTGTAGAAGTTTGAGTGCCCCTAGGAACGCTTGCAACTCCTTCTTGCATTTTGGCTCGGGTGCCCCATGGATAGCCTTGACCTTGTCGTCTGTCGGCTGTATTCCTGCCTTGCTGACCTTGTATCCTAGGAATACAACTTCATCCACTCCAAAAACGCACTTGTCCCTTTTTAGCCAGACACCGTCGTCTTGAATTCTTTGAAGCACAGCTTGCAGACGGGTGTTGTGCTCGGCTTCATCTTTACCGCCTACCAGGATGTCATCGAGAAAAACTTCCACCCCTTCCAGCCCTTGCAGCAGCTCTTCCATGTACCTCTGAAAAATAGCGACTGCAGCAGCTACTCCGAACTGTAGGCGCGTGACACGGAAAGGTCCACGGTGTGTGGTGATGGTGAGAACTGTCCACTGTCAACTGTCAGCTGCAGGTACGCTTGGTCTAAATCAAGCTTGGAAAACCTTGCACAGCCTGTCAGCTTCGCGAAAAGTTCCTCAGGTGTGGGTAGGGGGTAGCTTTCCCAACGGACCACAGGGTTGGGGCCAGAGCACAACCGACCGGGTTGTGCACACCCCGGTCGGTTGTGAAACCGACCGGCCGGTCGGTTTCACAACCGACCGGGTTGGGGCCAGAGCAGTCGAACGTCTCGTGCCTGCGCGCGTGCACCAGTTCACCGGCATCCCTGGATATCCTCGGTTGCCAACACACAACAGCTAAACTCTGGATCAAATTAAAACCCCGCTTATATCGGGGAGGAGAAGCTCTGCCATAGAACACTACGTTGCAGTTGGGCGTGTATCGGTTGAACCAAGGATCCTTTATAGGTGGAACTGAGGTCCGCTACAGGCTGCGTTGAGAGTTGGAGAAGGAATGGAAGCCAATCGGAGACTATGACAAGGATGGTCCCCTAGGGCGCAGGGCATCACCCCTTCAGAACCCCAGACTTTTCTCAGCCTTGTCGGATACACTATTGTATGTGGCCGGCAGGTATTATTCGTCATTACATTATTGGCGTAATTTTTTAGCGGACTTCACGATCTGGCATGGGTGCAGGAGGTGTCCAGTAGCAGCCAGAGGCGAGGTGTTCAGTAGATCTGAGTCCGCGTTTCACAGTGTCTAGGTTATCATTACTCGAGGACGGCCAGTGGGAGCTCGCTCCGAGCAGTGTATCGGAAATGTTTGAGGTCTATTTGATACATGGTGCCGGAGTGCCAGTGCATTTTTCATTAAAGCAGTACCCATGTACCCAGACTAATTTGTGTATTGCCGTTGCTCGTGGCGATGCCACTTTGTTTTTGCAGCACCCCATGTATTTGCATGTGTCGTTGTTACTGTTTTATGCTCTCGTGTTATGTACCCCCCCCCCTCCCCCCTTATGTAATGCCCTCAATGAGGGCCTTTAAGGGAATTTGAATAAATAATAAATAAATAAACAAGTGGACACAAACTCACTTGGTTGCAGTAAACCTTCGCTGACCAGTTCTGGCCTGTGATGATTATCTAAGAGATGGTGTGATGCCTGACAATATGTCGGCTGTCAGTCTGTAACTTTGCGGAAGGTCGTGCTTTGAGGTTTTCAGACTAGCACCTGCCACCTTTGTGGCTTGTTTGGAAAGTCCCGATGGACCTTGGTTACTGGCATGCACTGCCGGCCCTGACCACTGCCTGCCTCTTCTTTAAAGGGGTCGCTGCCGTCGCAGCAGAGTGGTGCTGCCGAGTGTGCCTCCAGCAGCCCCCAGGCGTCAGTGCCCAGGCTGAAGGTGGGCACCAGTTTCTCAGCCGGATCCCGGCAATCTTGAGGAGTATTCTCCGGCATTTACTTCCGCACTAATTCCAGACAGAACCGAAGAGCAGCAAAATAGGACGGGTTGTTTGTTTCTAAAGTCGTGACCCTCCTTTGTGTGCCCGAGTCATCCGAGGCTGTCTCCGTCTATATCTTTCTCTTTTATATTGCGTGGATTTGAGATAATTTGAACGAGGTTGGTATGTCATTTGGCACACCGTAAATCTAAAATAAAAATCTGGCATTTTAATTTTCCTGCGTCGGGGCTTTTTTGTGGGCATGACAGTTAAACCACCCCATGTTTAAGCCAGTGCTCGTATTATAAAAAGGCCACTCTAACGTAGAAGTCAATCTTTCTTGTTGAAAAAACAGCGCGACTAAGACGAGGACACAAATAGACAAAGAGAACACAAGACAAAGACCAGCGCTTTGTCTTGTGTTCTCTTCGTCTCTTTGTGTCCTCGTCTTAGTCGCGCTGTTTTTTCAACATGAACTCTCACCAACTCGCTCAGTTATCTATCCTTATCAATCTTTCTGTAGTAATAAGAGTGACCCTAGAGGGGTTCTAGTTGTGCCTGGCGAGTGCAAGCTGGGTGAACGGCACAAGATGGCTTCCACCGCAGCCTAGCGACGAGACGACGTTGGTGCCCAATCCGGAGGAGGAGGAGGAAGTGCTGGCATGCATCGAGGCCGTCTACTGCTCCGGAGAAGGGGACTTTGACTCCAGCCAGCACGAGCTCAAGGTGAGGATGGCGGTCGGATCGTTGACAGAGTCTTGGCTGTCCTCTCCTGTCGTCGGAAAGCCCACCTCCGCTGCGCTCTCCAGAGGCTTCCCGAGGAGCTGGACCTGGCTGCCATCCAGGTGGTGAACAAGGTTCTCCGCAAGCAGCTGGCGGTGGTGAGCCACGCTTTTTCCTTTAAGGGGGGGACGGAGGGGGGGGGAGAAAGGAGGGGTGCTGGGAAGATTACACGAAACGCATCCTCTTAAAGAGCAGGAAACCCCTCGCATTTGGGACTCGGAGTCCAGGCTGAGGCGAGGGCGACCCCTTCGACGTGAAGACTTACTTCCGACGCTTGTTGCAAACATTCGAACTATCGTATTTTAGGTGGCGTGCGAGCGACGGGAAGCGTTGGGCGCTTTCCAGACTCGAGCTATTGATTGTTTTGTGCGCTCGGTGGCTGTTTCTAAGGTAGTCACTCGGAGCGATACGAAAATGCTCGGCCGAACGGCACGGTTTGGGCACAAAGTGGGGCGCTTCACGATCAACGACCGCGGCGTGGAACGAAGTGGGGCCCACTCCTCTTCCGGCCGTGGAGAGTAGAGCTCCGCAGCTGGCTGTGTGGCACGCGTCGCGGACCGAACCGGGTAAGGGTGTGTCAGACGCTCCCGTCTCGTGCGCAGGTGTCCAAGCGGGTGTCGGACCTGATCCTGCAGAACCAGTCCTGGTACACCCTGGAGCTGCAGAGGGTCACGGAGCTGCAGGACAGCCTGGATGACGCCCACTCCGTCTGCATCCGGGGACGCAGGTCAGCACGGGTACGGTGCCCAGAACGTGTCTTCGATTGGTGTGTTTAGCGTCCCATCCCGCGTCGAAGCTGGTCCCCGGGCGGCAGTCAATGACGTCGAGGGAGCCGGAGTGTCGTGCGCTTTGGGCTGCTGGGCGACCTGTGGCAGAACGTTCATCTGTTACGACCGCCGCCACTGCTGCGACACCACCCAGATTGTGGCTGGCGACAGCGCGACTTTTGTACGACATCGTCGGGTAGAAATGAAGGGGCCACTTCTTAGGACGCGCTAAACACAGCAGTCGGAGACACGTTCCATGCGCCGCGATTCAGGTGCCCGTTGGGACCTTGGGACCTTAGAAAAAGATCCCTCATCTTCCCGGTTCCTAAGCTCGGATGTTGCCAACAAATTTTCCGAGGTGCTTACTAATGCCGCGTTCTGTGTGGGCAGAACATCAAGATGTAAACATTTTGACAGTATTTGGCAGCCCAGATGTAAGATTCGCAGAGTGCGGACACCGACTTTGCAGCTGGAGCAGTTGCTACAAATGCGAATGAAAGAATATTTTTTTAGAGAGTATTGGAAGACGGAGAGAATGTGCATTACTCAGTCGAACCTCGAATAACCCAAAACATAAAGCTAGGGTTTCCAAACATTTTGGTTCATCCTTTGACGGTCGACTTCTTTTCCCCTGAGAGAGATGTTTACCGGGTGTCTGGTTTTGTTTGCGAAGGAATAGCATAAAGAAAGGGTCGATACTAGGTTTTTTCTAAGTATCTAGCGGGAGCATGTACGGTGCTTGAGAGCTATTCAAGATAGGAAGCATCAAATTAAAATATTGAATTCGAAAAGATGTCACCTTTTTTCCATTTGGTTTCATTTTGGTGCATTCGCCTCCGTGACATTCCAGCGGCTTCAGATTCCTATCCGGAGGTACTTTACAGAACTGCTTCTTCGGATGATGAGCTCTCGTCCTCGCAATTTAATTCTGGAAAGCGTTGGAAGTCTGAATCAGAAGAGCCAGTGCTCCCATTGGCACTACCGGCCGGTATGCGAAGTGAAAATCACGTACGTAGGTCATCTAATTTAAAAAAACTATAGATAGCCCAGCAATGCGAAACAATGTATGAATATAACTTTTGTAGTTCAACAAGGACATAACAAATAGCAACACCTCCCACGGTGTGTGAAGTTTTGCATTTAGGTGGGCAGTTTCAAATGTGTAATCACTGCCATACATGTATGGCGACGATCGTCAAAGGGTTACGGGGCCGAACTGATGATCTGTTGCAGTCTAGAGGGCCGGAAAATAAATAAAACTATATTCATAAGGATATACTGAAAAAATAAACCTAGATAAGATTCGAAATAGAAAAATATAATCTGGGGCGAAAGTTTTAAAAATGTAAAGTGGATGATTACACATACTTTATTTTTAAATTCAATGTGTCGCCAATTATGGCATTACAAAATAATTGTGATTGGAAAACTCCCCAGGCATAAATTAAAGCGCGTAGGAACTTTGGCATATTCGCACAAGGCAGAAAGACTGATGAGAAAGGTAGATTGAATGCTGACAATCTGCAGTAGGATAGTAATTGTGTTCTATATGAGAACACGTAGGAATTTCCAAATAATTACACAGACATAGTGATGCATGTGATGACAATATAGTACAATACATATGGCATGAAAACCTGCATTATGATGCAGTTTTTTCACAATCTTCCTGATAGCTTTTTTTCCGTTTTTGGTGCACGTTGTGGTGCCATTCTTTTTTATGTGCGCTCATTTTTGCATTGGTAGCATTGTTTGAGCACAAATTAATTTTATTCCACTTACTGCCTCCACGCTTTTGAGCACAAATTAATTTGATTCCACTTACTGCTTCCGCATATAAACACCCATTTCATTGGTGCATTTCTTTTGCCTCACGCACGAGCAGTGGTCAATGAAAAAGTGATACGGCATTATTTTAGTCGACCTGGTCCGGTACGTAGCATTTCCGCTTTGGCAGAAGTTTTCCAGCTTCGCCGATACTGTGTGCCAACGACGAAACTCTAAAATAGTTTCTCGCTCCAACGGTTCAAGTGACAACACCCGAGCTTCGAAATACCGCGCGAAAATGGGTGTTTCTTAGTATGTGAAAATAATCTGTACACCACAAGCCCTTTTCGGTGGTGTGTCGGTTGGGTCGTACTAACACTTGTTTACTTATTTATTGTGGTACTCTTGGGGCCCAGAGTCTGTTACGGAGGAAGGGTGGGTGCAGGGTAATTGGCGTACAGCGTTCAAGCAACCCCCAAAGCCTTCTCTTAGACCCGTCGGGAATCGTCGCGGCACTTTACGCGCGCCTCATGCCCCCAGGAGCCTGGCTTGCACACGGGAGAACCTGACAGCGGCCAGCCTGGGCCTGTTGGCAGCCTGTCGGCGACGGCAGCAGCTGCAGACCTTGCTCAAGTCACTGCACCTCATCAAGGCCCTGGTGAGGGTCTGCGGATCGCTTGCCACCGCCACCATTCGGGGCTTTCATTACCGCGTCTTCGACTGGCGTGTGCGGCGTCCCATTTCGCCATCAAAACGTTGTTTTTGAGTGGCAATAAACGTTGTCACAAAAGCCAGAGTGTCAACCTTTCAGATGTCGCGGTCCTAAAAATTTGATGTCGCAATACTAAAAAAGAAAAGGCACGAAAGAATGCGAGTGTTGACGTTGTCGCAGCGCCCCGGCTGTTGAAACTTCGGTGGACTTCCGAGCTCTAGAGCTACCTGCAGCAGACCGGGCGTCTGCTACGTCCCTGATCACTGCTGCGACACTGCTGGGGTCGCGGCCGGCGACAATGGGACACTTTTGCGACGTTGTATTTGAGGAACCACTGTTTAGGACGCGGTAAACACGCCAGCTGAAGACGCGTTTCGGACTCCATAAAAACCACTTCGCACGTGCGTCTCGGCACCGAAATAATGTAAAATCAGCGCTGGGTTAGTGCTGCATTGTATGTGTTGCCAAGAAAAGGCGGGCTCACATGTGTCGAGCCCCGATGTAGCACCTTGTGTATGGCACTTAGTTAGTGCTGAGGTGTATGTGTACGGGCATTAAGTCCTCTAGATTATTCTATGCAGCATCACTTCGCAATCTTCTAGAGTTTTGACAGTAGCCGAGGCTGCTGTCAAAAGGGGACAGTCCAAGAATTTGTGCTAGGGGGTTACAAAAAACTTGATTGCTGTTTTGCTAACTGCACTCATTTTATCTGCAGATAAGTGGAAAAGCACTCGCAGATTGGAAACATCGCTAGAAGTTGCCTAGTTCCTCTAAATGTATTTGTTATGGTGGGTTTATTTTAGGTAGGGTTGTTACGGGTGGGCTCCACTGCATTGAGGGACTGTTGACCCAGATGTCTGAGGGGCGTAAACTCGCATAGTTTCTTTTTTTTTTTCATGCTGCACGTCATGTTTGAGCCAGCCATATGCACGTCTTATTTTGTGCCAGCTACTTGCCAAGTACTTCTCTTAACCATCAATCGGTGCAATGTTCCTTTCTTTTTTTTTTTTTAGCAAGAAACGGACACGAGACTTCGGGAACTTCTAGAGGTAAGTTTGACCGGCTCGATATAGATGCATATGGTAGTGTACTCGCACCTCTTTCTAAGTGCTGTAACCACCAGAAGCAAGAGTACTTCCTGAATCGGGGATTACTTTATATTTTTAAATCCTGTACTGCCGATCACTGCTCCTCTATTTATGATACAAAAGGAGCGTTGCGTTGGACTTGGTCTGCCGTTTGACGAGTGCACCTGTTTTGCAACTCTCGGTGCTTCCTCGAATGATGCTGTCAGCAGCTCATTGGGCACTGCCCAAGGAAGGTTCCAAAGCGAGCTAGCTAAGGGAGCTGTCAAAGATGGTGTGGCGGCGCCCTAGCTGCCCTTACCAGGAAACTTGGTGTTATGCCTAAGGGCACAGATTGACGTTACAAGATCAACACAGCCGCGGAACTGTTCGTAGGCGCTGCTTTCACCCTCAGTGTCCCCCTCTCCCCCGGTGGTTCATCTCCTGTCTTTCAAAGTGTCACGGTTTTGGAGACTGCTGTTACGATATCTCCACGGGCAGGTTTTAAAGCGCATCTGGCTTTGCCGTAGCTGCTCCATAGGATGCAGTTTTGAAGCACACCCTCTTGAAAATGAGAGGTTACGGGAGAGAGAGCCCTTTGGTGAACTTGTTGGCACGAGCCAGTGGTAGGAAGGGGGAAACCGGGCCCTCGTTGAGACTCTGCACGACTCTCAGGAGCAAGACTACCCTGGGGCCATCCAGCTTGGCCTGGCGTGCCACAGGGCTGCCAGCACCTTCAAGCACTACCAATGCATCAGGTGGGCAAACCGTCCTCTGCTCCTGTCTCCCGCTCCGTTAGTACTGGATGCCTTGACCACTTGTCGCTAGCTAAAAAATATTTCATTTTTCTTTCGCTTTGTAGGGTAGGAAAGAGAGAGAGGAAATGGGGACGGTATATATATCTTGACGGCATAATCGCTTGATAGAAGCAAGTTGCCAAGTTACAATGGTACCTAGAAATGTATCACTCACAAAATGTGTGCAGCACTGAAAGACAACACTTTGAGAGGTGTCCTACAAAAAATGATGGACGCTTCAAGATTTGTCCCATTTCTCTCCCCTCTGGCGGGGAGAAACGGGATACCCGGAACGAAATTGACAGACATTGCATACTTACTGGTGGTCTCCATTAGGAGCCCGTGTTACAACCCGCGTGGATGATTATGCATACATTATTTTTAAATTGAATGTGTCGCTAATTATGACATTACAAAATAATTATGTCCGGAAAACTCGCCAGTCATAATTAAAGTGCCTAGGAACTTTGGCATAATCGCACAAGGCAGAAAGACTAATGAGGATGGTTGATCCGATGATGACAATATGCAATAATTATGACACGAGGCACTCATCTTGAGCTTCTTTTGAGGCTCAAGATTTTTACCGTAATAGAGTATGGGAGATTATTTTCTAGAGAAGTTCTTTTTACGTAATGTTTAAAGGATTCCTATTTTTAGTGTGCCCTTTATACGGCTCAGGAATGTTGAGACCAGTCATGAGGGAAACTTTATTGAATTGAGCAGGGTGTAAAGTTGGCCGAGTTAGTTGAACATGGTTATGAAAAGTGAACGATGTCAGAAACAACCAAGAGCACAAAGACATGGTACTACAGAAACGGAGCGCCGACTTCCAACTGATTTATTTTGAAGAAACGCATACCAACGTAAAGCCAGAACATGAAAAACACAGCCACTAGCTGTCACAGACACGCGCCGAAGATACTCATAAAGGCCACTTCCTTGTCGAACAGTGCAATCCAAGGGGCACTGGCGCATTTATCTTTGTGCTTGGAAATGAAAGAAGATCCCCAAAATGTCTATAGTTGTCTGAAGACTGCTACGTCCCAGAGAATTTGTTTAAACTGCCAGCGTTCAGTTTGAACAGCCAGGCAGAGTGTTGGAACTGAGCAGTCAAGTTTCCTGGGATTTTACGACGAAATGCATTTGGCTCTTTTAGAAAGGAGATGTATGGGAAGAGTGTGGCAGCGAGCATGCCCCGTGTGTTCCCCACAGCGAGCTGAGCTCGAAGCTGCAGGAGACCCTGGAGATGACGGAGGAGCAGCTGGACGTGGCGCTGTCGCGCACCTGCTCCAGCTTCGACCGGTCACACTACAGCCGCCTGCAGGCTGCCTACGGGCTGCTGGGCAAGACTCAGGTGGGCTAGCCGCTCCCTTCGGTTCTCTCGGAACACGCGTCCTGCCGATGCCCCGACAGATGTCCTTGCAATGGCCACCTGTGCGCTTGATCACAGGGGCGGTGTGCATAGGTGGGCATAATCTGAAGCGATTACGAGATAGACAAAACGTGGCGAGGCGGGGGTTTGGCTCTTGCGCACGTACGGAACCTAAACTCCCCTCTCGCTTTCGCATTTTAGGGAGTTCGGGTGCTTTTTCCTTTGCGCTTTGCCGCAGCACGGAGGTGCGAAGAGATAGGGTGGCTTCTCTTCATTACAGCAGCTTCAAATGCCAGGAAGTTGCCCTGGCATATGTAAATAGAGATTTTGAGGATGTGGCTCCATATGAATTGAGCAGTCGTACAACTCTTTTCTGTCCTCTTGTTTTCTCTTCTTTGTGTGCTGAATAATACCTCAATATGTTAGATTACCAACCAGCCCAAATGTCAACCTTACTACAACTAATTAAAATTTGATCGAATGATTCCTGCTATCAACTTAAAGTTTATGAAAACTAAGTTTTGTATGAAAGATACATTATTCGTCGCACACATTTAGGGAGGGAAGGACAGACGTGGCTCCCAACTGGGAACCTGCTCATCCCGATTTTGCTCGAAAACAAGTTTTACCCACCTAATGAATGGCTAATTGCTCTAGAATAGTTGCATCAATTAAAGTGGGTCCCCTGACTGCTTTGTTCTTGAATCTGGATCTCCGTTCTTTTCATTTGTTCTCACGATTGAACACTGCTTCATTTCCGTCTTCACGGCTACCACAAACTCTGTCTGACGGCGCGGGCACGGGTCTTGTTGAGTGCAGATGGCGGCCCACCAGCTCCTGATGCACTTTAGCAGCGCCATCCACAACCGGGCCTTCGCCATCGTGCGGGGCTACGCGGAGACCCATTCGAGCCAGGGGGACCTGCAGAAGGCACAGTACAGGGACCTCTGCAGGGTGAGGGCCCCCCTCCCTTCACCTCGCGGCCCCCCCATAGGGAGCTAAGGACCGCTGCGCTTGATTAGCCGAGTAGGGGTAATGCATTCAAAGTTTGCAATGCCAGTGCAGTTGAAGCTGCGGCGATGCACAGGGTCTGACTGAATGCTAGGCGTATTCGTTCCTTTTTCTATGTATAAGGAAACAAAATCCTTTCTGTCGCACTCGCGCCGGAACCCCAGATGTTGAGAGAAATGCGGGTCGACGTCGGGTGCGTCTGCATGTAGCGTCGACCAAAACTCCGAACCCCTTGGATACGAAGTTGCAGCCAAAAGTTAGCAGCACGTGTCGATTCGGCAACGAAAGCGCCGCGGCGGCGTCGCAAGAACCAGTGAAGGTTGTGCACTCTGCAAACTTTGTAGGGTTCCAACTTTGTGTTTGACGAGTCTAGAGTCCCAGCTTGCTTGCCCCGCCTGCCTCTGGGGTGCCGCTGTCGGGGCTAGAGGAGGCCGACTTTCCTTTCGCGCTGGAACCGGTGCAAAAGTGGTGGCGGGTGTCCGCTGTGCAGTGCGTGCCCTCGGAGTGCTTTCTGTCCTGCCTGCTGGACCTGTGCCAGGCCATGTGGCAGACCATGTGCAGCTACAAGGCCATCCTTGCGTGGCACCAAGACGGGGACGACTCCGTGGGCTCGGGTGAGTGCCCCCGGGTACCTTCGTGCGGGAGACGGGGCTGCTTTGCCATTTTTCACTCGACCTTCTTTTCTCAACAAGTGCGGGTCGACGTCGTTTAACCGCATTTACGACGTTGGCTGTATCGAACTCGTATTCGGCGAGTGTCATGTTGCCAAAAACAAACATGGCACGCACGCCCCTTAGAGAGAATGTCGTCGATATGTAGGCGCCAACGGTCTCACCCTGGGTGTTAGGATGGAATGCATTAGAGGTCAAGAGGATGCCGCGAGTGAACGTGAAGCGGCACGTAAAAGAGGGTGTTACCGAGCGGAGAATGGACACGCCGGTGCGACCGAGCAATTTGTGCGGCGTGTCTGCAAGAACGTGTTCAGTGCTAGCTGTTCTGTGTGTGATCGGTTGTGGTTCGCGTGAGATGCCGCACGACGCGACGTCGCCAGGATTTTCGGTCGATCTCGACGCAGTATTATTGAAATGTCGCGCAAGCCGATGCCGTTAGCTCGCATCCGTCGCATGATTGCTCATGCAAATTTTTAGTTATTTTCGGTAACGTTTTAAATTGAGCGAATAATCTGAGATTACCATTAACGGTGCATTATGAAGCATCGTAGAGATTTGTCAACAAATTAGGTGTATTATTTCGTTCCATATGTTACTGCTCGAACCCCGAGCCGCCGTAAGATGGGAAGGGGGGTGACACAAAAAGTTTGCACGTAACACCTTTTTCGAACCCAGTTCCGAGTTTGTTTTCCTAGAAGTTGAAGCTTGACGGCCTGCAGGGGACGGGGGCCAAGAGGGCGGCGGCGAGGCAGAGGGTGACGGCAGCTTCGAGGCACGCTATGTGCGGGACAAGCTGACCCAGGGGCTGCAGCGGGTCTGGCAGGACATCCAGAAGAAGCTCACCGAGTTCCTGCTGGCCTGCAACATGTCGGGCTTCAAGTTCAACCAGTTCATACAGGTGCTGGACGTGGTGCGCAGGTGAGAGCCCCCCTGTCTTTGCTTCCAATATCATATGTAGCTGCACAATGCTCTCCCAGCAACTAACTTTCCTAAGATGATTCACGAGATGATGAGCTCAGATTTGTCAAAGATTTCTTCCGCCCGATTCTTTTGCAACTGTCAAGCATGTGGGTGCTTTATGACAATGCGTAAACATTGCAAAGTTTGTAGCTTAATCCCTATGTTATGCTAGTGTTTTAATGCAAAATGTGTTTAAAGGGGCACGAAGCCACTTTTCCAAAAGTGTATTTATGGTCATAACTCAATCTATAGGCTCTAAGCATCGTAAAGAACCAAACATTACATCCGTGCGTCACCAATTTCTCTATTGAAAATCAGTATCAAAGATTGATTACCTCCGAAGTATCGCCAACACCATATCGCACAATTGGACGAGGAAAATGGCTTCTCCTCTGCTTCTCTTCTTTCGGTGGTGCCATCTTGTGTCAGCGATAGTTCCGAGCCAATCAATTTTTGATACCAATTTTAATAGAGAAATCTGTAACACATGAATGTAATATTTGGTGTTTTAGGGTGCTTGGATTCCATAGACCGAGTTAAGAGCATAAATAGACTGTCCAGGAAGTGGTTAAGTGCTCCTTTAAGGCCTGGCACCGCCGAGGAAAGTATGATACTACAGGAACCGTTCCGAGATGTAGGACAATCTGTACAAAAAAGTGGCAAATTAAGAAGAAAGAACAAAATTTTAGACGCGTCAAAAATTCAAATTGGACGTTTTGAGTGATTTATACAGCGTAAGGTTGGTCTGCCAGTAGGGGCGACACTGGTTTACACTGTAGATGAGCAATTTAGCCAGTGCAGTACAACCGCTAGCCTGGGGTCTTTAACGTGCATCACGCAGTAGTGATACACGACCGCACGCCGGTACGATGCTCATCCAGATCGAAACGGGCAGGGGTGGGGCTCGAACCCAGGATCCCTGGGTTCTGCAGCGCGAGCTTTCGCTCCACGCGCGTCGAGCTGGGTGTGCGCTTCAGCCCACTCGGCCACCGATCCCCCCTTTAGACGCGTCCCAACAGGAATCAAACCCACGACTTCATGATTGTGAGCTCGACATTCTACCACTGCGACAATTAGAGGGTGGATGCGGAGCTAGCTAGTTTCATCTCTACCAAGGTGGTCTCTACTGACTGTTTAGATGTGAACGCCGATCGTCGGACAGCGTTGTTCGGCATTTGTGTTCAACCTTTAGCGTTATATATAAAAAAAAAAAAAACCTGTAATTGTTATTGCAAATCTTAAGGAATGCTGAGGAAATACATTTTCTGTATGCCGCGTTTATCCGTCAAATTGGGATAAATTGAGCTTTTTTTCTTTTTAAGTTTAAAGGCGATATTTCTAGCGACCAAGAACTCTAGTATTTTTCTTGAAAGTGAGAAAGGAACATTGAAAGCTTACATAATCCTTATTTTTATTAACATAGTGTTTTTCTTACGTGGGCCTATCCCATTATCAAGCCTCGCTGAAATTCCCTTTTCCAGACTAATGGACATAGGTGAGGAATTCTGCAGCAGCAGGTCAGAAGAGTTGCAGCAGTCTCTCAAGCAGCAGAGTCTAAATTATTTCAAGAATTATCATAGGTGAGTGAAACTAAGAAAAACACAGACGAAGAAGAGACACATACAACACGGACTAGCACCAGTTCGTGTTGTATGTGTCTCTTTTTCGTCAGTGTTTGTGTGCGCTTTTTAGTCCTCTAAAGTGAAACTCATTTTGGACTGGCACGAAACCGCTCCTGTGTCGGCTCCATCCGGTCGTGGAGGCACTTCCTTACCAATGACAGCATTTCTCGTTAGCCTCTAAATTTCAGAAATTGAGTGAATCAGACTTTAATGACTTGTGAAACGTTTTGGGTGCTAGGTGCAAGCTTCAAGCTGGCTTCTTGTCCCGCATTGGTATTGCTCATTTCAAGGAACTAGCTCGTGGAATTGCTTGCCGGTTCCGATTCTCTCGCAATGTCCTGTCTGCCACTTGTCCAGGAGCTGCCTGGAGGAGCTGCGCATGTTCCTGGAGAACGAGAGCTGGGAATTGGTGCCTGTGCGCTCCTCCTTCTCCCTGCTACAGCTTCAGGTGCTCTTTCCCGCCCTCCCTGTCGTTTCCGTGCTGGCCCTGGCAGGGCATCAGTCGGCAGCCGCGAGGGTGCAAACCGATAAAACCGCTCTTAGTACAGTAAAAAAAAAATAATTCAGTATAATCGGTAAATTATATTCCTGTCTCTTTTTGAACGATCAAAAATTACATTGCTACAGTTTGTTTACATGCACCAAAGATAATGCACTGGGACGTGAATTGACTCTGGAGGCACATTCACATGGATAAGACCACTGGGCTTCCCTCGCGCAGCTTGCAACTAGAACCACTAAATGTATATGCCACTTGGGGAAAAGGACATATCCCGCCGATTGGTTCCGTCTGCATATTCCTAGCCATCCATACTTTATCGCGAAAGTGATTTCATCGTAATCACTTTGAGGTTGATTCGACAGCCGCGTTGCCGAGGGTCAGCGAGCGGAAGTCTGGGAGTCGTGACATTCTGTTAATCGATAATCGATGCCTTCAGCACGAACGTGACACCGTTTTGTGACGCCTTCTCACGTTCAAAAGAGAAGGTGTAACCTGCAATCTTTTTTGGGGAAGGGGTGCAGCTGGACCAAGTCTTTACTGAGCCAGGCTCTGTCTTATCCCAGGAGTTCTGCTTCCTGCGCCAGTCCCTGCAGGGCCGGCCGGCGACGGTGTCTCCCAGCAGCCGGCTGGAAGCGCGCAGGGAGGAGCGGCCCTGCTTCCTGGTCAGCCGGAACCCCTTCCTCATCCAGCAGGAGGAGGAGGAAGAGGACCTCTTCGACCCACCTCCCTCCTCCGTGAGTCCTCTTCCATTTCACGTCGGCAGCACACTCAGCTCGACGGCGCTCTTTGTCCCGTTGCGCTTGATCCACGCAATCCTCGGTATACCGCCTGTAACAGGGAGCCAAGAAGTATAGTCCAACCTCTGACTAGTCGTTCCTGTCAACCCGCTAAGGTGAAAGAGGAAACATTTATAAAATAGCAAGAATGAGTCGAGTTGCACGGTGTTTTCAAATACTAACCGGAGAGTGGTGGAGCCTCAAGGAAGAGCTCATCTCTAGAGCCGGGTCTCTCATACGAGTCCGTTACAAAAAGAAAGAAGACCTTGTGACAAAAGATACGTGCAGAAGCATTGCTCGTGGCTTCCTGGAGGATACGAGTTGGTCTAAAGCTGTGGTGGTTCCAGCTAGAGAGCCTAGCCAAGCCGATGCACAGTGCTGTTTTAGACGTCTTGCGTACCATATTGTCATGCGGAGGGAGAATGTTCTGGTTCTGCTGCTTTCCTGCGGCACACTCAAGTACGGGGAAGAGGCACACTTGTCCGGTAGGCAAGGTGCCCACGTCGTATCTCACGAGTGGCCTCATTGTTCTGCTCCCAAAGGTAGTATTGCACTCTGAAACTCTATGCAAAAACCGTGGCTTTGAAACGTGTGTATGGGGTGCACCTGATATGTCTGCAGGTTCTGTTACAGAAGCTGTAAACAGGGACAGGGATGACACCAAATATTATCAGAGTCATAGTCATTGAAGGTTCACACTCAAAATTAAAAAAGGAAAAAAATATGATACCCATTTTTTGTGGCCTTAAAAAACTGCCAACACAATGATTGCAAAAAAAAAAAAAAAAAATGATCTCAGAGAATTGGAAGCACTCTGTGCATTCTCTGCGTAATTCTGAACATGGCGTTGTATCGCGGGAGTCGTGGGCTGGACGGCTGAACTAAGCGATGGCGGCGGACGAGGGGCGTGGGACCCCTACTTTAGAACTGTCATTTTCGGTACCGGCAAATCTGTCTAGCTTTGAAAGAGAAATATGTACCGATCAAAACAATTAGGATTTATTCCGTACGACACGCCCTACCACCAAGCTGATTTGCATGAACATGTCGCCTAGTCATCGCCCCTTCTCCTGGCTGGAGACATCAATCGTCTTGCGAACAGAAGACGTGCGCATTTTTCGTCTGCTTCACATGGCCAGAAAAACCGAAGGAAAAACAAACAAAAAAGGAAAACACAGTCGGGTGTAGCCGGTGACTTCTGGCACCCCTCTCCTCCTCTGCATTTCTTCTTCCTCCCCAGCTCAGTTTTGGTTTCGAGCAGATGCATTTTTTTACTTTATTAAAAATATACTTGACGCCGTTCTGAAATATGGATTAAGTAGTCTTCTGACACCATATTAAATCACCTGGCCAAAAATAAAAAAAAATATTGGGGGGTGTTTGTGTCTCTTCAATGTGGGGTGCCTGGGCTGTGTGCCCCCAGGCTTTGACAGTTTTTTCCCGGTCGTCTTGCCACAGCACGCCAACAACGAAGTTGGGGAGGTTGACTCGGACGACTCGGACGTTCCGGAAGAGCTCAAGAAGGACTACATTGACGAGCTGACGGAGGAGGTGCCTCAGCGGAGGTGAGCAGAGGGACGGGCAGAACGTGAACGTTTTTTGTCTTTGACTTTAACAAAGCCACAAGACTTTTTCTCAACTCTGAAGAGTCAGAATCTCTGACACGGTATAGCTGGTGGGAAATCAAACTTTTGTTGTGTCTGGATCTTAAGAGTTTACTGGTAATGGAATCGAGGAGGGGTTGAAAGTACATTGTATATTGGCATAAATCTTTTATTGGGAAATTGAATAAATTTTTTATTAGCTAATAAGGTAGTGCAGCTATGCAAATTGAACCCCACATTGTGTTGCATTGTATGGCTTCGTATGCTTTCAGCTTATTTCCGCTTAAGCAATCAATGCTGAATCTTAAATTGGACTTAAATCTCAATGATGCATCTTGATAGCCCCGGATGAGCTGTGGTGAAGATTGCCCAATCCACGTGGCGTCGGGAAAGGCTGGCTTCGCTGCAGCGCGAGAGGCTCGTGCAGCGAAGCCCAACGTCTTTCCTTTGGAGGCACCTGCATGATTCTCGACGTCCAACCTAAAGTTGGAGCCTTCCGTAAGATGTTGCACATAGCCATGCTTCCCTTTGCAGGCACAGCAGGGTGGCGGACAAACAGCGGAGCCAAACGAAGGATGCCCCCTTTGTCACCAACACAACTCTCAACATTCTCAGGCAATTTGGTAAGGCATGGTCACTGAGTGTGCTGTGTATGGGGTGTGGTCTGCTTTCTTTAAGCATTTTATACGGATCTAACTATTTTTTGCGGTGTGAACCTTAGCTGTGCAAACTGGCTGCGGGGGTTATATTTCTCATTTGATCAGTTGACAAAACTGGCTCCTGCTTGCACATATATTGCAATCACAGTACAGATGTGGAAACTTATCAGTGTAGAAATTCGTCGCACCAACTGAACAAAATAGTGTGACTTGTAGTAAGGTGCGGCTTATAGGCCATTCAATATGATAGATGTTTTTCTATGTTGCCCATAGATATGCGGACGTCGCTGCGTGTGTGGTGTTGCGAGGCTTAGATTGGCACTTGAGCCTTAACCAGGCATTTTCTGACACGTCTGCTGATGTCTGAAGGAGCATCCTTTGGAAGCGTTTTCCTACTGTTGTTGACTGCAGGCAAATACATGAAGATGATGGACGTCCTGCACACCATTGCCTTCGACGTCTTTCTCTGCATGTCGCAGCTTTTCAGCTACTACCTCTACACGGTAAGTTGATTTGGTCTGTAGGAAAATATAGTCAGTGTTTCCCTCATTTGTTTTATGCTGTAGAATTCTCCTTGTGTTTCATTTTAGGTCTACATCTTTTTTGCAAAAGAAATGGTGAGTGCCGCTTCCACATTCCTTTCAACAGCTGAGCCGCATTGTTAGCTGCGTGCATGCTTGTGGTTTCATCTGGTCCACTCGCTAATTTTGATCGAAAATATTTATGCGTCTTGTACAGTTCCTCGTTCAGGTGCAGATGGCTCTATATAAAGGGGAGCTTGAAACTAAAGCACCATACACTCAGCAGCAACTTTTCTGTGCGACAGTGGCTAGCGTAGTTCCCGCAATGTCCCGAGGAAAGGCGACTCCACTTGTACCATCTTATACTACTATACGGAGGCTAGCATAAAGCACGAGTGGTAGTATTTAAGGCCTGGCTAGCATACAAGCAAATACAGTGCAATCCACTTATAACAATACCACATATAACGATGTCATGCTTATAACGATCAGTTTCTAGAGCTTTTAGACTAGAAACGCTCAGAGTCTAGTCCAGATACAACAATAATTGGTTATAACGATTTAAAGGGATACTTCAACGAAATTTGAAATATTCCCGTCGTGTTCAAAAATAGGTTGAATATAATCCACAATATCCGTAAATGACAATCGCACGTTTGTATTTTGATCCTGGTGGCTGTGTTTTTCGTTATAAACAGCCCACTCTGGTAAGCGCTCGGAGAAGGCCCAGCTTAGAGCACGTGACATCCAACGCAATCGTGACGTAGGTCGTCTTAAGACGAGCAAAGCTACGGCGAGGCTGACGTCGAGAGGACGGCCTAGTCGTTCCAGCCACCGAAGCGGCTGCTTTTGTACGAATTTTGAGTGACGGGTTAATCTTCTATAATCTTCTAGGGGGACAATAGCGACTTCTGCGACACACAAAAGGGATTCTCGGGAAGAGGGGAGTTCCTCCTTCCCCCCTTCTCTCGTCGTGGCCGGAGACGAGACAACCTCCGTCACTAGCTGTCAAGGTTCCTAGACGAGCATTACAAACGAGGCGTTAGCGACATCCACCAGGTGCTCTTTGCTAATCGTTTAATTTGTTTTAAAATTCTGTTTGGAGACTTTTTTTAACAAGATATTGGTACGTTCCATGTGATACTGCTCTTTTGAACACATATAGACCAAAAAATGAGCGCCGAAATTTCGTTGTAGTATCCCTTTAATTTTCGGGTTTTCTCATTATCGGTATAAGTGGATTGTACTGTACATGCAAAAATCACAAGGTTGTTGCGGGCTCCCTGCACTCGATTGAAGTGGCCCATGACAATGCATTCGAAGGAAATCAATGCACACAATGACGCCGTACTTTCAGCACTGCTGGGTTAGTCCTATTGGCTGATAACATGGAATGCACTCTAACTTATAGTGAAACGTAATAAAGGCGTGCAATCCAAATGGTCACATCTGGCGTCTTTTTCTCAACTTTCAAATGGGTACAATGGAGTTGTAAGAATCATGCAAAATTGGTCCGTATTTGTAAAGGGAAATGGAAGAATCGAGAGAAAGGAACAGGGAGTGGAAACCACCTTCAAATTCGGCTGCCGAAGAGAGGCCTCAAAAAGTTTCTCGATATAACATAACCAAATGCACATTTTGAAAATGAGAGGGTATAGAAGGAAAAGGCGTGCCACGCAAAGGCGTGAACCAAAAAAATGCCTTCTCAGTTTGCCAGTTCCGCCAAGTTCGGCACACTGGTAATGTTTTCTTTTTCTTCGCCGCCTTCCTCTCTTTTTTCGTTTGTCAAAGGATAGTTCTGTTCGTGCCAAAACAAGGAAAAATATATATAACTGAGAAGATTTTGCTTTGGGAGGATGGCAAATCTGCAAGCCTGTCCTTGTTCTGTTTGCTAGATGGGTTTTGAGCCAGGATCATGCCCAACCTTATCACGACGTATTTAACCGAGACCGAGGCAGAAGGAATAAAATATCTGGACAGTGGTGGAAACAATAGACGTCTACTATCCCAATTTCATTTTTCTACCGATGTCAAGATATCTGGCTCCTTCTGTCCCAGCCTCAGGTTAAACTCCACCAGCTTGCCCGCGCACTGGCTGTAGTTTGGTTAATCGTTTCCTATCGTGAGAAACCCAAAGACGAATGTGCCCTTGGATGGTAGAGACCCCAGTGTTGGGAGAGCTCCGCCCCTCCCGTAGCAATCGTTTACGTTGCAGACGCCCCGTTTCAGAGTGACTTCAGGGAGAACTCTCTGAGCCCCAAGGCACGGACGTCGGTGCAGAAGATCCAGGAGGACCTGATCCTGGACGGCCAGGGGGCCAGCGATGGCCGCCCGGGAGAGGAACCGCCCGAGGCCAAGGTGCGCCCCCGGGGCCCACCCTCTTTAGAGTTCGTACTGTTGCTTGGAACACGTCCCATTGCTGCGTTTACCTCGTCACCGATCCCGTTCTGCTGTAGGTCGCTCTCCAGCTTGGCAGTTCACTGAAACTTCGGCAACTGGGAGTGGGGACTTTATGCGGAGCGCAAGTTCGTCTGCTTCTTTTGCACGGGTTGTGGTGCCTTCAGAAGGCCGAGCCATGATTGGTCCTGATTGAAGAATGGTGGGTAGACCTCGAGGCACCTCGCTTTGAGGTCTACCCACTATCCTTCAGTCAGAGCCAATCAGAGCTCGGCATCGTTCTGACGTCACCGCAACTCCTGCAAAAGAAGCAGACGAACTTGCTCTCCGCATAATGACACTTGCATTAGTGCTTTTAGCTGGGACTTGTAGCAGCAACCAGCAGGACATCCAACTGGGCGACACTTTGGCTTCTGGGAGGCGACTTATTGCCGGCAACACTTTTCTTTTGCGGGCGAGATGGGACGCTAAACCAGTCAGAGGTGCGTTTCGGGCAACATATTATCGGGAACCTCGAGAAAACGGTCCGCCATTTCCCCACGCATTTTGGCTCTGAACGGCAGGGCATAGGAGCGGGCATCGACGGCGCCAGTGCTTGCCGGCAAGCCTCTAATAAACGCCAAGAAGTGACTAAATGTCGCTCGTAAGGTCGATATCTAGGTTGTCTTTTCTAGCTTTATTTTGTGAACGTGTCGTGGCGTAACGAGCTAGCCTAACCTTTTGTCCCCTTTTTCCAGTCTTCTGCCTTTCTCTCGTCTGTTCTCTCGGGATCTCCGATGTGGGCATTTTCGGTTTCCCGCACTTGGCGCCTGGCTCGTTGGTTTGTTTGCATGAGCCCGCCCCCCCGTCGGCTGTGTGCAGGACCGGATGCCGGCCCCCCGCCTGTCTCCCGTCGTGGACCTTGGCAGCTCGGAGCAACTGTATGGGCTGGCACAGCGGGTGGTGGCCGCTGAGTCGTTGTGAGTGCGCCACTCTCTACCGCCGCACCGCTTTTTCCTTCTTGGTGTCTCTTGACAACCTCGCCAAACAGGTGTAAAAAAAAAAAGCAGCGTTGTGTTTGTGTTTCTATTTCTCGTCCCTCGTCTGTGACACTGCTTTAACCTTTTAATCATCTCGAAGGCAAGATAAGAGCCAACTCTGCCCTTAAAGAAGCAGTTATTGCAAGGCGGTGCCCGAATTTAGAGGGAGCCAAGGGGGTGCACCAATCCAGAGGGATCCAAATACTCGTTGAGCAACCTTTAAGAATGGTTCTTCCACTTATTGGGCTGAAACAAGACTCGAGGGTGTTTATTGTTGATCCACACTTGCTCCGACGAAAGCTTGCCGCAGTACGCCCAACAAAGCCGCAGCATTTTTAGACGGCAGTCGTTTGGAAACAGTGGTTATTCTGGTCTTCCCTACAAGTGGTCCTATTTTAAAATTCAAGCGGTTAAAGCCACTTTGTCTGGCTTATTTCACAATGCGGGACTTTTGGAACACAATTTGTACACAAAGTATAAATTGCTCACAGACGGCCATTTGCAGGGAGCGGGAGCAGTAGCTGCCAAAAAGTATTTTATATGCGACGTCGGTTTAGAACTCTCTACCAACGTTGGGGGCTTGTTTCAGGCTCTTCCTGTCGGACCAGTTTGTGTTTCTGGTGCCCCACCTGGAAGCCCTTCTGCCCAGCACCAAGCGGTCCTCCGTGCAGGCCTACGTTCAGGTGGGTTCCCAACGGTGGAAATCGGGGCTTTCGTCACTGCCACCAGTTTCCCCCAAAAGCTAATGAAGCACAAGACTCTTTCTACGGGGACCCTAACATAACATTTTCACTACTGCTCAAAGTGGAAATTTTCCATTCATAAAACATAAAAAAGTTTTTCCCGTAGACTGGTTGCTTTTGCAGAGTGTCTCTTGAGGCCCACTTGCAGCAAAGCTTGGAACAAACGGTCACTTTTCTGGTCGCACAAAAGCAAGATTATCCTTTTGCGACATCCACTATGTCGGGACTGTTGGTGGTAGAACACAATAGGATACCTCAGAACTAGCATTTAAAGGGAATTTTCGTATGTTCTCTCTGGTTTTAAGCGTAGCAAGAATGGGGGAACATGCAGGTTGCCCAGTGTCATCTAGCTGCCTTGGCAATTCCTTGAAGACGGCATTTGCTTTTCTAACGTCATCACTTCACTCAGCCCCGCCTAGCTCGCATCAGCATTGCTGCAAGCGTGTTTGTTAGCGTCTTACAATGAGCGCAGTGCCAGTGATACCGAGACACGCAACTACCCCTTTGCCACAGACCCTCATTGAGCGTGTTTTCCGCTTGGGGCAAGTCGGGGATCCACCGGCAATGGTGCAATGCACGTGCCTCATCTTCCAGGCTGTAGTAGTATTGCTCCGAATGTCTAGTTGTTGGATTCAGCCGAGGCCTTATTTCAATCGGGGTGCCATCTGACCGAGATTCCAGTCGTCCTGAAGACCTTCGCATGGTCTAAATCATTCCTTGACCCCGATGGGACATCCTTCGCTGGTTTGGGGCACAAACTCCCAAATGCTGGAGCAAGTAAGCAGCTTTGGCTTAGGTGGCACGCCGCTCCACCCACACGCCTCGAGACATGTTGCATGAGAAGCTCTTTGTAGGATTGCAAAACTAGAGTCGTGGTGCTTCCTCGGTAAGCGAATGCTCTTACGCAAGACGTACACACGCGTAAGAGCATAGCCCCGGCGATGGTACTAACTGACCTTTCTGGGACGCAGACGGTGTCCATGTCGGCGGAGCTGCGCCAGCCGGCCTACATGACGGTGGCGGCACGTGCCCTCGACTACGACCAGGTGCTAAGCCGCATGGAGAAGGTGCGCTGGGACCTCCACGAGATCCCAGCCCAGCACAGCCCCTACGTCGACATCCTTATTAGGGTGAGCCCCCGGCTGGCCGACATTCTTCGCACGCTGGCGTCCATGCAGAGCCGTTGGGCGAGGAACGCCTTGCCCAAACGATTAGCTGGATTCCCATTTCACTGCTGCAGCTGCTGTTGAAGACATCTGTGTGCAGACGTGTCTCCCCCGGATACTTGGGAGGAGCTGTCCCACTCGATGGATTCGAAGGAGATACCTGAGTCGCCGTTGCGAAGCGTTGAAACTGTCCCGCTCAGACTGCCACTCTACTTCCGGGTTGCCCACTGATGTCGGGAACGACTTCCGTTATCCAAAATGCATCATTTTCTTGAAAGCTTTCCAATCATAAGGTGTCTTCAACTTTTTAAATTATGAAGTATAGGAGCTCACAAAATTGGGGAACTAGCAAATTCGCAAGGTACAGTAATTTTTCATTGTAACAAAGTCAGCGGGACGGCAAAAAATTCTATCTAAGCAGTAATTCAATAAAGTGAGAGATAAAAAAAGAACAGCGACAGTGGCCTTGAAGGAGGAGAGGAACACTGCGGAACACTCTGGCCATACATATAATCAAACAAACCTGGGTTATAAACAACTCGCGGCAACTTTACCGAGTAAAAAAAAAATAATTAAATAAGATTTGCCTATAATTTCATCCGGGCATCACCTCTCCTCGAACTGCTCCAGGCATTGCAAGGACACGGTCACCGCCGCTGCACCCCACTTTGTTTCAAAGCAGCCATAGGGTGTTTCACGTCTCTGCAGTCATCGGCGGTTCCCAAATTGTTTCTCCGACGTCGCTTTGTGTTTACTCTGGCTGCACGCGAGATCTACGATCGCAGCCTCCGTGGCGGGAGCAACGACGGGAAGGTCCGCATCGACAACTGTGAAGGATCAGTCATCCTCGACGGCTCCGCCAACGTATTTTCACACGCTCCTGTAGAGATTGTTGCAGCTCTGGGAATCATGCGCCGGCTTGGCAAGCACGCTCGCGAGAGAAAATCCAACATGTGCAAAGCAGCTGGGTCGCGAGAATGTTTTCTCTTGCATGAGAAACTTCTCAAACCCGTCCAATATGCCTTGCTTGTTGTGCAAAATGGTGGACAGTATCGAACAGCCAATGCTGGAATGTTGAATTCTTTGGCGATTTCGAACTTGGTCTGGCCACTTTTCCCAACCTCGCAGGTCTAAGCGACTTTCGGTAAACACTCCCACTGTCCCATATGACGCTCGTGTACGCTAGAAGCGCGCTCGCGCAGATGCACGTGTCGGGAGCTCCTGAAGCGACGACCTCCGGGCTTCATCACTCCCTTGACCTGATTCTGACAGGAGTCGGGCAGCGTCGACCACAGGAGCGGTGAGTAGGGTCGAAACATGGACGCTGCACCCGCCGCTCCCTGGCTGCGTTGACGCATCGGCATTGGAAGTGGCGCTCTGCCCTCTGTCACCCGTTTCCTCCGTTTTCTTGTTTGCTGTTTGCCTCGGTGAAGAAGGGGGAGGGAACGCGAGGGTCTCCGTGCACCTCCGTGGAGGCTTGCATGTTTTCGGCACCTCAGCCTTTGTAATAAGCATGGTCGGCCGCTGATTCCCTTAAAATAATCTGACTCAAAATGCGTGCATTTCGGTCGGTACTACGTTGAACTTCGATAAAAATGATAATTAGAAAAAAACTATTTCGTTATAACGATGGATTACTGTATCCATCGTTAGTTGACGTGTTAAGAAACTGGAGTTAAGAAACCACAGTGAGCAGCTTTGTACCGCAGTGTACCGGTGACTTGCACGGGACATCACTCGGTTTTTGTCTTTCGTCGGCGCAACAGCGAGGCTCAGTGGCCGACCACACTTTGAGGACGCCACGAGTGCGTCGTAACTGTCATTGCAATTCCTCGCAGGAGTTGCAGGTGTTCCTCATGCGACTCTCCGAGGTGGCCAAGCTGATTCCCATTCCCAAGGAGGCCACGGCAGTCCTGTGGGAGCACTGCGTCCGCATCTCTAACAGGACATTCATCGAAGGGTGGGTCCGCTCGCTCGAAGCAGCCTCTAGAATCACTCTGGCGCATTGCTCTACTAATTGGTTAAAGTGCAGCTTAAGTGCTTATCTTTTGGGATGCGTTGGCAAAACATTCTCCTTGATGCATTCATAGACGTGCCATGCAGAGGTCAGTTTTTGATTACACTTTGCATGTCTGACACAAACCAGCACCTAGTGTAGATGCTATTTGCTACGATGTGCAGCTCAAAATTCGGCATTCGGGTCACTTGGTCTCTCTAGCTGCTTTACACTAAGTGTGGTCTCGCCTAAAATGTTTCTCGACGAAGCGAATGCAAGCAAGTTTGGCGTTGTGTACATTTCTAATCGTTGCGTGCCGTTGGAGAAGGCGTTTCCGATGACAGGCCCGTTGAAGGGAAGTGCCCCCTCTTCAGGTTCTCGCAGGCCCGGCGCTGCACTCCAGAGGGACGTGCCCGCATGCAGCTGGACTACCAGCAGTTTGTGAGCAAGGTGGAGAAGCTGGTGGAGCTGCGGCCCCTGCCGGATCGGGAGCTGGTGGAGGCCTACGTCAAAGCCTACTACCTCACCGAGAAGGGCCTGCACCAGTGGATCACCCAGCGCGGAAAGGTGGGCACCGGCACCCGAGAGCGCACCTTCGCGTCGACGCGCCAGACGCGCATTGTTTTGGCGGTCAAAGTCCAGAGGCTCGTACTTCCAGCAACGCCCCGTCCTCGGACGACGGCGATCGCCGCGGCCGTGTTCCGAATTCGCTTGATCTCTCTCCGGAGTAAAGCTACTCGCGTCCCTTGGTCGGCGTTGTCATGCGATATGACTCGTGAGAACGTCGTACTCAACTACCCAAGTCCAGCTCTCATTTTTAAAAAAAAAATTACTGTAAGTGACTTAATTTTCGCGAAGACCGAATTTTCGCAAATCGCCTACAATTCGCGAAAAATAAGTCTCGCAAACAATTCCGGTGAAATGTAAACATATTGGAATCTATATTGAGATCCCACGGCGTCGCGAAAATTAGAGCCTGCGAGTTATGCCAAAACTTCAGTTTTGACCTACTACTCCAGTAATAGCCGCACTGTTTATGAAGAAAACCTGAGGGTTCGCTTTTCCGCAGAGCATGCGGATATCCAATCACCGCAATCGACAGCATGATTCCAGCGGTTTACAGGACAGAGATAACGTCTTCGCACGAAGATACCATCTGTGAGGTTTCATTTGTATGGAGACTCGTGTTCTTGATCTAGTTATTCGCTATGTTATTTATGCGCAATGCGGTAATTGGCTGTATATGTGCTTTGCGGGAAAGTAGACACAAGGGCCTTGTGCATAAATAGTGCGCTATCACTCGAGTAAATACGGTAAATCGCGAAATGTTGAGACTGCGAAAAATAAGTCGTTTACAGTATACAGTTGAACCTCGATTTAGCGAAGTCACCGGGACCCCCTAATTATTTCGTTAAATCGGGAACTTCTTAAAGTCGAGAAAGACATTCTTCGGGATAGGCTGCGCGGGGAATTTGAATTTGTTCGTTAAATCAGGAAACTCGTAAAATCGGGTTTCGTTAAATTGAGGTTCAACTGTATATAGAACCTGCTCGTGCGTTAGAATCGGAAATCTGGGGCACATGCTACAGCCACTGACAGAAGGAGAAGTTTCTGGCTTGGTGATTGGGTGGCCGACAGGAGCACAGTGGGTCGGCGCAACTCGGCTCGGAGCATGTGGAGCGAAAGTTAGCTTTGCTGCAGAGGTTCCATCCCCACTGCCGCCCGTTTCAATTTGGGCGAGCGTCGTACCGGCTCACGTAGTATCGCACTGCGTGGTGCACGTGAAAGTCCCCGGGCTAGCAGTTGTACCGCAGATTTCTTATCTACAGCCGAGACACCCATTAAGACCAACTTGTGGCAGTATAAACGTATGTAGTACACAATTAAGGTTATCGGCTGGTGCCGCAACCTCATTGGTCGAGACCTGCGTTTCTTAAGCTGTCGGCGACCGTAGAACCGTTATTCGTGGCTCAAAATACAGGGTGCACATAAAAACCGCGGGCGCGTTAGAATTGGGGAAACACCGTAACTCGAATCTGCTCAAGCGAGATTTGGAAACTCAGCCCGCGTTAATATGCATTCGTGAGACGTCATGTTAATCTGTTCGTGCCTCCTCTCTGTGAGCGTGCCAGTTTAGCTTGTTTATCTCTCACTTGTGCCCTTGTGCGGTATGTGGGTGAAAACGAGGAGCGTGTAAGGTAAATTCTCATCAATCGGCACCTAGATGCATTTGAAGCTTTTGCCAAGGCACGAGATTTTTAAGGGTGGCTTTGGTCAGAGTCCTCGTTTCTCTTCGTGCGTCACCAGAATGATGCAGTGGCATCGAACTCATTTTTGATTTCGAGCGCCGAATTAGGATGCTCATATTTTTAAGCCGGGCATTCGTGTAAAACCCAGTGACAATTAAGTTGATGGAATTATATATGTTCAGTGTGTCTGTATTTTGTTACGCCTGAAGTTTGGGGCATCAATTGTGAATTTTTCTTTGCACCAGCGCATCTTGGTCAGGCAGCAAATAGCATCGGCTGGCACAGTAGCAATTGTTCTATTTTTGTAAGTTTTTGGCTCAAAGTAGCTTGTGGTGTGCTAGATGCCAACATAGGTACTGGCTGAGTAACCAATGGGTTATCTCGACAGCGGCGGCAATCTCAAAAGTGGAGACACCGCCTAGTAGCGTGGTCCCACATATCTGTGGCAATGTAGACGATGCTTAGGCTATGTCACGGGGGTCAGTTTGATAACATATCCCTCCATTGTGCCAATGATCGCCACCTTGTCTCTCTCTCTCTCGAACATAGTGGAAGACGCATATACCAGAGTAAGGGCAGAGTCCAAGAGCGTTTATTGAACATTATTTTAACGAACTACCATCTCCCATCCACCCTACCCGCACCCCTCCTTCCCCGGCAAGGTAAGAAAAGGTTCTTACCTGGCAGGAGCCAAGATAGGATAGAAGAAGCATCGGAGAGGTGACCTCAAAACACGTTCGAACACTGTCGCAGCCGCCGGACGTGTTCCTTTGCTCGTCGGTCGTGACTGCATCCGAGCGGGGGAACGGAAGAGGGAGAGAGTGAAGGGGAAGGCCCCCAAGGGAGGGACGCTTCACGAACAGGTCGGAGCTCGCGGCAAAGGAGGCCGAGCGTTTTGACCCAGATCCGTTATTGCGGCCATTGGAAAAGGGAGATCGCGGGAATCCCCACAAGCTACAATAAAGCCAGATTTCCATCCATTACTGTACAAGCGATTGCAAACCCGGTGGTGAGCTTCTCCCTATGCATATGTTTGTGCTGCGTATTCACTGTGTTCGACGTCTTGTTGTCCCCGCGCAGCCAGTAGCGCGACCTGGATGTCCCTTTTTAGGGAGTCCACCTAGACTCTGACCGTGATTAAAATCGATCTCGCCTTCTGCCCACTGGCTGATTTCTAAGCTATGGCTCCGCCCGTACCTTTTCAGGAATATGCACCCAAACATCTGGTTGGTCTGGTGAACTGCGTGGCGCACCTGAACAAGAAGGGACGGCAAGCTCTCCTCGCCCTCATCGAGGAAACCGACCGCACCAAGAAGTGATGGCAGCAGCATTTTTTATTGTTAGGAAGTAAACAATGATTCTTTCGCATCCGGCGGCGACAGTCCTGCATGAACCGGTCGTTGCTCTGGCACGGCTTCTTTGTGTGGCACAGAGCATGGCCAGTCAGTCGCTTTACAATAAGTGGCCACGTGAAACGGATGTTTGCAGCAACTCCGGATTAGTCCTAACTGATGTTGCGGGGAACCTGTTTTTTCTCTAAAGGCTGGTTCACACATTTGTGTTTGAGAGTGACTGACTGCGTTACGATCGCTTGAATGCTTACGACGAGAGAGGAGCATCATCTATCGGGCAGCGCAGTGACACATCCAGTTTGCATTCCTAAGTTTTGATGCCTCATTCTTGCACCGTGGACTCGAAAAAATTCGATGTTTTAAGTGAGCATTTCTCGTAGCTTTCATTTCGCAAATACTAAAAATCCTTGGGTCACGTTTTATGCCAATCAGATGTGTTCTGGGGCTGCCCAATGCGCCAGTGTGTTTTCTCTAAGCGATGCACCGGTCACATTCAAGCGGAAATGCGTCGACCGTATTGTTGTCATATGTTACTCTCCTTTGCTCGCGTCTTCACTGCCGCAGACTCTTCTTAATGGTGCCGCGGCGCCATTGCGGTACTATGTCACCGGAGCGAGCGCGGAGAGAACGGCTGGCTTCCGCAGCTCGCGATCGCTGTCGCCCCCACACAGACCACCATCAAGAGGCTGCCCGTGCCACGCGTACGCGGCGACCGATTATCTCGAGGTACGACAGCGTGAGGCGGAGGCACTTACATGACAACCTGAGGATCCCGAGGTGCACAAACGTGCTACGGCTCTCGCTTTTAGTTTGCGTATCGCGCGCGAAAACGGCGCCCTTTTTTTGGTGCTGTCACCGCACCTGTGGGAGACGCGTTTTAAACACCGTGCTGTTCGGCGGCAAGCGGAAGAAAAAAAGATGGAATTTCGGCCCGCAGGCATGGCCCCGCTGCGGAGACACGGCCTGGGAGGTGCGCGTCTTCGGGGTCTGCCACGCAAGGCCAACGTCCGGAAGCCCTCGCGGCACTATCGGGGCATCTAAGCTGGTTGCCCTCGTGTGCACTTGAAACCACCCCATCTCGTGCCGAATACCCTATAGACGAGTGGGTTCCACTCCCAGATACCCGGGAACATCTTGCGCACGTGAAAGGAGCGAAGCTCACCCACTTTATTTAAGCCATTCCCTCACTTAGACTGCACAACCTACATCTTGCCATGACCACGGTGCTCTGCCAAGAACCGTAGGTAAAACTATGGTGCCTGGAATGCGCCTCCGACTGGTGTGTTTACTGCGTCCAGGAAACTGGTCCCTCGATTTACCGGAGGATGTCAGAGAAGTTTCATGCGGTCGCTAGTCGCGATGCTGGCGGCATCCCAACAGCTCTAGATTATGTGGCAGACGCCTGTTCTGCTGCAGGTCGCTCTCCAGTGTGGCAGTCCACGGAAGCTTCGACAGCCAGAAGTTGAGAGGCTGCAACGACAGCGACACTTACATTTGCACGTGCTTTTCGCCAGCATTTCTACGATCAACTGCCAGGATTGTGACATGAAACAGCATGACACTCCGGCTTCTGTGACGTCATTTGTTGCCACTTTGGGACCCCTTTTGATGTATGGGCAGCATAGGACGCTAAACACATGAGTCGGAGACTTGCTCCAGGCACCATAGTAAAACCGCAGGTGCCTTTGCAATTTTTTTCAATAAGGACCTTCTGAATTACTTTCTTTCCTGATCACGGGAAAAGTAGCAATTTTGGAAGGATCCGTGCAAATGCTTTTATTTTCCCAACTATGACAATTTGCATATGGTGCAATATGACGCACCAAAATGTAACCAATTAGTTGTTCCTTGAAAAGAAACAGGTTGGTATAATCTGGAAAAAAGATTTTAAAATTTTATTTATTGACAATACAGTGTATGTGTGGAAGGTAGAAACTTCTACAGCTATGTCAAATGAAATGACAAATAAATGAAAATTTTGAATATACAAAATGCCACACACCCACAGCTATTAACATACTTGTGAAAGTTAGTCTACTCCGACAGACATTATTTTTGGTTTGTCGGAGACTTAGCCTCCGTAACAAGTGTGCTTTTTAACGATGGAATGCTTCTATTGGTGAAACACAGATAGTATACCTTACATCCCCAGCAGAATGTTTTCTTTCTCTTCTACCTTGGTTTTGTCATAGCCTTGATTGCAGTTCCATCGTATTTAGCATTTTTTGTCCACCTTGCTGGAAACATAGAATAAGCACGCCAGCTCAGGACGGCATTGGAAATAATAGTGATGCTTACCGACAACCATCTTGAAGGACGTCTATAACATAACTTAAAGTGTCCCCAGAGTTCTTGAGGACTAAAAACTATGCCATAATACAGTTCGATTTTGTAAATAATGCCATCTTTGTTACGAAGACCGATGCAAGCAGTTAGCCATTATTTGACGAGTGCAACCACCGTTCTTGGGACTATTTTTGACAGCCCACCAGCATGTGATAAAGCTCAAACCTACGTTAAAACCGAAACTACATTTCTTCGGCTATCCCCGAGCTTGTGTAACATAATTCTCCGCTCTAAATTTAATTTCTTGATGGTGCCTGGAAACCGTCGAACACCGGTGATCGATAGCCTATGGGCGTGGTTAAGGAAGAGTGAATCGGAATGCTGAAAGTGTATTTTTGCAGCGAAGTTGTTCTGGGCTCTTTCTACCAGTGGAAATGACGTCCATTGTTGTAGTTAACGATGTAGGGCGTGCATCGTCGATGTTGCAAACTCCTTCAAAAAGATCGCCTGCCATTCGCGGAAATGGAACCCGAGTCCGCTGCGTGCGAAACGGAGACATTGCCACTGAGTACGCCACGGCTTTAATAGGGAGTTACCGTAGATCGTTTTGGCCGTCCCACAACGCTCTCCGCAACCACCTACGATACCCGGAACTCGGGGGCGGATGCAGGAATTTCCTGAGGGAGGGGGGTTCAGGTGTTGGGTCAGCGTACCATTTGTTTAAGAACCCTCTCCCTCGTTTCACGCCCTAAATTTTACACAAGCAGAAATCAAGAGGGGGTTCAGGACATCCGGACCCCCCCCCCCCTCTAAGTCCGCCCCTGCCGGAACTCTGCAGTCGAGGCCATCGGCGCACAGGCGCAGTAGCGGCTTCTTCGTTGCAGAGGGGGAAACGCGGTCTACGAAAACTCCCTATTGACCCACTCTATGCTTTTGGTTGTAGTTTTTAACGCCCACTGCGTGCGCCCTGAACAAAAAAAGAAAAAAAAACAAAAGCAAGTTTAACAAGTTGTACAACTGTCAATGTCAAGAGGTCATGAAGGGAAACACGCTTTCACGCGCTCCGGAACTAAAAAGAAACAAAAGTGGTCCGGATTTGTTGTATCCTATGCCCATTGCACGCGCTCTCTGGAAAAATAGAGAAATAACCAATCATAAAATGAACAATATATGAACATTGAACAATATATATTTATTCGCCCCGAGGGGCCGTTCGGCGCCCCTTGTGCGTCGGCGTCATCTGGCGGAGCTTTCCTCGGTGAAGAGCTTGTGGTAGACGCCGCCCCGGGACATGAGTTCGTCATGCGAACCCTTCTCGACCACCTTGCCCTTCTGCATGACGAAGATGCGGTCCACGTCCCGCACGCACCACAGCCGGGCGGTGACGATCACGCACGTGCGGCCCTTGCACACCGAGCGAATGGCCTCGCGAACCACCTGCACCAAACAGACCGATATGTCACCGGTCAGTCTGGGTACGCCACCGTTGCCGCAATACATCGAGGCTAGTCCTTCTGCATGTGCCACAAGAGAATGAGACGTTTTGGGGACTGCTGCCTGCCTCCTGTTAACTAGAGTTATGGCGGCTTCACACATGCGCCGAACACTTGGTGAGGTCGGTCTGTTGATCGCATCGCTTAAAAGAACGTTATTTTCTGGCGAGAACTACCAGGCGGAGGACAAAACTGTTTGTACTAAAGCTCCTTCATGTTCTTAAATAGCGCAAGGTGCGTCGATGCAAGAGGCACGTGCAACGTGCAGTCCTTTGGAACACCACGGCGGCACAGCGCGGCACTGAGCTAGATTTCAGACGCTACGTTTTTCCCAGAAGCACGCGCGGCACGTGTCTCGAGCATTTCCACAACATTGAATGGCGCCACTTTTCCCAGGATAGGGGGGCTTTATGTTTATACGCGGTGATCGAAGAGGAAGAACTTTAATAAACCTACGGAAGAGCCGAGAATAGTGCATGTGATTATAAAGAAAGACGTCTGAAAATCTTAAACACTCTCCCCGGCAGTGCCGAGGTCGCACGTTCCTGTGGCTTCGATGACTTTGACAACGACTGTATCACGAGGTTGCGGCGACAGAGCAGATTGGTAGAGCGAGGCGGCCCGACCTTCTCGTTCTTGGCGTCGAGGCCCTCCACTGCATCGTCGATGAGCAGGATCTTGGGGTCGCGAAGGAGGGCCCTGGCCAGGCCGATGCGCCGCATCTGGCTCAGCGACAGGTACCCGCCGTCCCGTGGGATCACGGTGTCGTAGCCCTGCGGGAGCATGCGCCGCACGAACCAGTCGGGCGGCGCCATCCTTTAATTAAGCCGGGGGTCGCAACCCGCGGCCCGCGTTAGCAAGGGCAGAAAGCTCGCGCTGAAGGCCTTCTAGTCTCAGCTTGAGGGCGAACGGAGCATAGAAACAGCGTCTCATCTGAGACTGCAGGGGAAAGAAAGCAGTGACAAAGCCAGCGCACGAGCTGAGCGGGACTCAAACCTCGTCCCAAGACGCTCGCGCATCCCCAGACTTTGCAGTGTTTTCTTTCATCCTGTCTCAGCTGAGACGCTGTTTCGTAGAGTAATATGGTGTATATTATTTTATGGCTGTTCTAGCAAGCTGGCCAGAAAAGACCCCTCCCTCTGCTGCTTCCTCAAGCAGACTAAATGACCGCACGACAGTTTTCACCTCAAATAGGGTTGGAACAAAGAGTACTTCCAAATGAAGTGGCGTGGGCGTGGAAGGAGCAAACGTGAACATTCTTTCGAGCAAGCAAATCCTGTTGCTAGCTCCGGTTAGCTACGGTGACTTTGATTGAGCTCGTGAAAAAACATCGCTTTTTTGCCTATTGTGACTCATATTTCAGCCCAAAGTTTGTGCAATGAAGGTTTTCCTCTCGCCTTCCCAAAGGCACCTTTTGTTTCCTAGAGCTTCCCCCGAAAAATCCTCAGACAAAACGCGTGGTTTTACGGAAGTAAAGAATGCCACACTGAGACGCAACGCAGATCGGGAAACGACCTACGACAATAATGCAGACTTAAGTGTCAAGAAAATGACGAGTAGAAGAAAATGAGAAAGAACACACAAAACAAGGACATAAAAGAAGACATTTTTGTTTTGCTTCTTTTATATTTAACCCCGTTACGGCAAAACGTCGAGTTTTTTTTTTTTTATTTTGCTTTTGTCGTCAGTCCGTCGCTTATTGCTCTCGCGAACACTATCTGTAAGCGAACATTGATAAGCAGAGAAGAGAAAAGGAAACGAACTAAAAGCTGGATGACTTCTCAAAACCCCACAAAGCGTCCCCCAACGTTGAGTGCCTTTCTGAACGCAACCTACTTCAAGAAGGTGGGGCCACTGCCGTGCCTATTCTGTGGGTTCTCTTTGTTACCTATTCACTCATTTCCGTATCCCAAGTTCGTTTATAGCGAACTCCCGATATAGGGAATATTGATTGTAGTTAAACGATGCGTCCAAGGTGCGCGGCAGGACGTGATAATCAGCGATGTCACTATAGCTAAAGCGATTTTTTTATTTCTGTCCCAAAAATGTTTTGTAATATGTATCAGTCATATTGCCACGAGCCTTGTATGGATCAGTCATATTGCCTCAAGCAAGCGCGAATGGTTACCGCGCTTGCTCTCGCGCGGAGCCTCCGGGTTCGATTCCAGGGAGCGGACTCCTCTTTTGTTTGTTCTTTCAACTTGACATTCTCGTAGGTTCGAGAAACTTGGCGTGTGATCGAGCTACGAATGTTATACGTGTCGAACGTTCTACGCCGAATGTTCCAGAAACCCACGCGGGTACAAAAGGTGCTCCGTGTGGCGGTCCGGAGTCAGTCTCATCCCAGCGCTCGATCCTTATGTTTCTGCGACACCGATGCCTGCGACGCTAGCCTTTCTCTATTTTGTTTTGGGCACAAATTTGCCCTAATGAGCGTGTAATTTCTTCAATTATTCGCCGCCTCATCATTTGTCATTCGTGACAATATTCTGCTCCTTATAGTTGGGCTGCATAAAATAGCTGTACGATGCTTTTTTTTTCGGTTTGTGTTTTTACGTGCTAATAAACCATTCTGGGGGAAGGGGGGGGGGGAGGGGGGGAGAGGGGAGGGAGGGGTGGGGGGTAAGCCAGATTTGTGCAACTGTATAAGTGTCCTTGTCACTGACGTCGATACAAATTACGCAATGCGGAAGTGTCTTCAAAAGTAATTGAATTACATTTCTAAGTATTTGTACTCTACTCAAGATACTTTACAGTGAAAGTAACTGTGTTTTAAATACTTTATGAAGCAGGTATTTAGTAACTTAAATACATTTATCGAGTATTTTGTCCAACACTGTTCAAAAGGGCTGCCTCGTTGCGGACTTTCTAGATGGAGGGTATTGTATAAACGAAGAGCTGGATTTGGGATAGACGTCGTTCGATGTCGAGTGTGGGCCTTGTTATTTAATGGAGTATTATAATGTCAATTGTAACCCCCAGGGGAGGATCGTTATCTTGTATTTCTTATCATATAAACTATCAGTTGATAGGCAGTGCTTAGGCCTTGTCTCTTGTATCTTTTCGCTATGTTTCAAATTGGGGACTGTAATTTCGCTGCATATTTTTATTTACCGATCCGTAGAAAAGGAACTTGGCGTACATTCATCGTTTTTGTTTTGTTTGGGTCAGTTTGTCGACAACCGGAAAGCCGAAATGAACACACCGATGTGCGCAGGTCGCTCACATAGTCCCGTGCGCACAGGAGACTAGGGCGTACTACATGACGTGTTTGCAACTAGAGAGCACCTCTGGCAGCGAGACGATGAAGTCGTGGGCGTCGGCCTTCTGGGCAGCCAGGATAACCTCGTCGCGGCTGACCTCCCGGCTGTTGTCCCCGTAGCCGATGTTGTCGGCGACGCTGTAACTGTGCAGCAGCGTCTCGCTGCTCACGTAGCCCAGCTGCGCACGCATCCATGACAGCCGCATCATCTTCGTCCCGATGTGGTCGATCAACTGCGCCAACCAGACTCTGCATCGCGCCGCTGCAGGCCGCGAGAGCCCCCCGCTTATCCATCGCATACACAGATGATGACGACCAGAAGTTTAAGAATGTCGACGAGGGCATCCCCCTTTCCGGAGGAAGCCTTCACGCGCAGGAGGACACTGACCATTGTCGTGCTGACGTTTTCACTATTTTAAATGCATTTATGAGGTTAGCTCTTAGCGTTCTTGTCGCAAGTCAGATCGTAGTGCTGGAATGGTGAGGAGTCCGTAGAGTTATCGTTTTTTACCTTACACTGTGACATCGTGTGACGCCATAACGTTAAGATCCACTGTGGCGTCACGTGACGACGTCCCTTGCCGCTCATTTCAACGTTAAATTAGCTAAGTTGCGGAACTGCACAGAAACGCTGCTTGCACGAGCAGTACCTCCTCGCCTCCCGGCGTTCGACACGCCACCGTGTTTGAGGGACGGCCGCTATGGTGACTGCAGTGTATTCTGTGGAATCATGGCCCAACGGGTGATGGACTGAAGGGTTGTGGAACTCCCCCTCCGCGGGAGTTCCACAACTGAGGTGATTTAATAACGTTAGCTTATCTCGCGGCACATGTGACATCAGGTGACGCCACGACGTGATGTCATGTCACAGGAGACTGTGACGCCGCACGAAGCTTACGTGACGCTACTTGGCGTCATGTCACGTGCCACCGTGACGTCAGAAAACATAATGGCATAACATTGTGACGTCACGCGACACCATTACGTAACCAATTACGTGATGCAAGGTCAATGACCACGTGCTTCCCTAATGTTCAAATGACGTCACACAATGCTGTGACGTCAGGTACGACGTCACAGACGGCCTGCAAATGCATTTAGGTACAATGCGAAATAGCGCAAAAGAGAGTAGACAGGATCGGCGCTCACCCGAAGTAAAATAAGTCCGGCTGCCGGCAGAGCGTTTTTGGTTTTCATCAACGATACGGCACCGTGACACGTAGACTGCACCACTCTCCGCCGGAAGGTGGTGGTCTTGTACATTTTAGCACAATCCAGGCTACCACTACGTCACTGCCTAGTGGAAAAACTGCAACATTACGCCGCTAAGTCGAGTAAACGTCGTTTATTTTGGTTTAACAAGCTTTACCCTCGCAAATTTACATTTCACTTGATTGGACGATTTTTTTATGTATTTCTGTTCGCCTAAGATTTCACATATTTCGAGTGTTTCTTTTTTTTTCTTCTTTTTTTTACTTATGATTGCTGGAATATGCGTTCAGTCGTCGAAGTAATTATGCATAAGTGTGTTTTCAACTGAACTCGAACACGGTTTTAGGATCAAATTTTTAATTTTGATAAAAAAAAAATGTTTTGGTAGCATTCTTGAAATAAAAGACAGCGTAAACGGCAAGCTTGGCGGATTTTTTCGTATTTAAGTAATTGGCCGTTGGAGCAGCCGAGGCGAAAACTGACGTTTCTTCAGCTTGTCAGAGATGGCATCGTTAACCACTCGCTATTTTGTCTCTTATCAAACTATTGCACTAGGCCTCTTTGGTGACAATTTCGAAATAGTTCAATATTGTATGTAGTAAAATAATACATGAGATACATACATTTCAATTAACCAATGAAAAAAAATCTTGCGAATTCGGGATCGATTTTCTAAAATAAACATTTTTAATTTCCTTCATTTTTCAACAATAGTGGGGTATGGCAGTGGTTTATTATAACATGTAAATAAAAAACGTATATTGTTTGCATGTCCGCAATTAAAGCTTTAATCTAATAAAATGTTCGTTGTGAAGGCGCCTTCCCATAGGTGCTGTTATGGCCAATATTGTGGCATGGATATGATTACTGACCTGATATTAATACTCCCTTTAACACGTAGCGTATAAATAAGTGGAATTGTGCACAATGCTGAGTAAAAATGCGGTATTTGTAAATTTGCTCGCGCTTCATCTAAACTCCCTGCGTAATTCGTGACGCATTTCCTCCGAAGTCGACACCACTTCTCCCCAGTCTTTCATTTCCTGCTTTGAGTTACAGCTGGTATATAAGTTAAACAGCCACCTAAGGGATCACGCCATGAAACCTGCGCCTGTCTGCCGTCCGTGTATCCAGTGGGCTTCAAAGGGGTCTTCGGGAAATGGCAAACACGGATTATCGCGAAACCGGCAAGCGTGCGCCGATTACTCAAGAAGGCATATGTCAATCGCTTATTACGGTTGCCGTTTCCGTAAAGTTTCAGAGCTTACCCTCAGTTTCCTTAAGCAAGTTCTACCGGCCGAGGACGCCGAGCACGTAAACCCCAATGATGTCGTGTGCAAGAACTGCTACACGATGTTCTGCAGTCAGATCGTAGGACATCAGCGAGGGCAGAAAGCATCGTCATTGAGCTCATTGTCACCATCCCTGGCGCCAGCAGACACACCAGCGCCCTTTTCGTCTACCTTCTTGTTCTTGTCTGTGTCCTTGCGCTGTTTTAATTTTTAATCATGAAATACCAAATAGCCCGAACTTCTACGTTAGACACATTATTCGTTGACGAGGAAAACCTGGTTCAAGGGACGGCGGAAGCAATCGACTCTGTCGAAGTAAGTCCGACATCGCTGAAACTGCCTTCTAGCGTAAGTCCGCGCAGACGCGCCGGCTATGTTAAACGGCAACGATCCGAATTGACCAAGGAGTTCCAGAAGATAATTGGTCGTAAACTGAGCCATGTGCATACAGAGCACTTGTAGATCTTGACAATTAAGGGTCATGTCCCTCACGCGCAGAGTGGGTCAGCGATTTGCGTGTGACCTCTTTCAAAAGCACGTCGCAAATAGAACGCTACCGCCTGTTAACATTGTTGCCCTCCGATCTCAAAAATAAATAAAGTTTGAAAGCACTGCCTGGGGGGGGGGGGGGGGGGGGGGGGGGGGGGGGGGGGGAGAGGGAGGGGGGAGCAACAAAGCACGCTTGACAGATCAAGAAAACTCGGAAGGAAAATAGAGACCTGGGCGTCGATGACCCATGCGAAGGACATCCAATTGCGACCCGCGCGAACATTAATTCAGTATTGCAGTGAACTAGTATTTAAAAACGTACAGTACTTCTTTCTAATAATCTGCTGACAATATTTTTTGTGTTTCTGACTTTTCCTTTACTCACTTTTTCGTGTTAGAGAGAAGCGCCAGTCCCGTGCTCTCAGTGCGTGCTTCGAAAACATTTTGACGCAGTTGTACAATTCTGTAGTATTTGTACGATCTGTCGAGCTTTTCAATTCACTCGGCAAAGATTCAGGGGCTTTTTGTTTTCTTCCGGAACAATTTTACCGCTTTTTTTGTTTTTTCAACTAAAACCAAGGAAGTCTGTCATAACCTGTTCCAACCGGCGACTTCTTTAACTTGACTGGGTATAACCTTTTGGTGAAAATTTATGACAAGATCAACAAGATGAGCAGTTCCGGGGAGAGATTTCTTGAGCGACTCCTCTCGGGAAGACCCAAGCACGGATGCCCGTGCTCGAGGCGATCAGAGAAAGAAAAGTGAATATAGAATAGTTGAGAACAGCAGTCATGATGATCATAATGAAGATGAAGTGGGTGTTGTCCTTCAGCACCCTCACAATTTGTTTTTACTTTTGTATTTATTGGGTAAGTGCGAAACATCCGGTTACCGTTTGTGATGCGCGTTTTATACGCTGAATAAGCAATATTGCTCCGCTTGTCTAGTAAGGAGTCGAGCATAAGTTCTTAACATTGAGCTCGGTAACTAAATGTGCCTACGTGTATTTAAAATCCAATACCTCGATCGTCTAAACGGCCAGCAGTCCCCAGAGTGCGAACAATTACTTAGTAATTGTAGTTATATCGAAAACGTTGTGGACACTGCTTGCACGATAAGAATCATCCTTCTACCTTTTCCTGAAGGGCCTTCAGACCCGTAGCCACCCTAAACTTAAGCGCTTGACCTGCTGATCTTGCAGGGCTGTCGGTCCGTTATCGTCCATTCTTCGTGAATTGCGTGGCGGGAGTTGACGCCAAATCTCATCTTGATAATGGATCTCGGGGATCTTGGATCTTTGCTTCGAGATTGCTCTCAGGTAACGTTTCCGCTCGAGCATGTCCTCATTCTCGATGAGAAAATAGTTACGGTTCCTTTCCAAATTCTCGAAGCGGCAGTATGTCGTCTTGTCCGAAAGCAGCGGTGCTCGGGCGGTGTCGGCAAGTGCGCTTCTCCCATCGCACGGTCACGATGCAGAGAAGCGACATTCGCAGAGCGGAAATCGGCGACGGCAAAACTGGTCTCGGAGTTCCGGTCCTGTTTATCCGCGCTTCCAAGTGCTCCGCCTACGCAGGGGTTCATTAGGCCCATTGATCTTTGTGACGATTTGCTGGCTTGAGCACCCCGCTTGGTCGCTGCAGCGCCATTGCGGCCGCCGGACGGCCATCTTGCATGCAGCAAATTCGGCCTTTTGGAGCGTTGCGGAAGCGGGGCGGCAGCGTGCTCAAGACACGTTTTGCTACTCGTCGGTCGTCATTCGCCGCAGAAGTTTTTTTTTTTTTTTAATTTTTTCATTTTTTAATTTTTTGTAAACTATGATAACTGCCTTTGAGAATACGTGGAAATTTTTTCCAAAGCGCAGCACCGCAGAAAAGAGGCACAACTCGTCGAATGCAAGTCTCGCCTGTCTCGTTGCGTGATGAAAGCTTCCTTGGCACGCCGAAGTGCTGCGTCTCTGTGACTTCGTTCGCATGGATACCAATCAAGAATCGACGCCGTATAGATGTGTCTCGCGAGTGAAATGTGCGTGAGGGCGTATGTTCCTCTCGAGCAGCGGTTTACTTTGCTCTGACGATTATATTTGTAACCAGTGCGGCACTCGGCGGGCCAGAAACGAGCTTGATCCAGTATCTAGTGGCGACGGAAGAGGGAGGGAGGGAGGAAGGGGGGCGGCGACGGCGGCGCGTTTTTTTTTTTTTGTTTACTAGATGCTTATGGCAATCAATTCAGTAGAACAAAAATCTTTATTTTTGTGCACCCCCTTCCCCTTTTCCCCAACTGCAAAACACTTCTAACGCCCCTGGTTCAATTGTTCAAATAAGTGGCGATGTGATTTGAACCCTTAAAGTTGCTCTCGAGATGTTGATTCCACGGGGTGTTTTTATTGATAGCAACTCGCCGGAACAGCTCGACGATCCAGAACTCCGTAGCCGATATATGATGTACACCTTCAAAAATTCGCCACGGCGTGGATTCTTGATCGGTATCCAAGCGTGCGAAGGCACCGAGACGCAGCACTTCAGCGTGCCAAGAAAGCTTTGATCACGCCGCGAGACCACCGAGACTCGCGCTTAACGAGTTGTGCCTTTTCCCTGCGGTGCTGCTCTTTCGTAAAAATTTCCACGTGTTCTCAAGGGCTATTGTCACCGTTTACACGAGGTTTTAAAAAACTCCCGCGGCGAATGACGACGAACGAGTAGAAAACGTGTCTTCAGCACGCTTCCGCCCAGCCTCTCCAGCGCTCCAAAAAGTGGATTTTGCTAAATGCAAAATGGCCGTCCGGTGGCCGCACTCGCGGAGCGGTGAAGCGCGATCCAGCAATTGTCAGAGATATAAAGTTAGGCCGTATTTCGTGCTAATAATTTTAAATGCGGCAGCATTTCTTTCTTTCTGAACTTTAAAAAAGAAACTTAAAAACAAAACAAAGCAAAGAAAAAAAAACCTTTCAGCCTTTCCGCTTTGGTGAAGAAGGAAGACCAGCGAAGCTGTACTATGTTGGGATGAGCTCAAAGACCCCGTCTAGGACGACCTCAAGGGCGACATCTAGGGCGACCTCAATGACGACTTAGAGGACAACCTCGAGGACAACGCTTAGAGAAAGACGCCTAGGACGACCTCAAGAACGACGTCTTCGACGATCTCAAGGATGACTTCATGGAGGACGCCTAGAGAAATTCAGCCTTTCCACTCAGGTGAAAACCAGAGTGGAAAGGCTGGAAAGGTTGCCGCCATCTATGACCCGGACAGCGACAAACAGACAACCGGCTTTCCGGTTGTCTGGTTGCCGCCGTTGTTCATAGATGGCGGCAGCTGTCCAGAGTTTTGTGTCGACATTTATTTGGTGATGGACACAAAAGTGGGGAAACTAACCCTTAACAACTCCACTCTAAAAATATACACCAGTTTTCCTTTTCATTTTCTTCGGAAATGTTTAGTTTCAGGTGAATTTGCCAATATTAGATAAAGGAAATAGATGTAGGCATTGTATCAGCCGTGACGTGGCATCTCTGCAAGCTTGAGCCATAAACGCGGCCCACGTGGACGAAAGACGCTGCGTACGCTAGCCCTCCTCCTCCCTCCGAACGCTTCTTCAGTGGTGTTGTCCTAACTTCGTTACCAAGTAAACATAAGCTAACACTAAGACCTGTCGCGTGGGCAGTATGATTAATAACTCCATCTACTTATTTTCCCGGTACTGCCTGTGTATCCAAGAATAAAGGTTCAAAATACATCGTCTGGACATATGGTCTGACTCGGCCTCAACAAGACAGCTTCGCTTCCATGTTACTTGAAATAGACGCGAGGGAAACGTGTTCCGTTTGGGGGATCGGCGGCGAGTGGGCTAAAGCGCACACCCAGCTCGACACGCGTGGAGCGAAAGCTCGCGTTGCAGAACCCAGGGACCCTGGGCTCAAGCCCCACCCCTGCCCGTTTCGATGTGGATGAGCATCGTACCGGCGTGAGGTCGTGTATCACTACTGCGTGGTGCACGTTAGAGACCCCAGGCTAGCGGTTGTACTGCACTGGCTAAATTGCTCATCTACAGCGTGTGACTCGTCGCAACTTTAATGGCTGACCAATTACACGCTGTATAAATATCCCCCCCCCCCTCCAATTTCTGTTCCGTTCACAGAACCGACAGCGGCTCCCTAACAGTTGAAGCTGCCATTTAGGTAAGGTGACCTTCCTTCGGTGATTGGCAGCGGCTACGAAGCTACCCTTGAATCTCGCGGTGCATTGAAATAGCACCGCTTGTATTCGGGACGTTCCTAATGTATCTCGTTAAAAATATTACATTTCACTGCTCCGCAAAAAACATTTACTTTTGTGACGGCGAATCTTCGCAAGGACTTTTTAGCACAGCGGAAGAAACTGTGAGCCGGCATGTGACCAATAAGCACGGATTAGGGTGGCAGATGCGCCCGCTTTTTTCTCGCAGTGAGAGCGAGTACAGGTGAAAGTTAGCGCCTGCTACACTCTTGTCCTTGTGTACTTTGCGCTATTTTATTCTGTGGCTAAATACACACCGTCTAGCCCAGCAACGTACATACTTTAGTAGGAATATAAATGATGCGCCTTTAGAGCGCCTATAAAATACGCCATCAGTTTCTTTTTTTTCTTTCTCTTTAAAACAAAACGTCTTTTTATTCTTTTTTTATTGTGGAGCAATTTTTTTTTTAGGGGAGGATCCTGATAAGCATGTGCACGTTCCCCACTGCCGGAGCACACAGCTCACTGTTCAGGAAGTGAATTCCCAGCTTGATAGATAGGAAACCCTCTGCACTGGAAATCTAACGCGTCACCCGTCTGCCTCCTTGTTCAGTTCGGGTTTTGGTTTAATATAGTCATTTCCATTGCACATGTTGTTTGACACTGCGGCGATATTTTGGGCTAACCCAAATAACTATAGTTCTTACCCTTTCATGTATGCTACTTGGTATCGCCAAATTCAAAATTGTTATTGTGTAATCGGCAAATACAAATGATGCCAAAGCCAACATTCAAATATACCCGCACTCTTTAGTGCCGTGACGTCTGTGGCAAGCCGGTTGGCCAGTCGAGCAGGCAGCCTAAAATACGATCTATGCCTGATCATTTGTTTCGTGCTGCTGCGCGGATGCTGGAGCGAGCTTCCCAAGCATTCATTTGACACCATGAAACTGCTTGTAATCAGCTAGGAATAAACTCTACAGTCCAAAGAGTCAACCGATGTCTGCCGCTGGCGTCAGTTTTTCGTTGTTGGCAGTAGAGACTTTCAGTGTGAAAAACACGATGAGGATCAAAATTACAAATTCGATACTTTCGCGATATTTTTTTTTAGCCTAATATTTGGGGTACTATAGTACTATTTTATCAACGTGTGTTAGTGTGTTTAGGAAATTTTCAGACAAATCGGGGACCACGAAGGAAAGACTGGAGTTAAATCCGGCCGATGACAAACAGCTATGGTAGGTTTTTACACACGGATGACCTACAATAGCACCTCACTGGATTTTGAAAGCCATTTCGCGCTATGCGGTGTCCTATGGAAACGTCACGATGGCTGGACGAGACGCTTACTATTTCCCCCTCGGTGATGTCGTAGAATCGTTCCACGAGGTGCACCGACGTGGACTTCCCGGAGTAGTTCGGTCCAACCAGGGCCACGGTTTGCCCGGGTTCCACAGAAAACGTGACGTGGTCCAGGGCCCGCACCTCGGGGTGGTGCGGGTAGTGGAAGCTCACCTCGTTGAATGTCAGGAAGCCCCGGATCGACTGCTGCACGCCACCACGCAGGACGTCGGTCAGTCGGGTTACCTCCGACATCATCCGATCTACACTGGGCCCTCAACTGGAACTTGTGCGCTTGAAGAATATCTCCATTATCTTCTATACCGTTCTGCAGGATATTTTTTGCTCTTCTTTTATTTTTCTTAATTACGGCTTTTAACTTTTTAGATTGTGGATTTCTAGCAAACGGTGTTTTGCTTTTCTTTTCAGTCAAACGTGATTCGCTAGAGCTACCTTGTGCTCCAGAGTCGGGGACGGGTTAAGAAGCCAGAGTAGATGGTCCGCCCCCAGTGCGAGCTTTTCGCCTTTGACAAGGATTCATTGTGGGTGCAGCCCCACGAAAGGCACCCGAGCGCGTGCTGAAAGCGGATACTGCGTTCTTAGCCCCTCACCGACTAAACCAATATTTATCGGCGCTGTAATGTGCTGCGAAAAAGTGCGGAGGCTTCTTTGGGTCGTCTGCGGCATACTGGCGTGGACTGCTACGTTTCGCTAATGCCGAGGTAGCGGCCGACGGCCGAGCGCGCGCTCTGGTGAAGTGACCGCGCCGCGCTGAGCTCGGTCGTGCAGCCACTCCGGAGTCTGCCCGTGCGGGCTCTGCTGGCTCAGCTGCCAGCCGCTCCCTCGCACCGGCGGCCGGGCCGCTGTGCCGCCATGAAGAGGGCTTACTCTGGTGGCGTTCCTTGAAACTACGCCGCGCGAGAGCCGATGGGAGCCTCGTCCCTTGAAACTATGACGCGCGCCAGCCATTAGGAGCCTATCTATCAGATTTCTGCTACAGACGACAGGCTTCGCTCCATTGGGACAGGAAAGTTTAGGTGCCGTTTGGCGCGGCTTCAAAAGCTGATGACGTCGGTTTGCTCCATGGGACAGGGAATGCTTTCGCAATAAAATTGTTATTTCTTGAGAATTGTCGCGTGATAAATTATTCGCGCGCAACATGTATTGGATATGCGGGCTGTAACCTGACGGCAAAACCTCCGAAGCAGACATTCAGCACCTGGGACGGCTGACCAGGTTGACTCACCGTATGTTTTGCAAACGTTGGGCATCACACACGGAAGTTTCGACATTTGCAGTATAGATGAGGCGTTATTCCTCGCTCAGTAGAAGCAAAAAAAGAAAAAAAACGATGTGCGTATAGATTTCTTTTTTCGGCCATATGTTGCATTTTGACGTAGTTGAGTCGGGGCAAACTGGCAAAGCACTTTATTTGCCGATTGGAAGGTGCTAGAATTCAAGAGGTTAGTGTCAATGTCCTACTTTTTTTACTGTACTTTTCTGTGTTACTTACATTTTTTTTCGTTTATTTTATTTATGTTATATTTTAACGCGGCAACCGGCACGCGAAAAGTTTTTGTTCTCTTGATTTTTGCGTGGCGAAACCCGGCGTTTGCACACCAGGAGCACATGCACATCCTTGCGGACCGCATATATAGCGGAAATTCTTTACAGATTTTGAGGGACGTATTTTACGATTATTGCGGTGCTTTCGGGTAGCGAAAGACGTTACGCGGGTGTCGGCGAACTCACCATTGTGATTCCGGACTTGTCCATGAAGTCAATCTTGGGGACCCTGTCGATAAGTCTAAATATACGTTGTGCAGCCGCCTTGGCTTTGTGGTAGTCTGGCGAATAGGCCACGGCCTGACCAATCATGGCAGTGCCGAGGATCACGCCCTCGATCACTCTGGACAGAGGGAAGAGGAGCCACCGGAGATACACACAGTGCTTCTTTCAGAGTGTTCTTGGCCATTCTTAAATATTCACTAAGAAATCCCCTTCTAACTTGGAGCAATAATTTGAATCACTTTCGTATAATACAAGAAACGACGCGTATTGTGCCATTGAATATAGTGCTTACTGTATTGATTTTACAGTATAATTTAATAAATATAAAAGTAATGCCAGACACACTCTTGTACACAACGAGATGTCTTACGCGTAGTAGAAATTGTTTCGTTTTGCGCCTATCAGTGTTGCACTGACAAATGTGTTTGTTACATGGCTGTAACCTTTTGTGTACATATCTTTCGTGATGTTTTTCTCCTTTGATCATTTTGTGATTATACGTCAGTGAATACGAATCAATGTCGTATGAATGATAGTCGTCTTTGTGTGGCATTAACTAGCTGGGTTTAGAATTTTAAAACGTTTTGTGAATTGTTTTTTTATTTGTTGTAATATTATATTCATCTTTTATAATTTATACCTTCTTTTCAGACATATAGGCATACTTCATAGTTGGAAAGGTGTTACCCTAGCTAGTTTTTAGTGGCAACCAGACGTGCTTATGGTCTGAAGCAATCAATCTTACTCCCATCGTTTCTGGGCAATTGAGACAGTCCCGAAGTGCCTACTTGAAGAGGTTTCCAAAGAGGAGGTCGCACCGTCCGACCAATATGCTCCCGTAGAGAAGGGAAGTCGCGTAGGCCATGGACGGGATGCACTGGGCGACCCCGAAGGAGAAGCCACGCAGGATGGCCTTGCGCTTCATAATCCTGCACCACGGGACAAGAGGGCCACTGAGCGAATCTCCGTGGGGCGGAGGGAACTGCCCAAGACACCTCACTGTAGGGGAGGCTGCAGCGACCGGCATATGAAAGGGACATGAAATTGTCGTCATCAGCATCACGTGACCACGTCACGTCGTGTGAAGCACGAGTGCACGAGTTTCGCTATAAACGCGATCGTACCGACGTTAAAACGGCCCAGTATTCTACGCGCAAGAATTTTTTTTTTTTTACCTTTGTGGCTCCGTGAGAGACTGCACGTAGTTTGCGCAGAACACCTCCTCCTGGTGCAGCGACGCGACCGTTCGGATGTTTTGAATTGCCTCCACGGCGATCTGCATATTTAAGAACATTCGAGAATGGTTGCGATGACGTAAATTCTTCATTGTTGCCATGGCAATGATCAGAAAGTTTCTTTATTGAAAGACTATTGCGTGGTGCTCCGTCTTACGAGTTAGCTTCAGTGTTGGTAAAGGCACGGGTACTGCGATAGTGTGGCTCTGGAGACTTCCCAGCGAGCGTCGGTTGGAGAAAGCGCTTTCAAAAATAGTACGCCCTCGTCGATGTCTTTGGCAGCACGGAAGCCAACTTGTGATAGAAATGTCGTGCAGCCTTTGTAGCGATGTTGCAGTGTTAGGTGCAACATTTAGCAGCGTTAATAGAAGCGCGTGAGAGGTGTTCGATCTTAGTTCCGGGGGCACAGCGTCTCGTGCAAAAGTATTACGTAGCGATCTGCTTCGGTCAGACACTCGGGTGAAAGACGGCCGCAAGAAGCGGGCGGCGTACCCTGGTGGAGTTGTCGAGCGCCTGCTTGCTGGACATGAGCTTGCCCCGGAGCATGCGGCTCTCCAGGTAGGTGGAGAGCAGCACCAGCGGCACGAAGGCGAGCACGATGAAGCCCAGGTGCCAGTCCCAGTAGAAGGCCATCACCAGGCACGCGACCAGCGCGGAAAAGGCCTGGCAGATGGACGGAAGCTTTGAGCAGGTGCCCTGCGCACGACGCAAGGGCAATCAGACGAGCCGGGCGGCACGCAGCTACTATACGCCGCCCAGACCGCCGATAAAACTCCCCGCGATTCGCCCTTACTACGTGGACATTACGCGAGAAAATATTCAGCTCAAGACTAAAGGCAGGTTCGTACATCTGCATTGGTTGCATTCGCATGCAACCGAAACGACCGTAAGGACAAAGTCACGGGGACAAGTGTTTGCCGTACAGAGCATGGCAAGCGATGCAAGGGGTAGCTTCGCGAAGCAATCGATGAGTCGCTGTTGTTGCGGTGTCTTGGTCGATACGGTCGTTTCGGTTGCACGCAAACGCAACCGTTGCAAATGTGTGAAATAGCCTCAAAACCTGAAACTGTGGGTTGGAAAGTCATTGTTCCCTGTGCGACGTACTGGCCCTCTACGTCAGAAAGAAACTTATGTTATGTGTGACGCACCTAGGTATTTTCATCGGAAGAGCTCGATTATGGTTCGAACCCCATTTGCTCAAAAGCCAGAATCCCGTTATACGGGAGCAGCATAACGAGTCAAAGACCAAACGGCATACGGCCCCCTCGAGCTATTCAAAGCGACGAAGCATACGGCCGCCGTCCGTCAGAGCGCCGCGCTTCGACGATGCTGCCTTACTCCGACGCTCTGAGGGACTCGCTAGGGCCGTAGCTTTTGTCGGTTGCCAAGTTACACTAAAATGGAGCTTCGTAGGAATAGATAGGCTATAGGTATAGGTAAACCATTTATGGGGGGAAAGTCTACTCAGTTGGGGTATTAAAAAAAATAACGCATGTGCCAGTAGGACTAGCTTCCTTAAACCTCGAAGTTGTACTACGTACCCCATGAACGCGAGCAGTGTCCGAGAAAAGAAAGGTGCAAAGGCGCTCGGGGGTGTTGTCCTCTTCGTCATACCAGGCCACTTCCTGAAACCAAGCGTTCAAAATTTTTGTTTTGGGTTTTTTTTTTTTTACAGATATTACACGTGCATAGTTCATTGCCTCATAATGAAGACTTTCTTGTGTTTGGGGCACGTATAGTTCTCAATTTTTACAATCTTAGCGAAATTTAAGTTTATGCGAATCTTTCTTTGCAGCTATTAAGTTGTGTGTAGAGATTGCGAACCTGTCTCATCATTGCCGAGAAGGTTATCTTGCGGAGCCTCCGGGTCAAGTTCTCGCCGACGACAGAGAAGCTGAATGTCTGCAAACACGGGGAGAACAAATTTGTCCGCACCGATCTCTGCGCACTAGGCAAGGCCACTCAATTTGCTATGGACTCCGAAATAAATGTAATGGCTCGCTTATTTGTACGCTGTTCTAATACGCATCTCAGAAGGTAGAAGTATACATTAAAACTCTTTAAGTGTCTGCAAAGTTCTTCGCGAAAGTACAACCTAAAAGTCTGTCCCCGGGGTCTATTGCGTGATTCCCTCACTAATTCAATATGATTTCACAAATATTTTACAGCTGTATCGGTGTGCCAATATTTATATACTCCTATAACAGTCACAGGTCGACACCATATGCAGGTATCTTGACGTCGCCTTTTCACCACTTTTCGCTAAACCACTAAATCATAATCAGTAAGAAGAAAAAGCGATGCGTGAACAAAACTCGTACGTTCCGTTACAAACGCGCAGATGGCAATATTTCTGAGAAATCTGTTTGACCCAGGGGGGCCTAGCGTACCTGCAGAAACGAGCAGAAGCCCGTGAGGACTCCGACCATCAGAAATAGCAGGCAGTAGAAGATGGTCGTGGACATGATGAGATCCGCATTCCCCGAGCCCAGGCCCTGAACGTGACCACATTGGTAGATCTTTACTAATCGTTTCGTTACAAGAGCCGCTAGTCACCGGAGTTCGGGTTGTGGTACAGGATAGTGAAGAATCATCCTCGCACCGAATTAATCCGAGCATAAGTGAACCCCGAAGAAAGTGGCACGAGCTATTGTGGCCGACTAGTATTTTGTTTGTCAGCACACTAGCTGCTTTCTTCTATAAAATGTGAGAAAATAAAGCAAGTCAAAGGCAAAAGCAACGTGAGCTATTTAAGCAGTCCAAATGTAATATCTTTGACGGAGTCCCCAAGAAGTTTCAGAGCAGACTGCTTAGACTTGGACAGCTGTCCCGAGAAAGACAGCCGGGTACACAGATGACAGTTCACTTGCCTGTAACATGTTGCCCAGGAAGATGGCGTAGATGGGCACAGAGAGGCCCATGAGCAGTGCACAGAGGCAGCCGGCGGTCATGTAGCCCCGCTCGGGATCCGTCAGATGGAGCAGCTTAGTGCGCAGGGACTTGCCGGCGTTCTCCGCAGAGTTCAGCGGACTATCCGGCCGCTTGTCGCCAGAGACACGCTGTGTGGGCGCGAGAAGTGGGACAGAAGAGCCGATCAGTGGTGAAATAGTGACAGCCAAAAGGAGCACTGTAGCCGTGTGTCTACGCCCGCACGCGTGAGACAAGCGAAAATCACTGAAACTTCATATATGTCTTAGTTCCGACCTTAGCGGGCGGCGATCACTGCACGCAGGGTACCAGAACGTCTTGGATGTCTATGGTCCCGGAGTTTACCTCGTCGGGCCTGCCGTGGAGGGACTCCTTCTGCTTCGTGGACGTCAGTGCGCCGCGGTGCATAGACGAAATTCTCAGCTGACCTGGAGACAGTGGAGCCGCCTCCTTCGGCGCAGTGATCTGAAGAGGTGGTCTTTGTGTAAATACTTGCACATGTTCCCTTGTGAAGCAGCCGAACGGTCTACAAGCGTCCTTTTGATTATTTGAAATTTGGTCGTAATTTGATTCCATAAAACGTTTTCCTCCGTCCTCCATGAGAATCGCTCGCTTCACTGCATGACGATAATCAGTAGTTCCGTTAGCACTGTTCACGTGTGAGCTTCTGAACCCCGATTCACAGAGAAAGAAATGCGAAGAAGGTCGTGAGCTGTCCGTACCTGAGTGGTGAGCAGCTCGAGGTAGGCACCCGAAGCCCTCTTGATGAGCTCGTTGTGGGTGCCGAAGTCCACCATTTTGCCCGACCGCATCACCAGTATCTTGTCGGCGCATCGGATGGTCGACAGCCGCTGGGCCACGATCAAAGCCGTGCGGCCGCGGCAAGCCTGAGACGCCCCACCGCTAAGTACAGTTTAGGCCGAGAGGAAGTGGCAATCCCCCTGCCCACTTTCTTTCGCGCCTTATCTCGGCCGTTTCAGTCTGTGTTGGGTACCTCTCATACGCACTCCCTCCGGCCGATCGGAAGCAAACAAAATTACCTCTTTTTTGACGCCACTTGAACATTGGCCTCCAAATAAACGTCTTTATTTTTTTTATTTTCCGAAGTGCTTCGAATTTAAATTGCGACTCAGGCGTAATTATTCTATTTACTCTTTTTATATTTTGGGGGCCGGGGGGACGTAAATTGCATTTTGGGACATACATGTCATATTCATGCAGTCAAAAAAAATTTTCGGGGAATGTAGCTTTCTTTAATGTCAGATGTCCTCCAAGATCTTTAATTTGTACTGCTAGAGGTACCTGTCTCCTACTTGTCTAACTCTCCAAACAAGGAAAAAACCTCACTCAATGAAATGGGTGCAAGAAGTGGTTCGATCTTATCGCAGAATCCAAATAATATAGATTCCCTCTTCCAAAGACTCTTGTGGACCTTTGGTGTGCACTCAGTCAGGCTGTCTTTTGTCCAATGAGGCGTCCAGAAAGAAACTGGAGCCCCTCAGTACACGCGCGCTTGTTTCGGAATATATTTTCTGCCTCCAGACCCTTCCCGAAGAATCGCGTGCCTCGAAGAGATGAATGCATGAATGGAACGATGCATCATGGTTGTTTCCCCTTTTTTTAATTAGCATTACAGAGGGGAATGGGAGCAGAAGTACGAGCGTGATAAACAATGGTTAATAGGGCTCAAAAACACGAATACAAACTTGTTACTGTTTGCTTAAAACGGGCAAACTCTGCTATGGTTGCAATGGGTGGGGGAAGACCGTTCCATTCACGAGACGTTCTAGGGATGAAAGAGGTGGACAAACAAATAATTAGAAGGACAAGTGGTTGCGGCAACTTTGTAGATGTGGTCGAGGCTAGAGGAGACGTGGACTGGTTCACTTAGTTTTCTTTTGTTAGGCCAGGGTTATTATATACTTTATGGAATAAACTCGAACGAGAGATCGTGCGGCGAATAGACGGATCTCGCTAAGCGGTCTACGCATGCGTGACCCCGCCATAACTTTAGTTCACAGGAGGCAGGCGACAGTACACGAAACGGCTTGAAGACGCAAAGTTTTATATATTTTCCGTCGTTTCTTATAAAGTTGTTTGTTAGTAAATAATTTCTAAAAGTGTCTCTAAAACGCGTTTGTTTTTACGTGTTTCGTTGTTTTTGTTTTTTTTTTGTTGCAAAAAAAATATATAATTGTAAATTTTAATATATTTGGTGTGCATTTGGGAAATGTTTAAAAAATAAACAACTTTTTTTAACTCTGTGCATGCTTTGGTGTGACATTGGCGGCTGTGTAAATTACCGTAGTGAAATCTCGGCAATGTCCGCGCCTCGAGCTCCTCAATTTTATATCTATGGGAAAAAAAATTAGCTACGGCATTCACATATAACTGAATGCCCATCCAAAGAACGTGGCTTTCGCATATAGTTCCTACAAAACTATCAAAAATACTACCCGGGCAGTCATTGTACTATCTGATGTGGAAACACCCTGCAGTAACAGTTCATGGGATGCTTTATCGAATGCTTTTAAGAAATATGCAATCAGTCCGAGACCCGTGGTTCAGTGTTTAGTGGATGTCATGGTTGAAGACTAAAAGTTGGGTGTCGCATGAAAATTATTTTCAAAATTCATGTTGATGCGAGCTGAAAAAAAAAAAGTTTGATTCCAAGAAACGCGATAGCTGGGAAGAAATGACGCGCTCCATGATTTTGCAGGGTATGCTGGTAAGAGATATTGGTCTGTAGTTAGGTGGGTTGAAACTGTCACCAGCTTTGTGAATTCGAACAACCTTTCCCACCTTCCACTCCTTTGGAAAGACACCCTGATTTAAAGATTGCTGAAACAATGACGACATGATGATTGATGAGTACATTTGAGTACTTTTAAGAAATTTTGCGCTTATGTCATCAAAGCCCAACGTTGACGACGACTTGGGTCTCTCCATAACTTTAACGATACCGGATGGGTCAAATTAGGGATATTGGTTAGAAATCATTAGAAGTGACTAGGGGGTAGTTGACTCAAGTAAGATCACTAAAAGCAATGACTAACATTCGGGCGGTGGCTCGCGCCACCTTGCCAAACATTACCAGTTTAAGTTTCAGATTAAGTAACGTTTAGGTCGATGTAAACACCTTTTCCAGGGCACCCTTGAGGTCGGCGTCCATCTCGATGCTGGCCACGGGAGGGGCGTCGTCCATCAAGAAGATTCTGGGGTTCCGCACCAGGGCGCGCGCGATGGCGATGCGCTGGACCTGGCTGCTGGTCAGCCGATAGCCGTGCTCGCCCACCATCGTGTCGTACTTCTGCGCAGGCGTGTTGCACCTATCACTTCCGCAACTCAAACTGTGCAGCTTGGAATTTGGACCTCACCCCGCGACGAAAATCTAATGAACATCGAATGTAGGTTCCCTTTGCTCCACAATAATAAAATGACACGATTAGAAGTTAGAAAGAACAGGGAACATTCAGGTGAGCTGGTGAGATCGGGTTTGCAAGATGTTCCCTAGTGAAAATGTCTGACTGGAACCAGTTGGAATGCCAACTGGGAATCAACTGGTGCATAGATGAATACATGGATAGTCGTTAATGGCTATGCCCTTTTTAACGGGCGGTAGCTTGCGTAACCTAGCCTAAGTTTATAAAGACAAAGATATGATTCCTCCCGCCCTTCTAAGACCAATTTTCTCCCCCTATCACCAGGCAGTGTGGGGTATAATCAGAATGACCTTGGGGGGATCGGGCAAAAAGCCAAAAACATTACCTCCCGCCTCCCACTCCCCCCGGTGAGGGAGTCGCCAATTTTCCTCTGGTCAAACCTTGTCGGCGTTACTCCGGCACCGGACCCACTGGGGGACAGGTTAAAACTTTTGGCCGGAACTACGCGGGAGGGAGTCCCAATTTTCCGCTGTCCCGCCTGTCCCCAGCTGTGCAAGTTAGTTGTGCATCATTAAACTTTCCCTAGGTAATTTCTACCAATCTTCTAATTGCCTCTTTGTGACTGTAGTCCTTTTGTTTTGGACCTTTAGATGTGGTGCCTGCCGATGACCGGGGGTTGTGCTCGTGATATGTGAAGAGAAGGAAGTCTGTGTCCAATTAAATCATTGTTGTGCTGGTTCTGAGATGGTGTTGTTCCTCCCCTTTTTAGGTCCTTGTCTCTGGGTTTTTCTACAGTGATTCGTCACCAGCTCGCCCTGCGTCTTTACTCATTTATTTAAATGTTTCGTCTTGAAACCTCCTGGAAGGGGCTCTTGTTTAGGCCGTGTCTCGCAGAATCAACCCTGGTTGTGCACGTGAGAACGAGCGTCGCGACACCTGCAAGTCCCCGAGGGCGCTTGCTCACCCTGGGCAGTTTGAGGATGAACTGGTGCGCGTTGGCGGTGATGGCCGACTGCTCGATGTCGAACTGCGTGGCCGTGGCGAGGCCGTAGCGAATGTTCTGCGCCACCGTGGCTTGGAAGAGCACGGGGTCCTGGCCGACGACGCCCATCTGGCCGCGCAGCCAGCCCACGTTGTACGACCGGATGTTCCGATGGTCCAGCAGAATCTGCACCAGCCGTCAAGCGGGCCAAGCAAAGCCAGAGCGCAAAGATCAGGAAGTCGCTCCACGGGTAAGGCACTGCTTGGAGTCGCGCCCCCTTTGTTCAATGCGGTATTGGGCAAGGCTGCACCGCTGGCATGCGGACACCGAGTAATCCGCTCCTCATCGCTTTGCTGGTTGGTAGAAAACTTTCTTATCCTTAGATAAAAACTATACTCTGTTTCATACGTAGCGTGCAACGCTGGCAAAGCTACTGGCGTGAGCGCGTGACCTCATCTATGGTTTTGTTTGCGCGAGAACACTTGGGAATGATCAACGAGATCAAGCCCCATGCTCGCGCCAGTAGCTTTGACAGCGTTGCACACTAAGTATGAAACAGAGTATCGTTACTTGCGCCTAGTGGTGTTGCTTTGTCCGAAAACGGTTCGTGGTTGTATTACTGAGTGTTTCATGCGTTGCGTATGCGCGTATTGTGCCCAAGCGGAGATGTTGAGTTAAATCCTGGGCCGAATAGTGCTGCAGTGCTGCAGCTTCTCGAAGGTCAAAAAGAAATACTCGAAAATATTGGGTCCATCAACCAGAAAACCATACAGTTCAAACTGACATGCGATTAAACTCAATTGAAAGTGAACTAGAACGTCTTGCTGGGTGTGCAACGAAAATCGGTCAGTGTGAAAAAGCAGTCACCACCATATTGGGTGATATTGCCACGCCCGTCGGCGAGCTAGCGCGTGCGTGGCCGAGTGGTTACAGCGCTTGACTTTCGCGCGGTAGGTGTAGGTTCCATTCCAGTCAACGGACTGTCCTTTTATTTATTTCTCTCAATTTCGCCTTCTCGTAATTTCGAGAACATTCTCGTCTGATCTAGTTCCGAATATTCTACGGACCGAAAGTTCTACGCCGAATTATCCAGAAACCCACGGGGTAAATAAGGGACTCCGCAAGGCGAGCGGAGTCAGTCTCGCCCCAGCGCTCGATCCTGCGGTTTCGCCGACATCGACGCCCGCGACGCTCTGCTGTTATCGTTTGTTTCCTTTTTTTTTATTTTTGGGCACAAGTTCGGCTTCAATAAACTTTTAGTTTCTTCAGTTATCATCGCCTCATCAATTGTCATTCGTGACAATATGGTAGCAATGCGTGTTACAATTAACGACATTTAGGATCGCAGTAGACGTAATAACGTGATTAGACTTGTGCCCATTACTTGAAAAATGTAATTGATTACAATTACAAACAACCGAGCCTCAGATGTAATGGACTTCCGTTACAAATTACTTTCGCTTAAAAGTAACGGATTACTTTACTCGCTACGTTACACATTTTTTTTCACGTTACTTTTCCCCTTGACACTTCTCAAGAAAAAAATAAAAACAATTTTCATGTTTTCAAAAAATGTTCTGCAACACTATTTTTTTCTTATTTTCCGTACACCCGCACTATGTTAGTCCTTGTAAAAATAAAATATTATATAGAAGTCAAAATAATGTAGGTGCACTCCGTTCACTTGTATGCTGGCAAGGCAGCGAAAAGTGCAACCGTACCCCCCTCACGCTAGCTTACGTGACCGGAAATGATCCCTGGAATTCTGCAGACAAAGCTAGCGGTGCGCATGCTCAGTAGCAGCGTCTACCTCCGCTACGAGATTCGAAGGTAAGGAACCGCTCTACGAAAGCTCCCTTTTGACTCGTTTGTTTCACCTGTTATTCACAAGAAAAGATAACCTTGGTTCTAACGTTACAATTTACAGCCAACGCGGAATGCAGGTGTCCTAGCTTGCGTTGTTGTATTTTCGTAGATTACAATTTGTTGTTCTTGCTGATGAAAATGTGTTTTTGTGGCAAACAAAGCGTGCACTGAAACTCCAAGTTTCCGTTCTCCTTAATGCCATGAATTTTGGGCATCTCATAAAGAGATGGCATAGAGACGACGGACACTCCATGACCTAAAACTCGACCAGTCAGAGAAAAAGCGGGGGTTGCGGGTTATCGATCGGCGGTTCTTGGTCTTTCATATCAAATTCAAGATTCGTGGAAGCCAGGGGAGGGAAGGGCACTTAGAGTGGGAGAAGCGCTAGCCATCGGTATCACAATGCAACAGAGGAATAGGATCCACTTTTACTTCGGTAGCGCTCTCTCTCTTCTTCTTAGTCTCTAGATGACCTTACCCCCCCCCCCCCCCTCCCCCCCTCTTTTGTTTTGTTTGACAGTTGCCTAAAATGAGGAGTGGACTCGACCACCATGCCTGGTACTCTCGAAGACGAAGCTCTTAGCCACGCGCCGAGCTCTTTTCAGCCGCCACGTCTCAAGAGCGTGCAGTAGCGCACTTCGAAGAAGTCACCTCGACCCTTTCGCCCGAGGCTACTTCGTCCGTTAAGCGAGCTGTGAACCCGCGAATTAAGGGGGAATGGACCCGCGTTTTATGTCTGTGCAGGAGACATACAAGTTGGAAAAGGTGAAACGTTGTAAATGTGAAAAACAAATAAACACCAGGAGGTTTCTCCTGCCCAGGAGAAGAAGAAAAACACGATTGAAGGTGACGGAAAAAAAGCAGAGCCTATTCTACGTTGTCTTCTTGGTCTTTGTTTTTTTGCATGTTTGTATTGTATGCCTTGTACGTTTTTCTAGTGGTTCTAGTAACCGGTCGTACAGAAAATCGTGTTTTTTTCGATTATTATTTTCTTCACGACGCTTTCTACTTTGTTGAACTTGCTATATTTTTCCCATCATCATTGCAGCTTCGAGTTTCCGTATGTCCTGTCTCTGTGTAATCGTTAAATGTTCAAACTGTTTCACCACCACCACCATTGGCCATGCACCAACTAGCTCAACTCAAACCGATAATTGCTTCGTAGCTTAAGCGCAAATATGAATATGTGCGTGCTGCCGCTCTGTGTATGCGCGGCGCGGGTTTATCTGCTTACTACGATGACGTCCTAGAGGACGATGTTAAAGACGACGTCTAGGAAGACATCGAGGGCGATCTCAAGCACGACCTCTGTGACGACCTTAAGAACGACCTCGAGGACCATGCCAAGGACGACGCCTAGAACAATTTCTAGGACGACCTCTAGGGCGTTCTCAGGGACAACCTCTAGGGCGACCTCTAGGACGACGTCAAGGGCGACGCCTAGAGTGACCTGTAGGACGATGTCGAGGACCGCATCAAGGACGACGCCTAGAACGATTTTTAGGACGACCTCTAGGGCGATCTCAGGGACAACCTCTAGGGCGACCTCTAGGACAACCTCAAGGACGATGTCGAGGACGACGTCAAGGACGACGCCTAGGACGACCCCTAGGACGACCTTTAGGGCGATCTCATGGACGACCTCAAGAACTACGTCAAAGGCGACGTCTAGGACGACCCCTAAGGCGATCTCAAGAACGAAGGCCGATGTCAAAGACGTCAGGTCCTTCGAAGAGGGTGCGAATGTGAAGGAGTGAGCACTGCCGCTCTGCATACGCGCGGTGAAGTAGCTAAAGAATGCTATTGCTTCAAAATTGAACTGTTAAGAAACACTTTGAACTGAAGAACACTATAACCTGCCACTCAGCAATGACTACTCTTTTGAAGTACGGATTAGACGTAGGCACCTGTGGGCGTACGCTAAAACAAAAAGGAACAAGGCGAGCACTCGGTAAAGCTAGCTCTATTATGTTAAGTTGTACTTAGATGGCCAACCATTTGTTTGGGGTTCAGAACTACAGGAAGTAGTACCGGTCAGACGTGCATTACGTGTCCCCAAAATAAAGGAAGTGATGTCATTGTACTTGTCGTAAACTGCAGAAGCATTAAAGAAAAAGCGAGAGAGTTGGCTTGTTTAATAGTGTCCGCACGTGCTGACATACTCATTGCCACTGAATATTGGCTCGATGCATCAGTAAATAATAGTGAAGTCTTTCCTGGTTCTTTTTATGTGTACCTCAATGGCAGATCAACTTACGGTGGTGGCGTTTTCGTTCTTGTTAATCATATATTGAAGAGCTGTAAACTACATTTTGACAAGGATTCGACTGAATCTGTCTGGTGCCGTGTCACGCAGTCGGATGATTCTAGCTTGCCTTTTATCGTCCTACTGCTTCTGACCCAGATGTTATGCATAAGTTATGCAAAATCACTTACACTTTTTCTACAGCCTGTATTGTTCTTGGAGGTGACTTTAATCTACGAGAAGCGACATGGATTGATGGTGCATGTACTTTGAGCCCTAATAGCACTGTATCCTGCGAAATGAAAGCTCATGCGAATACGCTTGGCTTTTTCCAACAGGTCTCACAACCGACTCGTGGCATTAACCCTCTGACTTTATTATTTTGTAACACTCCTGATGTTTTCTCTAACGCATGTATTACACCTCGCATTAGTGATCACCGCGCGGTCGTTGTAAACTTTGCTATAGCTACTTGTCGTTCTAGAATTAATGAGTCTCAAAAAGTTTTCTTTTTGGAGAAGTGAAAATATGCAAAAATCTCCATTGAACTACAGCACCGTTTTTTGCCCGTTGAGTGTTTAGCCATAAACTTGAGTGTTAATGAATTATGGTTATTATTTTAGGAAAGGCATCTTCCTCTTACTGACACTCATGTATCGGATATATTAAGCAGCAAGCTGAAAAAAAGGGAGAAGCTATGAATCACTGGCGATTTTATTCGCATGATTCGTAAGCGCTTGATAGCATACGCGCAGTACTGCAAAAATAATTCGTCGAATAATTTCCAGAAGCTAAGAAATCTAACGTCGCTATGTAAATTAAAATTGACCTCTTGTCGAAAGAAGTTTTTTCAATGTATATCTGTGAACTTTCAAAATAAAAACACAAATAAGTTTTCGCGGTATATGAAACGGTGCTCTAAAGATAAAATTTGGCTTTCCAACCTGCTGCATGAAGGAACATCAGTGATGAATGATTCTTATAAAGCCAGTGTGTTGTGTTAGTTTTCTCCCCCTGATGAACGCGACTTCCTGCAGGTTGTCAACAATCAGCACGCCACAACGGAGAAGGTTGACCTCACTGTTAGCCGTATTGCCAAGTTGCTTGACAATGTTGATTAATTGAAAGCCTGTGATTATGGTGGAATTTTGCCTACTTGTCTACGTTTACTTTTCACGCCTATGGTGTGTTGCATTCATTGTATACCACTGCTCGGCCTCGTGGTTTTGGCTAGCATTAAATGAACAAAAATAGCTGTCTCGCTGCTGCACTACCGACTTGAGTGTATGGATTGAATTTGAACGTACTTGTCCTTCGGTGACGTCGTAGAACCTTTGAAGGAGGTTGACGATCGTGGTCTTGCCACAGCCGCGCTTTCCCACCAGGGCCACTGTTTCGCCGGGGTCCATAGACAGGCAAAAGTTCTCCAAAGCCTGCAGTTGGAAGCAGCCCCTTTCGGGAATGGTGGTCCTCGACAAAATAAAATAAACATTTATTGCCAAAAATGGCGATGATCGGCATAACAAGTTCGTTAATATACGAAATTTTATAGGTATATTTAACTCGATCCGATTTAAACTGCTTTAAAATTACATCCACTATTTTGCTGTGAGTGTATTGCCCATCCTAGAAGAGGTATAATTTACGCCGTATGACTCGTTAACATTGTAAGTTGTGCGTCGGCATTTCGGCGAAAGTGCAGCAGAGCTCCGATTCCTGAGTTTGGTAATCATCAAGTGCACATAATGTTTAAACTGTCAGCAGCAACTAAGCCACACTTTTTATTTACCGTGCATTTTGCATAATATTTATTTGTCGTTCATTTGGATGCCCGTACATATTCATTTACAAGTAGAGACAGTTTAGGACCAGAAATAAATAAAGTAGAACTGTCAGGAACGAATGTTTGACAAGCAGCATTCGTGCCAACTATAAACATTTCCTAGGGGATAGCTTCCATTTCAACAACATTTTAGGTGAAGAAGTGTCATATCACTTGTTCATCATTTATGCAAACCATATTAATACGAGCGTGTTGAGCTCTCCATCGGATCTTTTCACCGTGCCAGCAGCAGATGAGGGTGATAGTTTTGTTAGTCCCGCGACTATCGGCAAATTTCGGATTTTATTGTCACAGCCACGGCCGCTCAATTCCCTCCTCGAGGAGCCGCTGTACAGTGGTCTCCTATACTCCATATTTATAATTCAATATAGTATTTAGTTAGTTTTTTTTTGTTTGTAGTGAGGTGATGTGCCCAACCTGTCGCGCTGAATCAATTCTTCTGCATCTGTGTTTTTTGTGCCCTCCTCCTCCGGCCCCTGGTACGATCTGCAAAGTGCTCCATGCACAATTGTCCTTTGACCGTTCGCGGGATATCCACGAAACGCTATGCTGAGGCCGTCTTCAGAGCCCTGCGTGCTTTCAGGTGTATGTTCAACCCACCGGGACAGTGGACAGAGACGGGTAGCAGAAGGTGACGGACGAGAACTCGATGGCTCCTTCCAGGGACTCGGGTTTAAGGCCGGCCGATGAACTGCTGTTGATGGCAGGTTTCTGTCCACAGGACGAGATCCATGTGTGCGAGAGGTAAACTGTGGTCCTCATGCATGCAGTAGCCCGGCCATATCGGACACTCATTGCAAATATCTAGGCACGCGACTGTCCCGGATCTTAAAAGAATAGAAAGGTCTCTACAGTTACCGGCTTAAAATCAGTTCAAAGTGAGCGTGTGCACTTTTAGCTGATTTAGAAGGCGCGGATTAAGCGTGTTGTCTCACTGCTTCGTAGGAATTGTAAGACCGATAGTAAAATTTGACTAGGTTTACAAATATTCTGTGGCATTTGTATAGCAGGACCGCTTTCCAGCGCTTTATCGGCGACGTGCGAGACCAAAAGTGTCGTTGTGGTCGGGATTCACGATTGGCCAGAATTTCACTATGTCGTCTGTAGTTGGATTAAATCATCGACGAGAAAAAGAGTAATGCGTAAATGTCAACTTTGATGGTGTCTGTTTAAAAATGCGATGACTCCCAGTTTCCATCGTGCACTTTAGACACACCATCGTACTTACGGTTTCCAACTGTATGAAAGTAGCCAGGATTACAACTCATGACGTCACGGCGAGACATCCCGGTTGTTACGTCACGGACGAAGGATATAAAAGGGCGCCACCGTAACCTCTCGGCGCTAATAACTTTAACAAAGACGTTTTCTTTTTTTCTTTAAAAGCGAGAATTCTAACCGAGGTTACGCTAGACATATTTGTGTTCTGTATGTAATAAGGCCTGTGAAATTCTTCATTTTTAGTATGAATTCAATTAACTGAATTTTGCGTTTTCACGCGTCCTCTGCCGATCCTTCAATTCTTGCGATATTTTAGACACAAAAATATTTGTAACTTTTTGCCCAATTTTATAATCGTTCTTTTACAACAAAAACAAGATCATAAAAACAACAATTAGAAGTCAATTCTGTTTCGGCAAATTATTATACTAGCTATGACAGTGCAGAAAGCCTTCATTAGCCATTGTTGATCTTTCTCGACGGTAGCTCGTACCCTGTCGATGATCTCGTACACCTTCCCAGCAGCACGCTTGGCCATAGAGAATGCTTGGAAGTAAGGCGTCGCTTGACCCAGGCTCATAGCGCACATCATGACGCTGAAGAACACCTTTGACACAAAGACAGAAACGCATACGTCCGAGTGTTCAATATTAATGTGCGCGCGCCTTAGATATATGCACACCCGTCACAGTTAGTGCGAACACGGGCGCTTTTTCGCCCTTTGCACGGATTGATGAACACCAATATTTATCATCTCGGCTCGTGCTTAGGATTAGCAACTTCCGCCACAACGGTACTTTAGATAAGTTGTGTAAGACAAAAACTGGCGGAAAGCGGTAACGCTATTTGCTGCCCGTTTTTGCGCGTGACTAAGTTCATAATAATTTTACTTTAAAAAACACAAAGAACAAGAATACACTGCTCTAAGTACTCGCACATGCAGATATTAGAAAATTAAACCCAATTAATATACCTTTATTATACCACCTATGTCTAAAAAAAAACACTTTTTTGCGGCTGCTTATTTTGAGAATGAATAATGTTTTGGATAAAACAGGTTCGTCAAGAAGCATTTACATTGAGAGGAGTGAGCCAAGGACTGCCATAGGGCGGAACTTCGGGACACGAGCATTTGTCGCGAGAGCTTTCTCGCAACTCAGCTGGGCTATATGGTGAAGCCAACAACCAACCCACTCAATGTTTTTTTGCGTTTTTTTTTTTTGCGTTACCGGTTTGTTTTTGCACGCTTCTCATCTCCGATTTCCACACAAAGAATGTATTGACTCTGATTTCTAGTTCCTAGAATTCCGGTGACACGTAGCAAGTCGCAGTGTCAGACTACGGTCACATTGATCGGGATTCAAACACTTTATCTGGGAGTAGGTACGCTAGCATTTTGCCGCAACGGCACAATGGCATTTGTCTTTACTAATGAAGACACACTACGAGAAGAGCACGTTGTCGGAGCTGCGAGTTGAACGGCTTTCGGTTGAAAGCTATCAAACTTTCCCAGAAAAGTGGTGGTTTGTGCCAGTTGTTTGATATTCAAAGATACATTAAGACAGGAGCACCATGCCCTGTCTTAATCCTTTTTGTCCGTGTGCTTCTTCGGCGCTGTTTCCTTTAAATATTTCTCGTTTAGTTGAAGGAATCAGAGCAGAACGGGCAACAGCCGAGCTCGGTGGTGTCCGAGGGTCGAGACCACAGCGGGATGTCTGCCACCACTCACCACGATGAGGGTACTGGTGTCGTAGGTCCTGCGGGCGGGAGCCGTGTCGAAGTCGACCACGATGAGGCTCACCCCGTACCAAAAGCCCAGGGAGTAGCTGGCGTAGAGGCAGGCCCAGATGATGGACACGCCGACGCTGGTCACCAGGCCCCGCTTGACGCCCGTGCGCTCCACGCCGTCCAGGCGGTCTCCGTACCTGCCACCGGTCGTGGACGGACGTCGAGGGACCGACCGGACTCGCCGCGCGTCGCTACTCGCGAGGAGTTTGCTGCAAACCGACGGCCGAAAGACGAGGACAAGACTAGAAGACGACGACGACGACGCGGGAAAAGCGTGACTACAGCAACTGAGTTTTTAATGCAAACATAAAGAAAGACAAATAGAAAGTGGGATATTACGAATAAAAACATTTACGATGGAGGCTATATGTGAAAAAAGTAACTTGCTAGTATCGTATGTCCAGTGTCGTCCTTCTACTTATCCTCGTCTTTCGCGCTGACGGGATCTAACTATATGCTCAAAAAGAAAAAAAAAGACACAGGTTATTTTGGCTCTGCACGGTAGGCGTTTCTCCAAAAATCGGGCTTTTGGTGCTCCTGTGTTCAGGGCAAAACTCGCAGCTTTCTAGACCATCCTGCTGAATGAATGCTGACTTCAACAGTGAACAAATATGGTACAGTGATGGCACCTGGGTTGTTAAGATGCACGCGTGGCGCGACTAGGGGGTGCCCTCTGCGATCGGAGTCCACTGCAAACGCTCTTTTTAAGACAACCCTCGTTTGCTGTCATGGGCTTCTCTTTTGGGACGGCCTTGAACGGCCTGGCTGCAGGAAACGCCAACCTGAGTGACTCTTCGAAAAGCGAATCAGTGCCGCCAACTCGCTTGCGATTTTGAGCGCGATGGTCATTGACGATTCTTGTGCTCCCATGGTCAGGTTACAGACCTTATTGGGTTTATAAAGAAAACAACACGCACTTCAAATAGTTTCCTCTATGTGGTTTTTCATTCTCGCGGGACCTCGGCACCAGGTCATTGGTTGTATGTATATCACCCACTCGTAACTTTTTTGTCTGCCAATTCGTTCTTGTCTTTGTATTATGTGGAGGTGCCATTCATGTTATGCGTGATGCAACACCGCGAACTGGAACGAAACAGACTGGCTAAGCGGTACCGAGTGGCAATCCTGCCTCCTCGGATGGCGCCATCCTACGTATGAAGACTCTCTCGACTTTGAATACACATCTGTGAAAAGTTTCTGCTACCCTCTACCTCGTCCCATTCTGCCTTCTGCTAAGAATGTTCGACGTGCCTTTTGGTCTCTTTCAGTTCTCCTCCGTAGGCGATGACGTTCTTGATGAAGGTGACCGCTTCTTCGGCCACAGTCCCGGCATCTTGGTAGGCCACGGACTCTTTCGCCTCTAGCTTGGCTTGAATCTAAAAGGGAAATGGATGGGCCTATTTGTTAATAAACTTTTACTTCGCTCTTTTGGCGGCTCCGACTTATGTTTGTTCTTAAGAAACAATTCAAGCGATGCCGAATTTAGCGTACATCTTTTTAAGGCGACAGAATAAGGAACTCCTGTCGCAGAAAAGCCGGAGTCACTGGCGTGACAAAGACATCTTGATTGCTCAATAGGGTCATAACGACACAGTCACATGGCCTCGCGTGGGAGTTTCAAACAACCCACAACGCTCGCGTGAAATGTGACGTCACACTGGAATAAAAGTGATTAAAAGATGACATAAAATGCGAATTAAATGTCGCCGCATGTCTGAAATGATTTGATTTGATAAAGTAATTCATTTGCCTTAAAGAAACAAAAATGGAAGAATTTTTCATTTTTGGTAGCGTGTAAGTAGCATGTCTTCCATCAAAAAATGGAAGACACGCTACTGACTAGGCCATGCCAGGCACGCTTGTCGCGTTCCACTTTTGTTTTTCTTTGTTTGACAGAAAATTTGTTTACTTCCAGTACAGCTTTCTAGCGCGCGTGGGTATGTTACTTTTATTCCCAAAAATCGCGTTGCACGAGTCATTACAAATAATTTCCCATTTAAAGCCACACGCTACTACTTTTCTCCCGGTAAAACGTTTCGTTTCTCGGTGCTCCTGGCAGTTTCTTTCTTTATTTTTTATAATGTTCTTTTTATACAGATGAGAAGTACACTTCTGCTAAATTGTCAGTCTGTGCAAAGTGTCCATCGAAGTGCGAATGAGGAGCAAACTGTATCAGTCCTGGTTTCTAACTCGTGGAGCTACGATCGTGCATCCCAGGATAAGAAAGGCACACGTCTCTGGAGAAGGGTGGAGAATTGGGCTAGTTGATAGTTCTTCACCCTTGATTTGAAAGCGCACAAAAGACGAGCGCTTGCCCGTCGTACGTGCTTCGTACTCTGTCCTCGTCTTTCTTGCGCTTTCAAATCACGTCTCTGGGTGTTTTGAGACACCGATGCCTCTTTTCAGCGAAGGGTGAGGAGCGGGTGACGAGGCGTAATTGCTCTTGCGTTATGTCAGCCTGTCATCGAACAGCGCTGGGGTGCTATGTTGCGCTTTTTGGAGACTAGGGAGAAGGAAGTGGCGTCAACGACACAGCAAACGCAGATTGGATGTTGACTGAAGAAAACGAAATCAACACCCAATCTGCGTTTGCTGTATCGTCGACGTCACTTCCTTCTCCCTAGTCTCCTGGGAGTTCAAAAAGCGCAACGTAGCACCCCTGTTCTCATGCCTCTGCGCGGTGCACTGCTCAAGCGACAACCCTTCGTGCCGTCGTCTCCTGGAAAGGGGGGGGGGGACGGCTTTTACCTTGGCGATGAGGGCGGTGACGAGCACGAGGAGTGGCAGCACGGCCAGGAGCGCCAGGGTGAGCTGCCAGCCGTGCCAGAACGCCGACACCAGGGACGTCGAGGCCGTGGACAGGAAGAACAGGCACATGCCGATGTTCTCGCCCAGGCCGTCGTGGATATTGCCCAGGTCACTGGAGGACGCCACGAGAACAGGATTAGCTCGGTACACTAATTGAAACAGTGTAATTGTATTACTAGATAAGTGTGGTATCATCTAAAGGCCCATTCACACAGTCGCGTTTGCTTACGTTTTCTTACGTTACGTTATGAATCACCGGGACATCAGTTCTCTGAATGTCGCGTGCAAAGCTGTTTCTTAAATTGGTCGCCATGCTTCACACGAAGTACAGATGTCCCTGTGACTCTTAATCGCACTGAACATTAAGCGGAGCGTTGTTTTAACATGATATATGTTTTTGTGAATCGCCTTCTATGAGAAAATTGTCAGCGAGCGTAATGGACGAGCGTTACACAACCTCACCTGACCTAAAGTCACGTGACGTCAGTTAACCCGTCAAATTTAGCGGGAAAATTGACGTGCGTTGACGTCACGTGACGCCAATTTCTTGGAGGGTGTTCTGCGGGCGGTTGTTATGCGCTGTACACATTCTTCTCCGTCAGCATCGCGAAATGTAATTTCCTTCGCGGGAGGAGCCTCCGGTGCCCGAAGGCGTGGCGCTTCTCTGGTTCGTGCGGAGGGGGCTCACGCCGTGATGCGTTTGGCGAAGTCGCCCGCCGTGTGGGTGTCGAACCAGCCGACCTCCTGGTGCAGCATGGCGCGCATGAAGTTGTGCCGGATGCGGAAGGACTGCTTGGTGGCCGACATGCCCAGGCTGCCCACGATCACCACGTTGCTCAGCAGCATGGCCAGCCCTACCAGGGCCATGCGCCCGGAGATCAGCTTCGCGTCCTGCTGGAACTGCTCGATCGTCAACCTGCAGTGGGAGAGGATGTCGTAGACAAAGGCGGGCTGTGTGGTACGGGACTAAAAGCAAGAAGATTGTCTCCAGCGAATGTTGAATAAGGCGCTACGACAAGGAGGCGCTTTGAAGAGAAAGCTGAGTCCGATAAACTCGGGTATATCCGGGTTATTACAGTTTGACTTTAAACATACAAAAACAAACCGTGACCGAAAACAGATCGGCTATGCAACGTCCAGCGTAACGAAGTAGTGTGGCACGCTTTCTACACACGCAACGGTCAGATTTCTTACAAAGTTAATTTGAGAAAATTTGCACGAACTGCTTGCACCGGGCCCCAAATTTATCAATCTCACATTTTTTTTTATTTAGTGAGGGAACCATCCAAAAAAACCGCGGCTCCTTTTTGTTCATTTTCTGGCACGCCCAGTGCAAGAAGAAGATCGCGGCATTGTGTCATGCAAGAAGCGCACGGTAGTGCATAATACGTTTGTGGTGTTGACGTGCATGTGACAGCTTTACGGTGTTGCCCAACTTTCGTGGAGGCGGCTTCACAATGTCATCCTTATGTGCAGTAATTAGCGCACCCAAAGCACGCGCGCGCTCCAGTAAACGAGCAAACTGGAGTTTCACGCTTTCTGTTTTCCACCTCACGGCCACCGGTGTGAGGCGGTTGTTTTCCGTTTTCACTCGCTTTTCGGAACAGTTGAAGAGATGCCATATTTGGGCTCGCCACATACAAACACACTACAATTTACTTCTAATTTTGCTTAAGAAATGTTGCGTCGCTTGAGAAGCGCTCGTGCGAGCACCAGGTTGGCTCGGGGCCACCGTGCTCGGGGCAATTACAGGGTTGGACGTTTACGCACGTATTTACACATTGGTGCTACGTGGCTTGGTTGTAAATACTTTTTTTTTTTTGGCGTTCGGAGTGAAAGATGAATGTAACGTGTATTTGGCAAAAAGGAAAACAGTTCCTTTTTTTTTTATTTCCCTCACCGCAGGAATAAAGTACGCATCGCCCAGGGCTCCGTCGAAGCGGCGAATCGGTCCGGAGAAGATGTGAATATTTCAGAACTAACCCTGATCCAATTCAAAAGTCATCAGCGATTTTCCGAAATGTTCAATTAGAAAATGAGGCGCGTTACGGTAAGCATTCGACATTAATATTCTCGAGGGCGTCGTTGGTCTCCACTTCCTCATTCACGATTTTCGAAAATCAGTTATAAATTTTGAACTAGAGAACTGTCAGGTTTTAAATTTCCAGTCGCGTCTGCTACCTTTGGGTGGCTACTGAGCGTACGACGATGCAATTTCCCGGTGAAGAAAGATGGTTCGTTTGTCTCCCAGACAGCCGTTATATGCTTTGCCACTATTCGGGGCCCAGAACCTCTCCCGTTCTTACATCTAGCGCACTTCGACGGCTCCAGACGATTCTCAATGTTTGCCTGGGTCCGGCGACGTTTTATCCTCGGGGACGACGTGGCAGGGACGGGAACGCGTGCTATCGCTGAGCTTCGGTTAATGCTGGGCACGCGCACTTCTCCCGTCTTCGGGACAGAATAACGATGTCAGCTCGAAGCACTTGTTGAGGAAGCTCGCGTAGCATGCAACCAGGGATTGTGCGCTAGATCCCCGACACATCCCGCTTCGATCGCATTGTACCGACGTGCGCTCGTGCACACGTCCTTTCACCCTTAAGCTGAGGCTGCATCCAATGCCACAAGCATGAGAGCTTGACGTCGCTGCTTCGAAGTATTCTTCCGCAGAACGAACACTCGTGCTAGAAATGCACGTCTCAAAGCCAGGAGCACGGGCTAGCTCGCGCTTGGAACAGAGTATAGTCACTACAGGGCACGATGCGCGTCAAACATCTCGGGCTAACAGTCATATTGCACTGAGCAAATTTCTTATCAACTGCGGAGAGAAGTCAGCACTCTTCAATGACTACTCCATCTCACAAACATCTGCAGTGCAGATTAAAGGGCACCAGCGTGTGTGGCTAGGGAAAGTGCTCCCAATGCACGTCGTACAAACAAAAGCATTTTGCTGTTCTAGGCTCACGCGCCTGTGCCTTTACTGCAGACATTTGTGAGATGTTGGTATAACTTGACGGCTATCTAAACGTCTACGTATCACAACTAAGCTCCCTCATCGCAACGTTTTCAGTGTTCGCTCCAGCGGAGCGATCGAGGTGGCCGACTGCGCCAGCGTATAGCGCACTTGGGAGCACGGGGAGCTCGCCCGGCACAACCCAGGAATCCCCTCCCCTGCCCGATTCGACCTGCTGACCAACGTACCGGTGTGGGGTCGTGTCTCACTACTGCCTGATCCTAGTAGTGGCGACATTTTATCTTGCGGAGACCGCAGGCGCCGAGTGGAGCTCACTTGATGCATGTCTAAACAAATGCACACTTGGGAAAGCCCCCGAAGCTTTTCCATAGCGGACACAAAGAGTTCAGCTCACGTTTCGTTGTCATCCGTTGTCTGGTACATGTAGGGCACAGGAGCGCTCCTGAAAACGCCATGTAAACGTGATCACAAAACAGCCGTCACCTCGAAGTGTCTCTTTCCGATATCCTTACCTGTATATGTATTGCACAAAACACGTTATTCCTTTCCAAGTATCACTTTCTCTGAAAATAGCTCGTCTTTCCTCTAACTTTTTTCCAATTCTCTCATTCCCGTTGCCCCATTCTTTGTCGCTGCGTAACATCGGGCCGAGTGAACTGCTCGAACTGAAATTAAAATGTCTTTAAGTCGGATATAGTCTTTTGCATGTTAAGCGGGGCAAGTTCCTCCCACGAAGCCCTTGACGCATTCTACTTCAGCAGGGCAAAGCACCAGTCAGGCCGAGCAGAGAACCTTGTCGGAGGGACTTCTCTTCCCCCTCTTATGTTCCAAGACCGACCAGAACGGCAACCTTTCTAATTTTGAGTTTCCCAACGACAAAAACGCGTCCCGTCTCTCCCGGAGGGAAGAAACTGACCAGGTTTTGGATAACATTTGTTCAAGATTCGTTCGACCCTTGCACAAGTAGCGCCAAAGGCTCCACTCCACGAGGCGCATGCTTCGTGCAGCCCGTGGAAGAAAATTTCGGCGGAGTACTCGCTCGTGGCACGTGTCATGCATGTTCGCGTAACAGTGGTTGGCGGTGCCTGTAAGACAGGCAACGCGTGCATTTTATTAACGGGAAGCTGAAGAGGTTCTTGAAAAAAAAAGTTAGAGGTAATTGCTAGAGTATTTTTATCCTGTGAATCAGAATATCACGTTCGACGTCACCGAAAATGTAACTAAACGCTAGAAAACCCGAAAAACCTCCGACCAGTCGTTACGTCACAAAGGGATCCTTGGGTCCCCAAGCGCGTGTCGCTCGTGGGGGCAGTGCGTGGAAATGCAAGCTTGCCAGGTATATTGCCCCGCACTGTACCGCAGTAAAGGCTACAGGCGCGAGCTCCTTGCTCTAGGGCGCATCTCGACGGCACAAGCTCTCTCGTGCATTAAGGGCTGCTGCCAACGCTATGAGCTCGCGCTTCTAGCCTACGCTGCGGTACAACAAAAGGTGAAACGAAGTATAGACCTTTCCATAAACGAACGTATGGCCGGTGCCATTTTCAGTGTTCGTGCATATGGCGCGTATTTTGCTTGCTTTCCAAAGCGACGAACACGCACGTGCTGGGTTGTGAAGATCGCACACTGGACTGTGCTTTTGTAAATATTGGAAAGGTGTATAGACGCGACGTGTTTTTCTGACCTTTTTAGAAAATAGCGATCGTGTGCGTGCATAGCTTTGATAGGCGCTGAAGATGCGCGAAAGCAGAGATTCCGAAAACTCTTTTTATGACGTAATGCTCCGAGAAGGAAGGGCTTCAGCGATATTTTGAAAATGATTTCCTCCAACCTCCGTGCATCAAATCGAAAATAAAAATAAATATCGATATTTGGAATTTTGGAGGGCCAAATGAAAACGATTTAAGTGTTTTTACTCAAATACAGGACCGCTTCAGTTTCCCTTTAAGGTGTTTTATTGCATAAAGTACAGAGAACAAAAAACACCCTTTCGTTCCTAGCATTCCTTTGAATGTGCTTTCTTTTTCTAATTTATAGTGATGAACGCTTGATTTAGCGTGTATAGACCATATAGTTCAAATTAAAAAAAAACCTGCTGGACATCATAAAAAACCACTAAATCAGTTACTTGTATAAAAGCTTGGAACGCGTGCTTCGTTTCTTTGGGTACCAAAAGGGCATCGAAATTTGACACGTCCGCGCTTTTTTTTTTTCCGCATTTTTTTGCCGTTAGGCCCGCGTGGTATATATAATCCGTGCGCTCCGAGTTAATTGTTTGAGACTAAATAAGAACTTTATTGTCCTAAACGCTATGTGCCACAGTAGAGAGTTTTAGTAGATCGTTCCGAAAACGATACCCGATAACGATTCGATGCAGGCGGCGGCGGAGTATTGGGTGTTGTTATCGGAGTTGTCGCAACGATCTACTCTCTATGAAATTGACGGCAGTGACTAATGAGTGGTTTTTCTGCGTGATGTGGAGTTTTCGCCAGGAGGCCGATGTGCGGTCCGGTGTACGGCTTTCCGGGCCACTGGGGCGAAAAAGGGCTTTGCGTCTGAACTGCGCAGGCCCAGAACACTTTTTCGCAGCTCAGTAGACAACAGCCTGTACAATGCCACTTTGGGAATGAGAAAGCGTTTTAGAATATTTAATTATATTGCATCTGAACGCACACATTTGTGTCGGTTGCGTTCAGAGCAGCCGAAACGACAGCAAAGACTGAAACACCGGGACAACCGCCACTCGCTTCAACAACCTTTTTTTTTTTTCCAAATACTGCAAAGTTTTTGCGTGTTTTTTTTTTTTTTTTTTTGGGGGGGGGGGATACAATAACATTTACAAAGATACAAAACACAAAAAGTTATATTTTGACTAATTCTAATTAGACTTCTACTGTACAGAAAAAAGGAAACGCAACTACTCGTAATCAGAAAACTAATCAAACAACTTTTCTTCCATTGCTTCGACAGAAGAGACATCATTGAAAACACTCGGGGGTAATCTATTCCTGTCTTCGATGGCCTTGGCGAGAAAATAATATTTATAAATATCAATATTGGCGAGATATTCGACAGAAAAATCTTTGTTTAAACGTATAGACAGCCTCCAGAAGGGTCTTATATAAATTTGCGAGTCAAAATTGAGATCATAAAACTACAGCAGATAAAAAAAAAAAAAATTCAATCGCGCAATTTTACGCATTGACGCTAAGGAGGACAACTGGGCTTCTCTCATCAATGCTAAAGCAGACTTGTGCGTACTGTATCTAGAAAAAAAAAAAACGTTTACAATTTTCTGAAACGCCGAATTAAGGCCCGTTCACACTCGTGCGACCGAGTAAGACCGAAAGAGAACAGACCGGTTTTTAAGTCTCTTGCGATCTCTTAGGACCAGCTCCGCACTGCAGCGCATCCGGTCCTAAGAAGTCGCAAAAGGCTTAAAAACCGGTCTGGTTTCTCTCGGTCTCACTCGGTCGCAAGAGTGTGAACGGCGCTTTAGAGCGCAGCTCTTGAGAAGGAGGAAAGGAGGGTATGCCCCTCCTGCCCCTCCCCTCCTCCTCTCCTGCTCCACTTCCATTTAGTGGGAAATTTTCGCTAAATTTCCCGCTAAATATAGCGGTGAAATTTTGGGAAAGTATTCCTGCTAAATTTAGTGGAAATTTTAGAGAAAATTTCTCCACTAAATTTAGCGGGAAATTTTAGCAAAAATTTCCCCGCTAAATTTAGCAGATAAATTTTCTCATAATGCCACGCGCGGTTACGCCCGCTTGCATTATTCCCATAATGCAGCGCGCGTGGTTTCGCCGACGCCGGCGGCGACGCCGCGGAACCCGGAAGCGGGCGCCTAAGAGCTGCGCTCTGGAAGTCTTGCATTACTTGACACGTTCTGTACGGCGAACACTTCACCGGTTCACTCCGTCATCGCAGTCGTTTCAGACGCTCCGAACGTCACCAATGCAGCTGTCTGAAGCAGCCGCTTTACCCTTCCGCCTTTTGTGCCCCGAAACAGTCCACCCCTGAGATCCCGAACACAGCTGTAGCTGGTGAGAGCTCACGTGGAGTTGGAGCAGAGCTGGTCGATGACCGAGTGGAATATGATGAACTTTCGGAGAAGCTCTCCCATGAGGATGATGAGAGTGGGCATGGCGAAGCCCGTCACGACGGCCACCACGCAGCCGACGGCCGTGAACGTGCGGTCCTTGAACGACGAGTACTTGAACTGCGCCGAACCGAACGTCACCGACAGCGGGTCAAGTTCCAATGGCTCTCGAATAGCCGAAAAATAATAAATTTTCTTGAGCTTTTCTTTTTCTCTAAAAAAACATTTGGAAAGTTCAGGAAAATCTTGGCGCCATTGAAACCATGGTTTTACTTTTTCAAAATGATGTGACAATGAAGGTGTTTGTTCTACATCACACGCCTCCTTGACATCTTAGAGGTACTTCCTACTGGGAGTACCTGCCTCAAAAGGCGTGTTGCGTTAGTAAAGCCGTGTGGTGTTTTGAAAACTTTGAAGTTAGCCAATGGCTTGGTTTTTGTCCGCAGTCGATGATTCGCGCAATAGAAATAGTGCCGAATGTTGAATCTCATACACACTATCTTGCGAAAGTACCCGAACTTATCACTTTGACTGGCCGAAATAAATAAACATTACCAGAGTGCCCGTCAAAAGGTCCTCTCGAGGCCGTCGCTTCCAACGCACGAAGCGACCGCGTGAGGGAGCCAGTTTAACTGGATAGATCATCATAATCACACGCAGGATTTTGGATTTGGATTTGGATCCTGCGGCTTTCGCTTTGTATCGGGTGGTCAACAATGGATTCTGGATTTAGCCCACTGATTTCTATCATAATAGGAGTAGGCTGGATCACGGATCGGATCGCGGCCATTGCTGGACACCAGGCAATACACGCAAGTCTATGGAAGAAACACACAGAAGTCACACACATTGAAGCTTCTACGCGGTGCTCGAATGTGAGTACTTTATGATGTGCTGTCACCGACTGTGCCGGCGTCGATCAAATCAGTTGCTAAATAAATGACAGGTTCAACAAATGAACGAGACGCGCCGAGTTTTATATCGTCACTGAAGACCCCACTGCAGTTCAAAGCAAAAGTTTGCGCCTGAAGTACTTTGTACAAGTGCTTAAAACAATGCGAATGTCCCTAATAAAGGCCCTCTTAATTATCGTCTGCTAAACTCTGATGACTCCGAGATCACGACCGACGTCGCTGCAAGCTCGACGAACATCAACGCGTCCTCACGGAGTTGTCCGTATAATCGGGGGGATCGCAATAGACCATTCCGGAAATATGTGGCGCCCCGCCATCTGCTCGATGCATTAGACAGTTTTAGTAGATGGTTTACTAACTCCCGCTATACTATACACCAACATGGTTTATACAAACAAGCCCGCTTTGCCCCCGCCAGGTGTGGGCACTGGGCATGCGCAGAAACCAAATTCGGGAGGAGGGAAGCGTCTGCGCATGCGCACTACCGACAGCAGCGCCACCGCCCTGCTGTGACGTCAAAGAGTTGAGTTGGTCTATAGAGAGCTTTAGGGAACCGTTTTTGCACACCCTATACGGTACGATGGACCTTCCGGTACGAACTGCGCATGCGCGAGTGTTCTGTTGTAGCGCATGCGCAGTTCGCACCGTATCGAATGTGCAAAAACGGTTCCCTAAAGCTCCCTACTATCTGTAATCTGCTAAGACCTTTGCTATGTGTATCGTAGCGGAGCATCGGTCTCATGTTTTAGCAAAACGTTTACGGCATTCGAAGAGCTAACAGCAGACGCGTTGTCCTGGCATTGCAGGAATCTCCAGCGGAGGAGTACCGCAACCGTCACCGCACGTCTGGTCCACTCACCAACTGAAGGAATGACGCAGGGGCCGCCTCCTGTTCGAATTTGCACGTGGACCGCTTGTGCCTCCTTGGAGATCAAGGGCCAAGCTGTTAGTCACACCAGAGGTTCCTCGCGCGCGTTATTCTCACCAACGTAAAGTTTGCTTAGCTAAAACAAGAAAAACACGTTCATGTTTGCAAAAAAGAAAAAGAAAAAAAAATTCTTTTTGAGGGAGAGAAGGGGGGGGGGGGGGGGGGGTCACGCTGTAATTGACATGGGACGACTAAATAAAAGTTTCCTCGAAGGTTTATATATTTTCTTAACCCGAGACTCAGAAACGAAAAACGACAGAACACACAAAGTATCAGAAAGACTTGGTGTGTGGTATCGTCCTTTGTTTTTCCCCATAGTCAGGGTTTTGACTTAAATTATCTTTTATCATCACCAGCTACTTTGCGCTGTAAGTATTTGTTTGTTATACATTTTCTTTTTCTATTTTTTGGCATCCTTTTTTTTTACAGTATGCCAGAAGGAATTGATGACGTAATTAGCGGTCGTTTTTCATAAATAGCGCAAAGATTCGTTGCGGATCGGAGATATTCCAGGGCTATCCGGTAGATGGCGCCAGTGTCGCCGGATACACACCCCAAGATAACCAGTTGAAAGGGGAGGAAGCGACGCAGCAATGCTGATGGCAGAAACATTTAACGAGCAAAGCTTTATACGTCGTTTCGGAGCAGTGGAGGAAGGCAGTCTGATTAGTGAATTGACAGCTAAGGACAGAGCAGAGAGTTCCTAGCGGCACATCAAAAATGCCAGATGGTATTCCGATTACCTTAATAAAACGTTTAGGCCCAACATCTAAGGCATCATTAAGGAAGGTAGTGAGAAAATTTCTTATGAATGAAGACGTCCCAGAAGAATAAGTCGAATGAGTTTAATATACAAAGAAGGGAGATCAAGCGTACACAGGCAATTACCGTCCCGTAATGGTTACTTCGCTTGTTTACAGAATAGTAATGCAGATTGTAAGGGAAAGATTGCAGAGGTGGGTAGAGAACGAGAATGTGCTGGGCAAACTACAGAATTAATTCTAAAATGAAGGAGGTTGGAGGATAATTTCCTTTTCTTAACACAATGTATTAAGGTAGCAGGGAAGGAAAGTAGGCCAGTCTGGATAAATTTTTGAATCTAAAAGGGGCATTCGACAATGTTCAGGGTGTCCCCCCAAAATATTTAGATTTTTGTTTTTTCTCAGCAAAAATAAACTACGTATTGGACAACGCTCATTCACCTCCCAAATATAGCGCAAGAGGCCCGAACCAGATGCCAAACTTTCTACACTAACCGATCTTATTTAAAAGTAATAATTGATTTTCTGAAAATGTCAATGGGAAAATGGCAGCCGACGTAGCTCTCGAATACATGGTGTTCTACGGCGCCAGAAACCGAAAACGGGCGAAAACTGGCCCCATGTTCCATTGAATTTAAAAAAAAAAAAATCACTTATAGCTTTTGAATAAGATATCGGTTCGTGCTGAAACTTTGGCATATAATTCGCACGTCTAGTGCTACATTTGGGCGGAGAATAAGCGTTCGGCAATGCATACTTTTTTTTTTTTGGGGGGGGGGGGGATAAATGATTCAATGTAAAATTGAGGGGGGGGGGGGGGATTCTGTAGTTCAAAAGAACCTGTCCGACATAACGAGTAGCTTAAAAGGGGAGCGGGGAATACTGGTGTTTGTTAAAAAACGTCTACAGAAATAACAAGGTTAGAGTAACATGGGAAGGAAATGCAACGGCACCGTTTTAGATAAGGCGAGGTTTCAGATAAAGATGCACTTTATCACCATTAGGGCCGGTTAACACAGCCCCGTATTTTTTGCGTTACGTTACAGTACGAAAGCCTATGTACAAGTCACCGGTACATCCGTGCTTCTTAGTATGCGCGTGACCACCAGTTCAAGGAGGCAGCCTGGCACGCGACATCCGAGGCACGAATGTTTCCTTGACTCATACTGGGCAGGACAAACACTGGCCGGCGGCGCCCAAGGGATACCAAGAACACCGCCCTATCCCTGAGGGGGGGGGGTCTGGTTTGCCCCCCCCCCCCTCCCCCCCCCACCCCACTCAAAAACAAGTTGGTACGCCACTGTACGTAACGTATAAGAAAACGTAAGAAAATTGCGCTGTGTGAACCGGCCTTTGCTGTTCATGTTGTATTTACAAGGACGAAAGAAGAAGCTGGAGAATAGTGGTCGTGGTTTTGACATGTCATACCGGGAGCCCAAAATATTAAAGGGCCAATATTACCCCCCTGCTAACACAACTATGGGCCGTGCTTTAGTTGTGACAGCGTATGGTTGTGATTAAACTAAACTTGTAATAGTAACTAACTAATCTGTCTAAACGTAATTGTACTCGTCTAAATACTTCAGACGCACTAATACAAAAGAAAAGTTGATTTATAATTACATCTATTTTTTTTCTCCACTCTCTACAGTCACAGTCAGCTGCATCAAGCGTTTGCCTCATTCCGGGCAGCTGAGCAACCATCAAAGCACCCGCAGAAGGGCGCGGAAGACGTCACGCCAGACTGCCCTTCTTTTCCAGTAGTAAGCATCAGAATGGGGGCTTGCTGTACATTGAGTATCCACCATGTATGTCGGGCATTTCCAGAATTAAAAATTCCAGACTTCAATAAGTTCGCTCCATACCTACTCACATAAATATAGGACTTGCGCTTTGAGCCGCCGTGTCAAATACAACACTGCCAACGCGGGGGTCTTGCAAAATAATAAGAAGTGAATACTCGTACCTCAGAGCTTACATTGTTCCATTAATAATGTAGATAAAACACAAACTTAAAATGTGACCAATAGAAAACGCCGAATACATGGCTTCAATATGACGTCATAGCGCCATTTCAACTTTCTTTTTTTTCCGAGATAACGCTAAGTTCGAAATGTAAGCCGTAGAAAGTAGGCGCCCAGCGGCAAGTTCGCAAATCAAACTCTGACGTCACTCGGTCAAAAAAGAACAAATAGTTTTTTGTGCGGAAACATCACTGAAAAAGCTCATAATCTAAGTCGAGTTATTTTCAAGAAATATAATTGCAAAATTTCTCTAGCGGATCGAAAAAGGCGGGTTCTCGTTACATCTTTAATATTGGAACGTGTCGTAACATTGACGTTACCTATTTTAATGGAATATTTTACCGAAGATAAAAGGAAGCAAGCGAGTGAAAAGTATCCACATCAAACTACGCGTCGTTTCGCCACGATCACATTTGTTTCAGTTATCTTTTTTTTCTACTATCTCTCACCCCCCGTTTCAATTTCTGCCGAAGGTTGAAACATTCAAAATTAAAAAAAAAAGACTTAATTTCTTTTAAAATTGGGGCAAAATTGCAGATATATCAACAAACAAAACAACGAGATCCAGCAATACAAGAGGGAACGTGGCATCGTTCCTCCTCAAAGGAAGGCGTTCCAGGGGTGCTATGTTGCGCTTTTTGCACTCCCAGGAGACTTGGAAGAGGGAAGTGACGTCAACGACACAGCAAATGCAGATTGGATGTT